ATTGTTTGCTTCGATGGGTTTCTTGTTAGTGTTAAAACCCCTATGAGCCGTAGAAAGAGATCGCTATTAAACTTCTTTGTATGGGAAAATAAAGAAATATTACAAAGATTGTACATGAAATGTTTTTTCCTTTTCAATATAACCTTATTTAAATTACAAGTGAATTCGTTGGTGTCAGGCTGGGGAGCGAGCTGGTCTGGAGGTATGGATATAACACGGGACTTCATTCCCAAAAGTTCCGGGTTAAAATCCCACCATGAATGTTTTTTTATCTAAGTGATAATCCCACTACGGTACCCTCTGTAGATATAGACTGAAGAAACGAAGAAAACAATTCCGGGCTAGAACCTAGAGGAATAAATAAAGAAACAAAATTAAATATATCCTAGATGATTTGAAGGGCACCTAAATCATAGTACGGAACCTAATTTGAGCGTAGACTCTTGGTAGGGGGTCTAAAGAAAGGTTCTTTTCTGTAGATGATCCTTCAAAAGAGAAACGAGGTAAATTCTGAATACATGTATTATTTTACAATCATAATTTAATTAGGTACAGTCTAAAATATGTCTTACACATTTAACTGAAATTGAACAGCCGTTAAGCAAAATACTCTTAACTTAAGTTTAATTAGGTAGCAGCTAGTTTCCTTCTATTAAATGGCACAATCAAGTCACGATCTTGCTAGGCTTAGAGTGGTACTTTGCAACGAACTTGTGAAGCTTTTAAACGACTTGACTTATATAAGGTAATTTATGTAAGAATACCTCGAATAACTTCATATCAAGGGATATTTTAGTCAGGAAAAATATGTCGATACCTCTACCAAATTAAGAGATAAACAAAGGAACGAACTCCGTTAAAAGTAAATTAATTTGAAATGACTTTACTATGAAAAATATTCCACGGTAACAGTACTCATTTATGAACTTGGTAAAATTTTTAGATGCATTGTAAATTTGAAGCCTTTGAATTGTTATTTGAGCAGTTAGTTTCTTATAAACTAAAACGGTATTTTAGCACTGAAATAAAAATATGAATTTTTGCAAGTAATAAGGAACTTTTTCATTTGAGGTTTAAATGTTAAGGCTTTGGTGTAGCGATTTGAAAATTGTACACTCAATAGTTAAAAATTTTCTTCTGAAATTCACAAGTAGCTCGTCACACATTTTGTAATCCATTTAAGGCTATATGGCAGTTTTTCATTAGAAAATGTGTACCTAATCGTACAAAGAATATACGAAGTAGCCTACAATTGAAAAAAAAACGTCGGAAAACAACTAAATACGTACAAACATATACATCGAACACAATAGATTATTTTTTTATTTCAATACAAGTAAAAAGTCGTACCCCTCTGACACTATAAATGTATTGTTGTTTAAAGGTTTTCTGGAGCTTAAAAAAAATTATCCCTTTTCGTATTGATATTGCAATAGATGTAAACAAAATATACAGTTCATGATAAATATAGAACGTGTAAGTAGTTTGGATACAACAGGTAACTCGCTTTATCTACTTATCACATAGAGAATCTGTAAGTCATTAAATATGTGAACACGAGACAAAGAAAGTTTAAATAAGATACAGACCGACGATTTGACATAGTGTCAAAGTAACTGTGAAATACACACTTTGTCTCTTGTAACATCGTTGTCTGAGTAACCAAAAGCTTTTATGCAATCGAGCCACAACATTTAACAAAGGCACTTTGTTATGTTAAACACCTGGGATTAACATGTAAAGACTACAATGGAACGCTAGCTGCATGTATACCACACTAACACATGGCTTAACACCCTTTGTAGTGGGTTCAGTGTATAGATCTGAAGAACATAAGGATTGCATCCTTGGGTTATAGCATACTTTGAAAAAAAGTTAATTAAAAATAGAAATATTGCTATAAAGTGTCTTAATAGACTTAAAGAGCGTTTTTGCAATATCATTTCCAATATTTTCCTGAAGGATCTTCGTTATTTGAATTAAAACCATATTTAGAGCTTATTACTTGTTGCTTATTATCCTTTTAATAATTCTTACAATAAAGCATAATTTTTCCAGTTTCTCACTTATATTGTTGACATTACAGTTGTTTTCCTAATGTTTTACATTATATTGACCTTAAAGTACTAAAAATAGTAAAATAACACTAGTAATAAATATTTTTAAACTTTACTCACAAGACGGTAAATACATAAAAAAAAGATGGTAATCGGTGATCGATTTCGATTGGACACTCAAATAGGTGACAAGAATATTAATATGGCGGCCCTTATAAACTATTAGCTACCTGAAGTACCGGCCAATAAGTTTCCATAAGTACAACTGAAGTCAACATTCACTTATAGGAATACGAGAATCAAGATTTCCACGAATATTGTAGACATTTACTTCAACAAAGAATGTACCAAGAATAGGATTGAAATTCATAGTAACTGTACCACATGAACTGTTTTATACAATAAAGGTTATAAACAAATAACACATTAAACTTTTACTGAAATAATTTTTACAATCGAAATCTATTTCACTACATTTGTGGATAAAAGAAAATGATACGGGTTACTGTAGAAGTTTCTTTAATCACCGTCACTGGGTAAAAATAATGATAACAAATTCTCACCTATGAATATTATAAACAATATTTCCATTAACAGATATCGTGGACTTCGTAAACTTGTATCAACTAGACAGTTTTTCCATAGTAAAACACATTTTCCTTTATATTTCCTCTCTAGAAAACAATGCAATTTCACATCCAAATAAACAGCAAATTGAAAAGATTGTAACAAGTGGAGATTTTTATATCAAGTGGCTCTGACAAACCGGAAAGGAACGAAAATTAGATTTCCGTTTTTGATAGATTAGATTCTATCGCTCCAACGATTCCTTTCACAACTCTTCCAAAGAATTTTCTAATTTAGAAAATATCCACTTATTTTCCAATTTTAGTACAACAAGGAAAGAATTCAATTAAACTATATTTAGAACCTGTGTTAACATTTCATATTCATAGCTTGGTAATTTTTTTAAATCTTTTTAATAATGCCACTATACAGTAATATAATACCTACTTATTTAGATTTTCTAAGGAAATTTCTGATACCAATCGCAGGAAACAGATAACTATTGTAGCTATAAAACTAGCTTTGGAACCCCACTGTGACCTTATTGCAACAACCATCTTGGAATATGACACATAAAGTCTTAGAGCTGCATGCAAACAATTCGGTGCACTACTATCGCAAGAGAAGTGGCTTGATGCATTCATTCACCTTAATATTTTGTAAAAGTAAAACAAATAAATTTATACTAAACAGGGTAAAATTAGGTCTTATGCTAGTAAAACTCAAGTGATTGAATTCTAAAAGAAAGGAACATTTGCGTTATTTATGTTTCACTGAATATGGAGGTCAACAGTTTTTACTACGTTGATTATATTAATTTATTTAATTTAGAATAGTTATGTAAAGCAATTGAACAATATATGAATATTTAATAATATTACTAATAATGGACGATGATTTGACTTATAAAAAGGAACAAATTATTTTCTTAGGGAATCATCGTAGGAGGACCGGTTGTATAATAAAAGTTAACCACGAAAAATACACTGTGCGTTCAAATGTAAAGTATCCCCAATCCAATAAACCCACAAAAATAAGGAATATTTTCCAGAAGTTTTGGTTGGTCACTATTTAATTAGTAACAAAATAAAATCAAAAATAACGCTTAAGTGCATATTTAATTAATGACCATTGGTTTAATCAGTGGTATGCTGCTATGAGAGAGTTCTTTTGTAATGTTTAAGTATCTCACTATTAAAATAACATTAAAAATAAAATTTACGGTAACAAAACGAATATGTCCTTAAAAGTTAATTAATCATACTGAATAACAGTACCAAACGTCAATTCGTTTTAGATTTAGTTTAGTGTGAAAATAACCCACGTATTCCCGTTTGAATAAATAAAACTACCAGTAATAGGATAACTTTGATAATCAAAACTTAACAAAAAGTAGGTTATGTATGCAACAACTATGCAGAGAACTCCTTATTTAGTTAGATAGAGCGGGTGAAGTATTCGGTAAGTTAATACGAATTCAAGCCATAGTTTAAGCATGTTTTATCTATGGTTTAAGTTTCCTCTATCCTTTACATTTACATCATGTAGAATCTATTACGAAAGATTCTTTTTACGTAACGTACAAAATAAAATAAAAATATGACATTTCATTAACCATTTTTATAAGTCCCTTGGTTTTATTACTGTATTTCTTATTTTTATTTAATCAAGTCTCGTTGTCCGATCAACTCAACCACGATACTAGTGACAGTGCGTATGCAATTATATATATATATATATATATATATATATATATATGTATATGTATATATTTTTAATGTAGGCTTTAAAATGAGAGATAACAAGCATACTAAGAAGATCTCTGATGATTCCACACAGGCTGGTGAAATGCATACGGGGACACAAATATCTTACTACCTAAGAAGAACAAAGAGAACTTTAACAAAGATAATTTAACACTAAAAGTAGTTTTTTACAATCCACAATTTTTGTATAGTTACTGTTAGCACTTGAAGGGGAGCTCCCCAGTTATTTTACAAATTAATTGATCCAACTGATCAATATTTTAAGTAAAAACATTACCTGGAAGCGTAAATTAGGATCTGTGTTAATCAGAAAATTACCCTATAGGCCTAACTATAATATGAGATTGTAAATCCTAACACATTATGTTAAATATTCGATGAATCTAAACCTTATCCTAGCGTATTAATGTAATTAAAAACCTTTTAAACAACAGTTTAGGTGAAAATTTAATAAAAACCATTGGTTTAATATTCTCAACAAGTTTAAAGTTAACATTGCATTCAGGCGGTTATTTTCTTAGTAATATTCTTATCAGCATAGTTGTAAGATATTTGACCTCTAATTCCGATTAACACTTTTTATTAATGAATTGTGAGAATGCAAGTTTATCAAAATACCATCCGGCATTAGTAAAAATGTGAAACAATTTTCTAATTGACATAGTTTTGTTTGTTCAAAATGTAAGCACCTTTTGGAAGTGATTTTGAAAGCAAGAATTTGGTGAGTAAGGTTAATACAACAGTAATAGTTAATGTAGTTTGTTTTAAAACTGATACATGTATGAAAATAACAGATGAAAGTATAGGTTGTAAATTGTTGTACGTAATCTTTGTAGTAGTGTGGATATTGTGGTATAGATGGATGATACAATATTTTTGAATACACTTTTTTAAATACATTTTAATACAGAAAATAAGAAAAGGTGCAATTTTACCTTTCGCACTTAAGATTGAAGCTTTGGTTCCCAAAGTCCGCCAAATCTTGTCAATCTCCACCTAATTTTATCCATGTGATAATCCATTGGGGAGGACGATATCCGTCATGCTATCCAAATCAAAAGCCTGTAGATCTTAGTATACCTCTTCTAGAAAAAAATAATAGTTAGTTCTCGGTATGCTCCTTTCAAAACAAAATTCTTACACAATTCTCAAAACAATTTACAAAAAGGGCCCAAAGAACAACCTGAAGTAAGAAAATACTTTATACCTCAGCACTTCTCTTCTAAATAAAAACCTTTAGTAAGTTCTTGATAAATCCCTGACATAATATCAATTTTTACACAATTTTCTAGAAAATGAACAAAAAAGGCCTCAGGGAGGACCACTTCATCCCGTCGGAAGTGGAAGAGGGAGACCACTTCAGAGGCGGAAGTGGACCATTTCTCGAGGCTGACCCTTCGAGGTTCAATCCAGATACGCCAACCCCTTACACGTTCAACTGGCGAAAGAGGAATGAATGGGGGTCTCCGCCGGAGTTCGAGGAGGACGAGGGTATCATGGCGAAACACCCCTTGGAGGGAGTCATCATGACGTTTATTGGAAGTAAAGATACCTTCTACGAAGTAGACTGCAAATACTATTTGCTAAATCTGAGGGACGATCTCAAGAAGAAGGGGATGTATGAGATTCCATGGAAGTGAGTAACGGGGTTGTATAATGCAAGGCAAGAAAGTTAAATTTAAAGTGATAGTATATATTTTTTGATGCTGTACAGGAAAAACGTAGGATGGATTTTAATTTGTACTAAATGTCAGAATAGTACTAGCAATAAGTAGAAACGAGAAAACACAATTAATGTAGTCCGAAGTCACCACAATATTTAGGGACGGTAAGATATATTTAATACACAATATTATTGATTATTATGACAGATTTAATTTTACTGGAATAAATAAACTATAAATTTTAATATAAACATTAAACAGACGTTCCAACACTATTCAGAAAAAATATTTGCTTTTGTAGGCCTAGTCTAATATGTTGAGAGTAACTACCTGCCTAAATATTTCCTTACGTATATAATCATCAAAGTATTAAAATAATACACAAGGAGTCTTGAAAATTATTGAAAAAAAAACATAAATATTATTATAAATTATAAACAATAATTTATATATTTTTTACTATTATAAACATACCTAGTAAATTTAATGAGATGCAATAAGTATACTTTTACTTCATTGAGAATGACACTTCTTTAAAAAGGTAATATACCTACTAATCAATTTAACTTTCCTAATGGATTTTCATACTACCAATAAAATACTACATACTGAATTTATACAACGCTTAAAATGTTTGAATTCTTAATTTTTAGAAATATCTTTCCTATGACAAATTGATTTTAGAACACAAATAATGAATATTGTTTCTATAAGTAGTTTTATTATAATTTTTTAGTTTCGTAGTTGGTGGGGATGGTACGGTATACACGGCTAGAGGGTGGGACAGACTGCCCGAGCCTCACCCTGAGGAACCGGAAATGAATGGGAAGAGCATTGAAATCGGACATTTTGGCACCAGAGGTAAGATCTAAAATCCATAGTACTTTCTATACTTACATACTTTAATACTTAAACACTTTTCATTGAAATGGCAACCATACAAAGTAGGTATTTAAGCAAAGTATGAATGGAGATGAGTGTAGGATCAGAGTTACGATCTTGTAGTCTTGTAGGTGACTAAGGCCGACATATTTCTTGGTCACAGCTGTTAATTAATAGCCCATACAGCCAATGACAACTAAGTGACCAAAGTTTATAGTGAAATCCAAACAAAACTTTTGCCTCGGTAACCAACTATAATATAATTAGACTGTATTACCATAAATTTCTCTTATTATCAGGATAGTACTGTGGATAGTCGTAGTACTCACTAGTTTGGACGTTAATCCAAACCAGGGAGTATCGTATCCACAGATCATGCCTGTAAGTATCCACAATTCGTGACCTCCTAGTAGTTGGATTACAGGACGACGCTGCCATCTCAGTCATATTTAATACTGTTTGTTTACTATGTTAGACTAATTTTATTGTGACACATTTTGCTTTCATTAAAATTATAAATTAAAAGAATTAAAGCCGTTTTGCGTATACTAGTGTAGGTCTACGTAGGGCTCGCCGCTTACTGACATCGCTAGTGAACTGAGTTTACCCATTTGCAGCTCAGTAGCTGACGCTTATGTTTTGCTGTATGTTAAAAACATTTTAAATTATTGAATCCCTTACTGCATGAAAGATAAGGCCAGTGATACGTTTTTGACCTTAAGATACATGTTTGATGCTGACATTCAGTGCTAGATGACTGAAGTTTATGACCCTAATGCAATGAGAGAGGGTAAATTGCTGAAATGGGTGAGGGAGTGTAAAATGACCCGTAGCCTTACAGATGAGTAATGTGCTAGTCTTAAATGATTAAATTTGCATTACATTTCTAAATCACTTAACAGTATTTCACTAAAAAGTAAAACATATGATTTTCCTTCAGCACTTCATACTCCATTGCAATAACAAAAAATATTAATAATTAGTTAGTATGAGCTGTATCTTCGTAAGATTTAATTTAAAATTTTTCTGCTTTAATTTGTGTCAATTGTTAATTCATTTCAGCATTTGTTAACTTGCGTTTTATACCATATGTCAAAGAGATCAGACCAACAATTTCAATGCATCTTACCACTTAATCAGGGGCCATTTAAGTGGATCCTTAATTGTCACCGCAGTTTGAAACAGTTGGAAAATGCGGACACATTTTCTTTATTTGATTTAATTTATCGTTTAACTTATAATATTTTTACCTATAAATACAATTATGTATTTGTTGAAAGGTACACTTCCACCCAACGAAGCACAGATTGCCTCAGCTTGGGAAGTGGTCGAATATGGAATAAAAGAAAAGTATCTCATACCCGAACCAGAAAGAAGTTCATTCTTCTACGCATAAAAGTTACAGCAAAATAAATAAATTCTGTCAAATGTGTAATGAAGTGTTCAAATTATGTAATTTGTATAAATATTTTCTGTACAGTATTTACCTGTGTTATATTAGTATATAGACGTTGCATGAAAATTGTATTGAATTTATTTTTCAAATAATTTAATTTGTTAATAGGATATAAAGCTAGCTATTCTAATTCAATGTGAAGCCAGGGAATATTGCATAGCCTATGCACATGACCTACATGTCTATTGTGAAAATGAATAGAGCAACTCCTAGGAAACTACAAATTGACTAACAGAAAAAAAATGTATGGATGAAATCACTACTTCAGAACTGAAGGGAATTAATGAACTACTACTCGAGTTGTTTACTGATTCATGTTTCTATCTATTAATTCTTTTGTTGTGTATATTTATTACTGCAGATCATTCCTACGACTAAAATGAAATACTTTGATAAAAGATAGAGATAGAGATAAAGATATAGATTCATAGCCTGATTCCTAGAACTCATATAAGCAAATAAAGAGTCCCGACGTTAATTTCTGGTTTTATGTAGTTTTAATCTAAATTATGAAGCAAAATGATCTACTGTTTTAGGTGGAAAGTGACATAAATCAAGATTTTTTTGGATGCTTGCCCAACATAAGAAAAATATTTAGACTTTTTTGTTTAGCTTTATACAATGTTTTGTCAATAATATCCCCTACAAAAGTGACGCAACCTCTCCTAGAAGTACATGCTTAGAAGGAAATACTGAAAACAATATTTGCATAACAATGCCTTGCAGACAAAGTTTTGAAACAATTCACAGAGTTGACAAATTCCTGATGCTATCATGGTACCAAATGATGTGGTACGAATAATTATGTATGCTTCTGTGGAAATTTTGACTAGATTACTACCATTCTACTTATATTCTAAATATAAAACATGAGAAGCATGATATTGTTTTACAATTTTAGAATTTCACGTATTTTTTAAGCAAACGTTACTTCTAACTAAACATTTTTGAATGTAAGCTCTGTTCACATGTAAACATCAATATTTTTATGTACCTTAAGTAGTATAAATATTTGTTCTAGCAACTGCATGATGTATGATCCAAACACCATTATTTATATTCAAACAATTCTCTTTAACTTATTTCTTGTATATGGTGAACATTTTTGAGCACTTTTACGAAAACTACGTATCAAATAATATCTCATGGCATAGGAATATGTTACCCTACTACATGCCCGGACTTTATGCCCGGACTTTGTATCCAATATTTTCAACACTTGACAAGACTGTTAATGGTGATAAAAATCTTTCTACATGGTCATTTGAAAACAGATAACGCATTATAACACACTTTCATTATGTAATAAGTGATAGAATCGTTTCAACCTTATGGTGTTTTTACGGACTTGTTAGGAACTCCATAAACTCCTTTAGCCTGTTATATGGTACCAATTCCTACCGCTGTTGCGGACGATAACGAACAAGTTCTAGTGACAAGGAAAGAATGGAGTTCAGCTCCTCCAATCTCAGAAAAAGAAGGAATCCCTCTAAAGTATCCGATACCTGCTGTAATCTTCACTTACACAGAAACTGACGTGTGTAATGAAAGGAAAGATTGTAAGATAGCGTTGAATGAGTTGCAAAGGAAATACAAGAAAGATGGCCTCTATGATCTACCATGGAAGTAAGTCTAAAATTTAAAAATATATTTTTTCGGTAAATGTAGGCCTAATGACTGTAATTTTACTGAATTGTTTATGTTTCAGTATTTTTGTATTGTTAGTTAATAAACTTGCTGTTTGTAAGAAATGGGTATGTATACAAATATTTTAATTATTTTTTGTGTGTGTTCTGAAAAAGTCTCTAAATGAGGATAATATATTTTTGTATATACAGGGTGTTTCCAAATTGTCTGGACATATTTTGTTGACTTGTTCCTTGGGCTAAGACAAACATAAAAAGCCGTATAAGTATGGGTCTTAAATGCCCAGATTTCTGTTTGTCGGTCTGTTAGTGATTTTAAGGAATTATTTTATATCTTGAGCATTTTTCGAGATAGAAATGTCAAAATTGGTATAAATGTGTACTTTATTAGGTAAAAAAGCTTACAAAGTGTCGTTTCAATATGGCGGTCATTTTTAATAAAGCCAAATTCCATGAAAACCGTAAATATTAAAAAAATACGTATTTTAATGCTTAGTTTTAATAACCTTTTAATACTTGTTTAAATCTCTAAAGAAGCTGTGATCACAATAATCTAATTTGCAAAAAAAAATTGTTTGTGAATTAAAAAGCTTTTCTATGCAAAACGCAGTCAAAATAGAAAACAAAGGTACCTTGTTTGAATCAAATGCACACAATTTACTTTGGTCGTCTACTCTTTTTGCTTAAAATTTATGTGTTGTTCTACATAGATTAATACTCTTTAGTTATTTAAATAGTTATCATATACTTTAACATACTTTGGCAGTTTCGTAGTTGGAGGGGACGGTACGGTATATGAGGCTCGAGGTTGGAAGAGACAGCCTGAACCTCATCCTGAATTTCCAGAGTGGGCCGGAAAAAGTTTGGAAATTGCTCATTTTGGATCCACAGGTAAATGAAAGCTTTCAAACTATCCTAAATGAAATATCCTTTCGGATTTGCAGAGCAAAATATTATAAGATTTAACCCTAATCTTTCAACAACGATGAAATTATGTAGTAAAACATCACTTACATTATGTACAACTATTGCATTAGTTTTTATTTTTTCTCTCGTAATTTCAGGTGTTACACCAGAGTTGTCATGTGTTTTAACATAAATCTTTCAAATTTTAGGAAAACGTGGAGTAAAACAAAGGTACTTACAACTTTTACAACAACTTTCTATTCTAACTAATTCCAACCTTAGTTTCAGGTGTTCCACCTAACGATGAACAAATGGTCGCTTCTTGGTACATTGTCAACGATGGAACAAACAAAGATTATATAAAACCTCTTCCGATCAGAAGAACGCTCTTTTACACATTTCCCATGAAAATAACAGTGCTCAAGAGACCGATTGTGCGTCATGATGAAGGTCACCGTTTTGTTGTGTAGGGTTGCGTTTTTTATTTGTTTATGTATTTATTAAGTTTATTATGTATAATAAAACATATTTTATACCATTGTTATAAACTTTTAGAACTCAATTGTTTAAATAGTGCTTAAGCAAGGATAGTATTGTCACGTTTGGTAGTATAACATTATAAGTAGTAAAATGGTAAAACATTTTTAAAGTATTAAAGTTGAGTTGTAATTCAAGAACATAATTCATGCTTAATGGGACAATTGTGCCTAATATTCTATGCAAACTACAAAAAATCTTATTTTAGCGAATTTCCCATATGGGAAATAAGTCAATACTGTAGGCCCCTACGTCTAATTGTAAAACCTGTACTCGGGACTGATTTACTCTTTTGCTTTTATGTCCCCAGAGGTGAAAAAACTCCAATATTTATTTTTGTGTCAACAAGGACAATAAAATGAGCAAAATCTTCCTATTTTGATGATATTTGCAAATAATTTTCGAACGGGTTCACGAAACAGCATGATCGGAATAAGATAACGGGATTTTCATAGGTTGTTGCATAGGGGAAAAATTAGTTTTTTCACTTCTACCCTGAAAAAATTAAATTCCATCCACTTTGGTGAAGGTTTAAAAAGACAATACTTCAATGATACGTTTAACGATACGTTGTTGTTTGCTTAATGGTAACGAAGAAAATGCCAACAACTTTAGGTTTACCGAGTGAGTAAAAACCTTATCCATGATTAAATCATGAATATGTGTTTAGTAAAAACTCTAATTCAAATACAAAAGGGTTTTATATTGTCAATACTCCGCTATGAAAAATCATGTGGTGGTTTAACATTTTTTTGGAGAAGCGTTGTATTCATCAACTAGAGGTTTCCGATTTAAATCGTGAATGCCCTATTAAATGTTTGACGTTTTTACGCTTAAAGAATCTCAAATTTGACTTTAGTCAATTTACAGGCGTCGAGTGAGATTTATAGGTGAAAAAAATTATCACAGAGTTTATGGGGATTTGGCACACGTCGAGGTAACTGAAATGGGATTTGTTCTTCCACAATAGTTCAATTATGAACTTATGTCGCTGAAAAACTTTAAGTAGTCGATGCAATCACAAAAATGAAAGAAGGCTATAATTTCCAAATAATGTTTTTCATATAGGTACATAATGTAATACGGGTTTTCGTTCTCCTATAATGCCAGACAATGCTGGTAAGGTTCTACAATATTTTAGTTGTTCGTACTTCCACTTACTTCTCCTTTGGTCTTACAAGCCCTAGTCGTACCTTAGTTTAATTGGCTTTTGTTTCTTTAAAACAGTTATAAAACACATTTCTAGTACTTTTACAATATCATATACTGCGGGTTAAATTAAAATGTGTATATGCTAGTAGGGTGTTTCTAAAGAAAAAGAAAAGGCCTTCTAGAGAAAAAAAAACTTTGCTAGTGCTTACAATAACCATCACACAAAATAACATCCAATTAAGTAACACATTGTAAAAATACTTAATGTACAAAAAGTTGTTGTAGTTAGTGACAAAAACTACTTTGTCTAAACCTAAACACAACATTTATGTAAAAGTTCGCAAATTTTCTATATTTGTGTGTTGCACATTAAGGACGAAAGTTATATTTTATATGAATTAACTACGTCCCATCATTCATACAGCCTATTTGCTCATTGACTAAAACAAGATTTTTTGCTATGAGAAAAAAAAGTTGTTGTCAAACCCAGATGTGGCAGAGACAACAGGGGAATATTATACGTTTTAGGGAGTTCGTAGGTTCTAAAGATAAGTTTATCTTGAAAACCATAAACGATGCTACTAAACATTGCGTAGCTGGCTTGAATGCAAACGATGTTTTGTCTCGTTTACATAATTAGTCAGTGTGATTGTAACTGTTTGCGAGTGTGTATAAAATGAGAAATTGGCGACTAATTTTAAAGTCTAAGGAAAAGTTTTTCATAAATATTTAGTGTTTTACATGTTTCTTTGGACATATCTGCAATTATGACAGATCCTGTAAGTAATATAAGCTTCACGTAGCGTTAATATTATCATAACATAACACAAAAAAGCTTAATTACTTTTTTCAACCAAGGTTGTAGATATCGAGTAGGGTTTTCCTGTTTATGTAACAAAATTATTTTTACGTACAACTCCTAAAAAACATATTATTTTCAAGCCCACTACTTATTTCCCCTTTATTTCAATTGATAAACAGTTTTGATATTTACTCACGAAATCAATAGTGAGTTTATATTAAATACCAAAGGACTGAAGGCTTTCCTCACATAAATTTAACAAACTATGAAAATACTTTTTATTTTTAAAACCCCCTGATGTAATAAATACGAAGTATTCATGGCAAATTAACTTCAAAGCTAAATTTGTTTCATATAGATACAGTGAACATAATGTATACTATGGTAAAGCAGTTAATTGTTTATTAGTTTTAGTACTTGACATACATAATACATTTTTGATATTTTATACGTCTCTTTAAGATAAGTAACCTGTAATGAGTGCAAGATATGCACTTTAAAGACCTTTCCATGATTGACCTATCCATACTGTTTGGGTGACCTAATGGTTATAGTCCACGCCTTAAATCTGAAGGTCAATAGTACGATTCTAAGCTAGATATAGACCCAGATGTCATTTATCATTAGGCTAACAATTAAAGAACCTGACACGTTGGATCAAGATCAAGGTTAATTTAACATACTAAACACGAATGTCACTGACTTAGATAGACACAGAAAAAAGCTCTCTCAAAATTTGGAATCAAACATTACTGTCATTTTAGGGTCTGACCACCTCTACGGCCCGCACATTTCGCTGGGAGAGGGAGCGAAGACACACAGAGCTGGTGATAGTCCCTAGGGACGAGTGGGGAGGGCCTCCACTCCTGGAGTGTGAATACTTCGAGAAACCGTTCCTCTCGAACCCCGTGCCTCACATCATCTTGTCCTACACGGAGACAGATGTCCTCTTCAGTCCAGAGGAATGTAAGGAGAAGCTGTACCAGATGCATCTGGACGCTGTAGAAAGAGGACTGTGGACTGTTCCTTTCAAGTAAGTTTCGCTAAGAAGTTCACCAGTGGGGATTCAAATGGCTATGTATCCTTGACAATTCTTTTAAAAAGGGGTTTCACTATTCGACCTAATTTACGTCAATTTACCAAACTTACGTTGATGTTCCAGGTTGTAATTCTAAATTTGTAAAAAAAATATATTACCATGTTTTTAATGCCCCTTGGAATTTGTTGTTTCATAATGCAAAGCTAATGAAATCAAACTAAAATAACGACTACATCCTTGGTATTTTATAAACATCCCTTTTAAATAAAATCAAATTATTACAAAATTTCATTAGGATCCAACCGAAGCGTTAGGATTTAACTAAAGAATAAGATAGCTTAACTAAAGAGTACTAAATCATTGTATTTTATATTTTTACGGACAAATTTTAATTAGTTTTATCCGTAAAACATTGACACATTTTCCAAGATATTAATTAGTTTTGATCTTACTCGATTACATTGTTTTGAAATAACCAATGGACCAACATATATGTAATAACATTTGTTATTTTTTTAGCTTACACAAACCAATTTGAATTGAAAATGTGTTTAACACCTGACACGAAAATACAGTGGTGTTGTCTGTTTGTAATACATATACGATTCCTAACAAAATATATTTTGATACATGTTTGGTTTAGTTGAGTACTCTATGTGATTAATACAAATGTTACACATTCTATCGATCTTTCCTAGTTATTGGGAGGTAACGTAAATCTAATTAATCAAAGCTGAAAAGAAAATTAAATGTAATTAATTAACATTTAGGCCTTGTGGTTGCAATTTGGTTAAAATAAATCTGGTTCCACTAATCTTGTTACCATTTATTATGGTTTAAATGAAAAACGATTCCCTTCAATAATGAAAAATAACGACCTACTTTCTTAGCAAATTCTATCATCTTTCAGCTTTGTAGTCGGTGGTGATGGCACCGTGTACGAATGCAGGGGCTGGAAAAGAAAGCCTGAACGAAGCAGAGTTTTCCCAGCTTTGTGGGGAGAAAGTATGGAAATAGCTCACTTTGGGAGAAAGGGTAAGATAAGCCAATCTTTAAACTTGTTGACAAGCTTAGATTATATGACTTCATACCGATATACGTTTACAATGAAGTTATTACATATTTTCGTCGTACTGTAGCAAACTGATGTTTTCATTACGTTCCTGCCGGGGCATAGGATGTTATATTTTCCTGCCGGGGCATAGGATGTTATATTTTCCTGCCGGGGCATAGGATGTTATATTTTCCTGCCGGGCCATAGGATGTTATTGTCAACCTATGGTTAAGTGGACATCACCTATACCTCAATCACATTTCCAACAGGAAAGTATTCCCGATGAAAAAGTAAACTATTAAATAATTCTTTAAATTTATTTATGTTTACCACTGTAAAGAATATTTGACTCTGAATTATTGATATTTAAATTTATTGAAATTTTAAAGTTTTTCAGTAGCACATTTTTCAATTTCTTATTTAATTGGTAGCGTAATATCTTATGCATCTAACAATTTTAAATGGATTCAAATATTTTAAAATTTTTTATACGTATGGATCAGTTGCTTGTTTATGTAGTGAAAAAAGAATGAATAAATTGTATTAATGTTATACAGAGAAACAACAAATAACATTTTATATTCATAAATAGTCACACGAACTTATAGAATAGTACATAATGACAATATAGTTTCTCAAAGGCAAAAGGTGTCTTTTCAACCCTGGTTTTTTATATGTGTAGTAAAAACGTTTTAATTCATTCCTATTTTTTTATTATAAAAATTCATGGGCATTTTTTAATGAATTTTTGTCTGTTCTAGGTAAACCACCATCGATAAATCAAATCAACGGTTCCTGGCTTTTAACTTTGTTTGGAATGTCAAAGAAATATATCACACACAAGTCTATGCCCGACCGACATCCTTTATTTGTATAGTGTATTGCTAGAAAATGTGTGTCAAGTCGTGTAATTATACCCTAAGCTTTATGTATATAATGTTAAACTTGTGTTATTGTAATAAACATTTGAAACTGTTTGCTTTACTATTTAAAGTTGTATTTTATTTATGTATTCTGTACTTAAATACATAGTGAGATGGGAAATTAGTTAATAGTGTTTTAATTTGATTACACAAGACATTAAAATATTTGAAATTCGTGATAGATGAACAGTGGGATTTTTATATTACAGAAAATGTTTTTACCCATACATAAAGCGTAAATTTTTAAATATTCCATTTCATACAACTGTATAACTATGCGTGTTATAATAGTAAATGAACAAAACAAAACTTTCAGAAAAATGAGTAACATAGTTGATCTTAATTTATAATCAGACGATTTTGTTGTATTCTCGATTGAAACGGGCTATTTGTAAGCTTATTGTATCCATTTTTATTGTAAAAAGGCAAATAATTATATATTATAATCAAATCAAATCAAATCAAATTATCCTTTATTCATTTAGTATACAATATACATAAATAGCGTCAATACAATAATCGTGATAAAACAAATATCTTAAAACTAATGTACAAGAGTCAGTGGAAAAAATCTTTTACCTTATAACAGCATTTACTACATAAAAACTTAAATAACTGTTTCTTAAACGACTTAAGGGAAGCTACAGATTTAATCGAATCAGGCAGGTTATTGTAAAACTTAACACCAGAGTAGTGGGGAGAAGATTCTAAAGTTGAGGATTTATGTTTAGGGTATAAAAGGCAGCTTTTGTGTCGGGTATTATAATTATGATTGTCCGAATTAACAGAAAATTTAGAAATATTTTGTTTCATAAAAATTAATAAATTGTAGATATACAGACTGGGAAAAGTAAGGATATTATTGTTTTTAAATGTATTTTTACAAGAACCCCTAGCTTTGATAGAATAAATTGTTCTAATTATTCTTTTTTGCAATTTAAAAACTTTTTTATTTTTGTCGGAATTTCCCCAAAAAATAATTCCGTAATTGAGAATAGGATAAACATAGCCATAGTATACCATCATAAGAGTAGAAATATCAACTGATCTAGAAAGAATGAGAGTTACAAAATATGCTTTATTTAACTTTTTGATGACGTCTGTTATGTGAGTTTTCCAGGTTAATTTATGATCTACTGTTATTCCTAAAAATTTGGTGGAGTTGGCAAGGTTGCAAGATAGAGTGGTGTTTTCGTGAGAAAAATTGTTATTAAAATAATTTGTTTTTAAAGTTCATTAAAAGAGACTTGGATTGATTTAGTAAAAGTCCATTAGCTTGAAACCAACTTTCCAGCTTTTGGAATTCTTGTTTGATAAGCTGTGGAAACATTGATTTATCTGGATGGGTGAAGATAGCAGAAGTATCGTCAGCAAACATAACCAATTTAGAATTTAAGGTCATGGGCAAGTCATTGACATAAACCAGGAAGAGTAAGGGTCCAAGAATGGACCCTTGAGGTACACCATCTGTGATTAATCTATAATCAGATTTAATTCCCAGTGACTGCAAATTTATACACTGTTTTCTGTTGGATAGAAATGAAACCAACCATTTACTGGTCCTGCCCGATATACCATAAAACTGCAACTTCCGAATCAGTATATTATGGTTTACACAGTCGAACGCTCTTGACAGGTCACAGAAGAGACCAGATACATTCTGCGACCTGTCAAGAGCATCCGCAACCTCAGATACAAAACTAAATATGGCATCTACAGTGCTTTTACCCCTTCTAAACCCATACTGATTCATGTTTAAGAGTTGACATTTATCAAGGTAATCATACAGCCTATTAAAAACTATCTTTTCAAAAATTTTTGAGAATGTCGGCAGTAATGAAATGGGCCTATAATTAGTTAGTTCTTTTGGATTGCCTTTTTTTATAACTGGTATCACGTTTGAGAGCTTTAATACATCCGGAAAGACACCTGTATAGAGTGAAGTGTTGATTAAATGAGCAAGTGGGATTGAAATAAAAGATGAACATTGTTTTATGATGAAGGGTGATATTTCATCCCATCCACACGATTTTGAAGGTTTTAATTCGTTAATTATTTGCTGAATTTCTTGAGGATCTGTAGTTTTGAAAGATATTAACATAGAATTAGGTCGGACCCCTTGTTGTAAAAAATTTATTGAGCTTTCAGGATCAGAATTAACATTTAGAAGTTTGCAAGTTTCTGTAAAGAATTTGTTAACATAATTTAACTGATTTTTGATGTTTACGGATTCGGATAAAAATGGAAATTTGTCTATTTTACTGGCGGAAGTATTCGTTTCTGTTTTTACAATTTGCCAAGCAGTTTTAGTCTTGTTGAACGATTGTTTAATTTTATTTTTATTATGTAATATTTTAGCAGTTCTTATACATTTACTGAGCACTTTGCTGTACTTTTTAACATAATTTTTAAAATGCAGATTTGTGGATCGTTTGCTGAGCTCAAAAAGTTCCCGTTTATGTTTACTAGATCTTTTTATCCCACTTGTAAGCCAACCTTTATCTTTATTCCGGTTAAGACTATTTTTAGCCTTAACTAATGGAAAAGACGCATTAAAATGTAGTTTAAAAATATGTAAAAAACACTTATAAATAGTATTTGCATCAGATGTTACATTTAATTTCTGAAAGAAGTAAGACCAATCCTCTGATTTTAAAGAATTGACAAAATTGGAGATATTAACCTTAGAAAAATGTCTTACGTATATTGTTTTTTTATTAACCACAGTTTCTGTATGTTTCTTGGTAAAATATTCACAATTCACTTGAAGATATTGAGTTAAGTGATCAGATAAACCATTTTGTACCACAGAAGGCAAACATAAATTAGGTTTAAAATTTGTTATAATATTATCAATACATGTACTAGAAACATTTGAAACCCGAGTGGGTACCTTTATAGTTGTAAAAAGATTGAATGAATTTAATATTGAAAGAAACTCTTCATATTGAGAACTATTTTTCAAAATATCAATGTTAAAATCTCCTGTAAGTATAAAAAAGGATTTAGGATTCTTAAGAATAGAATATTGTAAAAGTGAACGCAAGCTAGAAAAAAAATATCATATGCAATTTTGGTATACACGGTAGGTCTGTAGACACAAAGCACAATTAAATCAAGAGGGTCCGTGATCTGAGCACCACAACACTCAAAATAAGAGTCAACCGTAAAGTTTCCAAGATCCGCTCTTAATTTAATACTGTAATTATTATTCACCAATACACAAACCCCACCTCTTTTTTGTTTCTCTCTGCAATATGAACCGGCTAATTGATACCCATCGAATTGAAAAAGTGGAATTTGGCATGTAGATGGAACCCAGTGTTCAGAGAAACAAACAATATCAGGTTTTGTTCTAAAAGAATCTATGTAAAGATTTATTTCATCGATTTTATTGCCCTGGGTTATCCCTTGAATATTGCAATGTAAAATGTTTAGTAATTTAAGTGCTTGTGTGTCAGCAGTGCCCACATAAGAGGAATTGGTCTTAGATTGTAGTCTTATGCTTTCTTTTGCATGACCTTTCTGTTCCTTAAAAAATATTTCATGTTAGTCTGCCTAGTATTTACATCAGTAAAACTGTTATCAACTATAATTTCTTCACTTTCTACAGAAATCAAACTCTTGGGTATTTCAGGTTCTTTTTTCATTTGTTGTGTTGAGGTCATTGTGGAGTGAGATGTCAGGAGTTGTAGGTTGTGTGTCTTGACCAGGTGCACTGGACGTCGGAGAAGCAACATCCCGAGTCCCGATCACATCAGTTGGTAGATCTGCCTCTTTGGCCTGTCTAGGTTGTCTCTCGATGGGATCATCCTTTGAATGTTTGTTAACTCGAGTCTTCTGATGATTCACCTGGGTTTGACTCTTGGTTATTGTAGATGGAACTGTCGGTAACTTTGAGGTCTGGAAGTTAGGTTTACCCATCTCCCACTCAGTCAAACCTTCCTCATTGAATTCATAAATGCCGATCCTTATGTCTAGGTTATTAAACGTTTTGGTTACCATCTCCTTAACTCTTCCCCAATGAAGTCCATCCAGCCCACAACCGATACGAGGCATAGCTAACTTGCAGATCTTATATTCGATGCATTTTGCCTTTAGATTGTCGAGTGAGTTTTGGAGAGTTTGGTAAGTTGGCTTCTTGTAACTTAACTCTTTTGTTACTAAGTAAAAAATATACTGACTGTCAACCTTCAGTGCGGCACAACCACCAACACCTACATTCTGGGACTTAAGCTCTTCAATTCTCTTGAATTTACTCCTGAATTTAGCCGCAATGCCTTTTGCCATTCGTAAATCCCTGGCAACACAGTGAGCCAAAGCATGATCCTCAGGGGCAGAAAATAGATCACGCTTTATTTCTTCGATGGACATTGCTATAGACTGAGTTTTATCATTCGGCGTTGAGTGGCAGTTGTCCAGGGGTGAGAGTGTGTCCGTTCTCCTATCTTTAAGCTTGTTGATGACTTTATCGTACTTAAATTGTATGCATCTGCAAAGTTCCTTTTTCCCCCTTTTATTCAAATGAATACCATCCTTTGAATAATATTTCTCAGATAAGGAAGAACCATCGATAATGAAAACATTTGCATTTGAATGTGCTACATCATTTAAAAAAAATGTTATATTCTAAAATATCAAAGTTGACCTTTTGTGAGAGAGATACATCACGGCGGAAGGGTACGGTGATAAGAAATAACGGAGTTTTCATATTTGGCAGTTTAAGGTTGGCGTATAAAGCTTTAAGGTCATTGCTATATATATTATTAGCACCAGCAAGAAATTTTGTCAAATCATTGTCATTCCATGTATTACTGTTCATCATAAGTTTATCGACTTTGGCGTTTGGGCATGTAAAGCCACATACCCTGAACTCTTCAGAAAATAAATCCATTGTCATTTTAGCTAAGCCTCTTGCATGACTGTCTCCAATGATTTGAATTTTTTTCTGGGTCTTCTGGTTGTGTGATTTGATATTTGAATTCATCAGGTGGTTTCCCATATTTTTAAAACGTTTGGGCACATTTTTGGTGGTCACAATTCTCGGGTCTTCTGATGGTAAGTTTTCCGGAGCCCTAATTGACTTTTCCCCTGTAGCAAGTTTAGTAATACTTTTCTCTTCTTCAGATTGATTACTTGCACTAGTGTCATGTATTGATTCAGCGAGAGGTTCATATCTGTTCATTGTTGTTACAGGTGGTAAACACGGCCACTTACTGAGACTTCTCAATCTTAAGTTATTATCTTCATTTGCAGCAGTGGAATAAGTACTATTGTCCGATTCCATGATAAATTTACTAGGGTTTGCCTGCTTTAGGTTGTTAATTTCTTCAAGAATACTCACATCAGTTCTCTTGGTGTCACCTATTAGAGTAGGTTTCTGTGATGTATTGCATATAGAAGGAAATATATTATTGTGTTTAAAAATATTTAGCAAAGCCAGTTTTGCATTCACTAAAACATTCAAGCCGCATTCAAACGAGTTTTTTTGTTGATTGCAAGAAACTTCTTGGATGTGCTGCTCACTAATACCTAGACGGTGGGCAATTCTTGCTGCAGCAGCTTTGTTATAGCCACTTATTGAGTCCCAGTGATAAGCTTTGGAAGATGTACTGTCATATATGAGAAGGCTCCAATGGGATCCGGAGTCAGAAGACTGTAATTCCAAGCTGTCGTTCACACATAAAAAGACAAACTTTTTTGAGCCAAACGACATCAATTCAAGCTGTTTTTGTACGTCGACCGAGGATCCTAGTTTTATCTGTAGCGTTGCTCCTGGTCCAAGAAGAAGAATGTCCTGTCTGTCATTTATATTGTCGTAGAGTGAATCAAAATAGGTTTGTAATATATCATCAGAAAACCACAAGTCATTATTTGTGGATGAAGGCTTACTCTGTTTCGTAATAGCTGTAAGCTGTAACTTATGGTCAGAGATTTCCTTAGTCAGCTTATTGATAATGTCAGTACTTATATGATTTTCCCGTTGGATTTCATTTATGTGACGAGTTAGGCATTCTTTCTCAGAGTTCAACCCACTGATGATTTGTTGCAAGTCCGATATCTTTTGCTGAAGTTCGTGTATTTCATCGTTAGCTGAGTCTTGGATCTTGAACGAGTTGTTAATTTCCTCAGATCTAAGATCTTTCTCATTTTGCGCAATTCTATGCAACATATTTAGTTCTTCTTTAAGTTTTAGATTACTTGTCTCGATATCATATTCCTTTTTATGGATACTGTCAACTTTTATAATAAGTTTTGCGAGGTTTGGCAATAACAGTGAGTTTTGGGATTCGTCATTGTTAGCAATTAAAGTGTTTATTTCATTATAAAGTGAGGAAAAAATATGTTCAGATTCATCGTCTAAGTTAGTCACGTTATACAAAGCAGACTCTACATCCATCAATGTGCTACCTTCCCTCCTAATATATTGCAAACAAAAATTTGAATAGTTTCCCGTCAATTCTGGATACTGTAGTGCCTTCAACAGTTGAAACGCAGTTGCGCAGTACTCAACTATCAAGCGGGAAGCATCGCAAAAGTTGCAGGCGTAGCTAACTTGCAGAATCGCTCATAGGTAGCGTTGTGATGTTCTCAAGAAAGGGGTAGCTGCACGTATCCCGTATAGGTGGCGTCTGGCCTCTGTACAGTGGCGCTTCGTTTAGCAAATGTTGAGATGGAAGTTGGGCAGATTAGCTGCATAGGGTTGCAAAATATTGGCCAAATGTTAATTGAAACAGAACTAGGTTAGGATTTAAAAACTTCTGACATTTAAAACTCACGCAGAAAAATGTCCAGGGAACCACAACAGTAGATGCGGAAAATCATTGACTATACACAACAACAAAAGTTAACTCAAATGGTTTAAGTATATTGATAAAATCGGAAAGAAATTACAGAGCAAAATAGACACGTCTAGCATGAATCCGTCGTCACGTGACTTCCCCTAGGCCTACTTAGTTCAAAAGTTATCAATTTAAACTGTTACTAATGGATGAAAGCGTATTTTTCAGTTAAAATACATTCTTGATAATTAAACATCAAGCATACCAAAAGTATACAAACTTAATAAAAATATCAATTAAACTGAACTATTTAATTAAATCCTTTTTTTTTGTGATGGTTAATATAAATAGAAAACCAAAATCAACAATGTGCCCGCATCATTTCGTCTATATATGGGAGTCAGTGGAGATGAAAACAGTAATGATAACAAAAAACTATACAGAGCCACATTCAACAAATAAATGAATAATTAAAAACTCTATTGTTGAAGTATAACTTTAGTTGTGTGTAGCGAGTGAGCTGGTTTCCTCGGGATTCCGGGTTCAAAGCCGACTTAATCCCCTATATTGATTTTGATCTAAGTGATAATGTTGCAGCCCCTAGATCTAACCTGAGGTAAGGTGAAAAAATTAAATAATTAAATAATTATACAAAATAATAAATTTTCCGGGCATTAAGTTGCCTCATAATATAGTACTTGTGGAAAAACATCAAAACGAAAAATAAAATAAAAATATTAAAAAAATATTTTATATACAACTTAGTGAGTACAGGCTCATCACTTGACTCAAACAAAAATCAACCTCGGGCTTAAGCCTAATGGCCTAGGACGAAAAAATAAGATTATGTTGTTTGCTAACACAAAGGAAATCTGTAAAACCAAGACAGACTTTACATACTATGAACACAATAATTGTTATATTATTAATTCCTAAGCTGCATCAACTTTAAAATTAATTGTTATAACTAAATCTACTTTACACCATAATGTTTAATTGTCGTAATTTTTATGTGAACCTTTTATACCTCGGTTTGAAGCTCACAGCTTCAGCAATAAATCTACAACTTTCTATGTTGGTTCAGCTATCAAAACTAACATAGTTTTATGAATTGTATGGCATAATATCTACTTAACTATCTTCACTATAACTTAGTAAGTAATTAGAAGATAACGGACGGTGCAACATGGTTTCAAACACTTCAATGTTCCAATTTATTTCTAGCGCAAAAATGTAAAACGAATGTTTCCTTAGTTAACTACAAATGGAAGTGACAAAACCTTCACATTAGCTACTTAATTTGTTTCAATATTTAAGCTTTCCACAACATAAACAGTCAACATGGGTGTGAAAATGCATCCCAAAAATGTAGCAATCAACAAAGAACTGCACAAATATCGTGATTTGGAGGAGATTCTGAAACCGTTCAACCTAGTGTACAGGGATGAGTGGGATGATGAGCAACAGCTGGAGACAAGTGGAGCAGATCTTGTGAAAGTTAGCACAGAAGTGTCAACTGTTGTGATTCCTCCATTGAAACATCCCATATCTGCCGTGCTCTTCTCATACACACAAACCCCTATGTGCGGACTGTTCGACGAGTGCCAGAGATTTCTCAAGGCTATGACTAAGGAGAGTTTGAAGAAAGGAATGCCTGACATTCCCTACAGGTAGGTAAAAGTTGGTTTCCAATTTTGTCTAGTATATTTGAAGTATCATCACTGTTTTGGTTAGAAATGGTAGAATTATTTTTTCCAACTTTTATGCAATGTTGAAAATCTTAATATTATCAACCAGCAGTCCCTCTGTTTTCAAAGTTCATAATATTGTGAAAAACATATATTTTAATTTTATTTGATGGAACTTTGGCTACGCAGTGTTTTAGGAGGTAAGAACTTAGACTTGGAAAATACCATACGGTAAAATTAAAAGAGCATTATCTTTTACAAAAAAGATTGGTTGCATGAGCTTTTTATTGTGTGTTTTAAAGTAAATCCATGGACAAAAGTCAGAAAAAGGTGCCTACTTCTCATAGACAGTTTTTTTCTTCGTGATAATTTTTCACATTCTAATTAGGTAGGCTCTATCCCGGAACTGTTTTACACATTACTTGAGGCTATCCATAGAAGATTGTTGCATAATCGCATCGATAAAACCCAGTTTTAATAGGAGGAGTTTAAACCCGGGACCTCGGTTTCCGAAGCCTGGTACTCTACCTCTAGACCAACTCCCTCCCATCAAATATTTATCTCATAGACAGTACTAATATGCATAATGTCCATAGTATACGTACATAAAAACTGTGGTAGTACATTTTTACAGCAGTACATAATGTTGAAACAACCAAATTCGATACTAACGTAAACATGTACATTGCGGACTCTTTATATGGGATGATATCCAAATCATCCTATATAACATCATGCTACGTAACGTACAACGTTCATGTTTTGGCATCATGTTGAAATAAATCTGACTTTTCAGAATACATATGCGATTTTGGAATACATTCAAATATAATGTAACCAAAAAGTGCAATTCTTCTCTAATAAGACGTTTAACTTCGTCAAAATCACTAAATAGAATTTCATCGACGTTGTATTTTAATTTGTTTGTTTAATTTAGTTAAGTTGTTGTTAATTTAGTTTGTTTGTTTGTTTACACTTTCACAAATATTTATTGCAATGTTAACATTTCTTCACTGAGTTTACGTCACCGTTATTATATTATTGTCATGGGTTTTTTTCTGTCTTGTCTGTCAAATATATTCATATTTTTGCTCGTTACTGTTATTATATTAAAATATTTATCAATTGTTATCTAGATTTGGTTACTTGTATCGTTATTTTTCTAAAAATGTTTATGCATGTTTACTTAGCAGGATGAATCTGTATCTGGCTTATATATATTTATCTTGTAACTTGAATCTCATGTATTATTGACTGTAAGAATGGTGTTTACCGTATAAATAAAAAAATAAAAAAAAGTAAATAAATAAATAAATAAATACCGAAAGCCTGTGCTGAGGCATGTCTAAAATATTGATTGCACTAAACTATTAATTACTAAATTAATCAAGGTAGATTAGTTTCTCTAACCAGAGCTTCAGGGTGGGCTTGTGAAAGAGTTTTAGCTACGAAACCTTTGACTTTGCGGGAAAATCAATTTATATGCAGCAGATTAATTACTTTGAAAACTGAAGTCAACGTGTCCTCCTGGAAAAGGAATATGATAACTAAATGAGGTTTTGGAATTATTCGTTTATTTGTTTATTTGTTTACGGTATAACATCATTTTTACAAGGGTTGGCATTACAGGGTTGACATGCTGATACAGATACAATATTGAAAGATTGAGATTAGATAAACGAAAAGTAATAAAAGAGTGAAGGTGAAATGTGAAATAAAATTGCTTAGCCTAATTAAATTTTCTTCTCTTCTGCCTTTTCTCATGCTTTTTTCCTTTTTTTTTGTTGTTTTGCATAATTTATTGACAGGCAGATAAGAGACTAACATTACATGCAATAGAAAAGACTTGGTTGAATAGCAAGCATATGCTATTCAAATAATAAATGCTAAATAAATAAAAAAAATAATGCTTTATTTAATAATATATGTTAAATAATATATGCTATTCGTGATAAATAATATCCAGCATTATGCTCCTTTATCACCGTAAAGACAAGAGTGTATTAAATCTATAAAAGTTACAAATGTATAACAGTATACCAAAATTTCCATTTTTAAACAAATAAATTTGGTAACATTTTATAAACTTGTACAAACATATTTAAGAAAAAGTTTTTTTTTTACGGTTTAGAGAGTTAAAAGTGTAACAACACTATAGTTGTTTTGAATTTTTTTTCATTAGATTTTAGGGAAATTAGATAAACTACATAAACTATTTAATTATAGTTGGTAACAAGGTAACAAATGACTAGCATTTTTATTTCAATCTCGAATAAATACAATAACACATTATTATGAATGTTTGCGAAATCAACCACACTTTTTTGGCGTTTCAGTTTTGCGATTGGCGGAGACGGTACTGTCTACGAGCTACGTGGGTGGACGAAAAAACCTGAAATGAGCGAAAAATATCCACAATTAGATGGAGCTGTGATAGAAATTGCTCATTTTGGACAGCAAGGTAAGTTCTACCTATAATGTAAAACAGTAAACTGATTCATGTTATATTTATTTTTCATGAAAGTATACTAAAACAAATTGTCATTCCAATGAAATATACATAAAAGCGAAATAAATAAAATATTAATTTACAAACAGCAAGTTCTAATAACAATGTATCCCTACAGTAAAAATATAAATCGACGCTACAATGTAAAAAAGGACATGTCATTCACCCAGCCTGTACACTACTTACTGTGCTGCGTAATGAGCAATATTAAATTGACTCAGTATGATTTCAATATAGCATTCAGTTGAGGTACTAAAATAACGATGTATTGTCAAAAAACATAAATAAAAATTTAGTAATCGTAAAGATCATAAGGACTATGTTAACTTTTGTAAGAGATTAAAAATCTATGGTGTTGGTAATGTAATATGGCATTTGTAGGTTGTCAAAATTGTTTACATTGACTATTAACAAATTACAAAAAAATAAGATAAAAGGTAGCTTTACACGGGTTTATGGCAATACAACCATGAGTAAATCCCCTGGATTAGAGAACAACAACCGATTGATTCATGAAGGTATTTAACCCCTCATTATGGTATTTAGACTGTGATTTCCTGGTAGGCTGGGAATCCATGAAGCTAAAATCCTTTGGGGTGATTTTCAAACTTCCATTTACTCTCCATGTTTACTCAAACTGTTGAGGATATATTTTAGAATAAATTGCTTACACTTTTTAATAAAATATATTTTATGTCTTAGGTTCTCCACCACCACTAACTATGGCCAATGCTGCTTGGGAACTTGTCCAATACGGTGTGAAAATAGCGTTCATGAAGAATAAACCTCGATTCTACACGGACTACCATGATTAAACATTAACTGAATATTTTTATAAGTGTAAATAGGGTGTAAATAATTGTGCCTAAATCGTTTATAGTGTATCCATGTTGTTAGTATTTACGTATAAATATTTGTTATTATTATATGGATCTTATACTTTACCTTTACTTTTCGTGTTAAGTTAGGTTGAACCTGATCTAGTCAGTAAGCTCATATGCGATTATTTATTATATAAACAAAAAATGGAAACATAAGAGGCCACAAAGATCTTATCGTCATAAACATGAAACCAAAAAGTATTATTTTAACCATACTATTCTTTAGTCTAAGAATATCGCATGCTCTTCTCGTAGGTGTTTGAAAATGTACATAAAAACAGTTTTAAACATTTAAACACGAATAAGACAAAAGTCAGTAGAGGCCCTCCCTTATTTATTACCAATCAATTAATCAGTTTAAAATGAAAACATAATATTATGATCTGTATAAAAACATTTGCCTACGCTATTACATAAGTATAGTTGACTAAAATGTAACAATAAAATAGTACAGGAAAATATATTGTATATTTTCGTATCGTTCGGAAATAATAGGGCCTATTTATTCATTTTAGGGCCAGCAAAATGTTAACTAAATTTGGAAAACCATTTGGAACAAGACATAACAATTATTTTACAAGAGTGTTTATGACTGCTTTACAATCATTTGTTACACTAAACATTTTAATATGTAGCATTTCACGATTCAATAAGACTTGTGTGGATTTTCACAGGGCTTTAAATAAATGTTAGTAACATCTTTGCGATCTCTAATTTTATAGCAATTAAGTAATTTTATATTTGCTGCGCAAAATAATAGCCATTGTTTAAACAACAAATAAAATACACAAGGAAATAAATTCGAAAGACTTCAGCCAAACGCATTCTACGCAAAAATAACATTTTATACACATATAGCATTTTGTTTGCATTTGTTATATTTCAATTTGTGTAACAAATATTAATTGAGAAACTTGGTTAACAAAATCGCTTTAAAACTTGAAATTGACAAGCTGATTCGTTCAATCCGTTTAGGACAATGTCGCGAGGAAAGTTATAAGCAGCATTACGTACATTCATTCTCATTTAATAACTAAATACGGATTCGATAAGATAAAACATTGTAACATTGTGTAAATATAATTTTCAGATAGTTAGGTAAAGACCGTGCTTTATTTTAGTTATATTTTACTTTTGAAGTGCGAATGTCACGTGTTTTTCAAAATATAAACATGTTTCATAAAAAATATTTGTAATGTTATTGAACTAAAACACACTACAGGTAGGTATTCCTATTATGCTAAGGATACCACTGTTATATTTGTTGAACTAAATAACTCAATTATAAAACTGTTGTTTTCTTCATAACTTTCCATACAAAGAGTGAGAAACGTAGCGCTTCAAAATGAAATTAAAATAAATTTATATATTTTTTTGTACGGTTTTGTCTTAACAAATTTGTTTGATAATTAGTATGAAAATACAAAGCAAGTACCTCTTTTACAGCATTAGTGATAAAATACATAGAGTTTTAGTTATTAGGTTGTTAAGTCTTTAAAGTTATAAGAATTATTTTCAAATTTTTGTATGATTTGTTACATGTTGATATACCTTTGCTGTCAAACAAATGCATATAACTAATAATCTTATACGATTCCTATATTTTCAGATTGAACCATGCCGAAGCTCCTTATCCAACAACGCATTTTAAGGAGGAAGATTTGGGGAGCCAAAGTTTACACGACGCCTTTAACACCCCTACAACATCCTGTTAAAGAAGTCGTACTTAACTATCTAGAAAAAGATCTCTGTAAAACTCGAGCAGAATGTACACAGGCTGTTTTAGAACTCCAGGACGAGTACCACAAGAAAGACTTTAAAGACATCGGACCCAAGTGAGGTTTGTTAGGTAATAGTGTCACTTTAGGTAATATTTACTAAGTTATTGTTTATTTTAATTTCCTAATGTCATGTTTTCGAGTTGACAAACACTACTTTTATATGTTTGGTCATTAAAGATGCATGTCTTTGCAAAAGAATATTATATGGTGAATCTATAAACAACAGAAATCTAAAAATACAAAAAAATCATCATTTATTCGTGTTTATGTTGATAAACAAAATAGTTTTAACAAAATTTTGCTATTCCTGGAGGTTTAACCCCTCTCCAAGACATATTAGTTCCATGTATCGTGTTTTGGTTTTGAAAATCATTTCTTACGACATCCTCAGAAAACACAGTACAACTAAATTAAGCAGGCAAAAGTTTGAACAGTAAAAATATTTAAATGCATAATTATGATCCAACTGGATGAATCATTTGTTTATGATGCATTAGCATTAATTACCAACTGTATAAGTTTTATGATATATTTAAACAATAAGAATATAATATATGAATTCTAGATTTTAGACTTGACTAGGTAACAAACCTTAACATCGTGATAAAGCTGCATTATTGCAACCCATGAACTGTTGAGTTGCAACGAATCTAGTTAACATACTTCAATACCCCGGGGCACACATATGAAACTAGAAACATCAAGAGTTACCTAATATAGTTTTGCTTTCATTAAACGTTAGTTTTCAGATATGTTAAATAAAATTCCAAGCACAGTCTTTACCCGTTACATCGATATTTATATCAGTAAAATGTGGGATTTTTAGCCTACAAAAAGTATTTTGCCACAATCAAAAGTAAGATTTAGTAGGTTTTTAAGTGTCAAATTCACGAATTTCATTATTGACTTAACATCACTGTGTCTGGATAGGTAGCTTGCAGAAACCCAATCTCGAATAACCAATATATCTTTCCGTGAACCTTATTATAATAACGTGGATGTTTAATTTTTTTCACTTGGTGTATGATGTTACATTACGACCCTTAAGATTATATTCTGTGACGAAAATCATATTGTCATCTTAAGTGTCTGATTGCCACAAAACCCTTACAACCAGTGACAATGTACATCATTTTCAGTTTTATAATTGGTGGAGATGGTTACGTATACGAAGGAAGAGGGTGGCATTTAGCTCCTGAACAACTACCTTCTGCTACGAAGCTTAATGAAAGTATTATTGAAATATCGTATTTTGGATTCAAAGGTATTTTATTTTGGTATTGGTTGTTAAGAATATAGGTGGAATTGGTAATAGTTAAGTAGGCAGTTATGTTTCTGCATAAGCAGTCCTCTCCTAGAGTATTTCCGAACCATGAGGGACCTACCTATGCATTTAAATAAGGAATATAAAACCAAAATATGATTTATAAAAAAGTACATTCACTTTCTTAAATAATCATAAATTATTCTTTAAATTATCGAAAAACAAGAGATTAATATTTTGTTTACTAAAAATCTGTATTTACATCAAATTGATCAGCATTGACACCTTTATAATGTTTACTATAGATAATAATCTACTTATATATGCCAGTATAGGTGTCAATTGTGGTTAATTATGCTGTACATGTTTCAAGCCTAATACGGCTCGTAGTAAACTGCATTCTTGGCTGTTATTAAATTCGAACACACAGACATAATTTTCAATCACCATAACCTCCAAAACTTCTAGATATCGTAAAAATACACTCTTATAATCTAATTAAATTGTAGCAATAATTATAATTAAGAAACATTCAAAGTGTAAGAAGTCTTTTAAAATAAGTAGAATGGTTTTTGCTCTATGCAACATTAAAAACTTAGTTTAGCAGTTTACAATCTACCCCAAAAACTTAATTGGTTTGTTGGAATTTACGTAAACAGCAACAAAAAAAAATAAAACATAAATTTAAACAGTTTGTCATGGTTGAGAAATTTCAGATCAATTAGCCAATATATTACTATAAAACTAGACTTGTAATGGGAAATTTGAAACCACTATTTGTAAAATAAATAGCTTAATCAGAAAACCAAAAATTTCTACTAATGAAATAAAAAATAATCCCCTTTCAACCACCTCCTTACGATATAACAATTAAGAAAATAAGGGATATTTAATAATGTAAGTAGTTTTTGTGATTATCTATAAAGGTAATATGTTTATTACTATGTAAAAAATAATAATAAACTGGCCCTATTCATAATAGTTTGCATAACAATTGTTATAATACATCTAATTTATATAAAAACCTAATTTAATATTTTTCAAACCTTCATACTAGTTACTAAGGTATATACTACTAAGGTATATCTTTTGGTTCTTCTTCATTCTGTTTCACTAATTCTTTCAAAACTGTTTTGTAGGAAAGGAGCCTCCTGAATATATGATGGAAATCGGATGGAACTTGCTCGGCGTAGGAATCCGAAAAACATTTATAGATCATGATCATGTCCTACATAGACAATATACGTAATAAATTAAGGTTTTAAATGCATTCCAGAAAGGTAATATATGACGGTATTTTCGTTGATCGATTATCTTTTAAACAGTTTACAAACTCAATTTTAAAAAACCTTTGATGCTTTTAGTTTGTTAGAAGAATTTTTTATCAAAAAAAGTTGTAAATCTAAAAACTTAAAAAATTCTGAAAGATGTAACAAAAATAAAACAAACTCATTGACTCTCTGACTTTCACTACTGTTAAATGTTTAATACGTACAGGCCAAGTAATTAATCATCGATTAATCAGAACCAAACCTTCTGAAGCATCCAATAGACTCATAAAATGGTGTCAGAACTTTCAATGTTTTCAAAGTCCATGTTTTTTAATATTTTTTCATATGTTTCCTGTAAAAAATTAGAGGGTTACTAAGCAAGGTAAAAAATATTGTTAATTAATTAAAATAAATTAGAGGCATTTAAATGCATAATTCACTATTAACACACAATAAAACACAAATACTGCCATAAGGAAAAATAAATACTTTAGGAAAGCTAAAACAGTATACTAAAAGTTATATTAGTTCTCTTTTTTGATAACGTAACCGCGGTAAAAAAAGTATATCTCCAAAATTAAGAGAATGCACATACACTGGTCTATTAGGTACTTATTTGTAAGTTATTTCATGTTAACATGCATTTCAATTTCTGGTGGTGTTTAACAGATAAGTTGTACATGTAGCTTAGCAGGTTGTTGAGGTATTTCGAACATTCATTGTAGGTTTTGAACCTTGGTGATTGAGTGTCAAATTTTTTATTACCTAAATGTAAAGAAAGGCAATTAAAAAGTTTGTAATTACAATTATAGTTTTGTGATTTGTAATTTCAGGTCTTCGTCCATTCCCAGTATGGCTAATGATGCATGGTCCTGCTCAACATGATGTGATATAGGATTCTCATATCAAAAACTTAGGAATACGTGACTAACATGAAAAATCTTCCTATATGAATAGATGATCACATTTATTAATGTAAATATTTAAATACTAACAGGGCTTGCTTTCTAGTCCTTTAAATCCAGTAAAATTAAAGCATAAAGTATCTGTAGAGTCTTATTATAAACCATGGGAAATTAATTACTTTAATATTTTGTTAAAGTAAGGTTTGTAAACTAGTTCCTCGCATTAAACACGACCTAACAATTCTTTTAATATGAAATTCGTGACGCAAAAATTGTAGCCTATTTCTTTTATAGTAATAATCAATATATGTATTTACAGTAATAAATGTAATACTATAATCAATAATATTGTAATCATTTATGTTCTGTACAGATCCCGCACATATATTACACTCAACAAAATTATAAAGTAAAGATTTTGAAAGAAACATTTGTTTAATAATAAATAATTGAAACAATTTTGACGCTGGGGCAAATTATTTTCTCCATAATTTAGGTAAAATAGTGGAATACTTGAAAAATATGAAAACATATTTTGTTCTGATACAGTTAGAACAGCGTATTTGAATATTTTTAAAATAAATCCAAGATAATCCACCTTAAATTTTTTTTCTTGAGACCAATATTGTATTTATTTACCTAATACAAAGGTTAAAATAGTTCCAGTTGATAATAAAAACCATGGTATACAAATAGTAAAATAACCATTAAATTGTAAATAACTTAAAGTGAAAACGTTTAATTAAATTGTTTGAACGAAACCAAAATCAAGAATTCGACGTTCCCTTCTTTTAACAACTTTATTTCGGCAGAAGAATCATACAAATCAATCAGTAGTTGACATAGAATATTTGGGTGAAACCCCTAACGTTTTAGGAATAATTTATAGAATAATTTACTACCGTAGTCATGTTAAACTTAAGTAGGCCTAACATAGGACGTGCTAAAAAAACGGAGAATTTCAGCTACATTTGTTAACGTTTTTACTGATGTGTAATATGTTATTCTTAATAATAGTTGTAATCATCTCACTTTCCTTAAAACGTGCAACAAAACTATAACTAAATATATAACTCAATCGGTATGGCAAATCTTGATTGGCAGACCATGCTAACTATTTGAAACTTGAATTTGCATGTTAATTATATCAGTCCGATTGGAGACAATATGATTATAAAAGTTTAGCGCAACTTTTGGTGTTTCTCATCTCAGCTACAATCTAAATGGATATTTGATTTGACGAAACATTGTAATACACCATTTTTATATTTAGAAGATAAAATAGATAAGTTGTTAGTTTAACTTCATCATTTTTGTAAAGCGAGTGTGTCCAATATTGTTATAATACATCCAATAGATCTTATAAATACATTATAGGTGTTACAATGGACTAAGTTTTTTTAAAAGGTAGGTAACTATTAACGATTAGACTTACCAATGTTGCATTTGATCTAACGTATTGGGCCTACTTTTTTATTGTATTTTCAGTATACTAGTATATTTACGATTTCAATATCAATTTATCATAACATTAGATATTTGTGTTTAAATAGAGTTTTAACATACGTTTTGAAAATAAAGAAAGAAAAAAAATTTAAAAAATCATACGGTTTAAGATAAAAGTATTTATCCTTAGTGTTTACTTTTTAATGACTATTACTTTTACAGCTTATAGTGCATCTTTACTTCCGATTTATCAGTGGTAGTAAATAAAGGTAAATACATAATTCCAACATTTATTTAGAATTAAGTAGTAAATATACAAGTAGGCATACACTTAAAGTCAAGCAGATACAATCAAATACAAACTGCAAGGTACAGAATAACACTGTAAAACATTTCACTCATCAGCTTAACCCCTTCCAAACTTCGTCACTTCACATATAAACGATCACGTAATATTTATTTTGATTTTAGCGAATTTCCCTTATTGGGAATAAGCTATTACCGGCCGTTTTACTCATGGTGAGACCTGGAGCTGGGACCGATTTATTTATTTCGTTTTGATGCCCCTAGAGCCCAAAAAACCATACGTTCAAATTCATATATACTAAGGCTGTTAAGGTATAAAGGAGTAAACCTACATTTATGCAAACAAGTCCGCGAACCAGCATGATCGGACTATAGGGCGGGGGTTTATAGGAAAAAAATTGGTTTTCCCATCTTTGACAAAAAAAAAAAAAAAAAACAAAAACATTAGCAATTTCTTTACAAACCATTTGGTAGAGCTTAAAAGACAAATAATTTAGTGTATCGATGCGTTGTTATGCGCCTAATGGTTACGGGGAAAATCACAAAACAATTTAAATGTAATATTACCATGTTATCCTTATGAAGAGTAAGTAAACTGTTATAGTTTGCTTGTTAATGAACAGATCTAATTTAGAAAATTCGTTTATTTCATACTAGATTATTAACATAAAAAAACAAAGAAATACTTTTACCCTACTGTTGCAGCAAACCTAAGTATTTGTTAAAATAATTCTATGAAAATAGGGAATAAATGTGTTATTTTCAAGGAGACATTTTATTGCAAGTCCAATCAGGCTAATGGAAATTCAATTAGTCTGCAGGTTCGCTGTGGCTGAGGTATTTTGCCATCCCTGGCTACACCCAAATAACACACTACTACTACAAAATGACAAAGACCACAAAACATTTTACAACTTTAACATAGCACAAGATCATGGTATTGACGATAACTATTTTTTAACAAATTTAGAAAAAATTGTAAATTTTGTAAATAATTTTGTAGATATTTTTGTACAGAGATCATGATATGGAATATGTCTGTTTTTTGCGAAATAAATAATATTTTTACTTTGACTTTGATTTTAAGGTCGAACCATGGTGCTGCATTTTACCGAGGAATGTATAGTGAAGAGGTCAGAGTGGGGGGCGAAGGACGCCACAGGACCTTTGGATGTTCTGCAACATCCAGTCAAGGAAGTCCTGCTGACCTACACGGGCACCAACATCTGCACGACTGCTGAAGAGTGTAGACAGTTCGCCAGAGAACTGCAGGAGGAGTACCAGAAACACAACTTGAAAGACATTGGACCCAAGTGAGGCCTGTTAGGTGATTACTTACCTTAGTTAAAATAGTTGTATTAACTATCGTATGATATTTAAGGGAGTTAAACATGAAGAATAAGCGTTTTTCTGATGAGGGACCTAGTAAAGGGATAGCTGAGTGAATACAGTATTTATCTTATGATCAGAAGGTAACCGATTTGATCTTAAATACCCTCGCCACAGCAAACCTGCCTACTAAGCAAATTTATATTTGTCTGAATTGATTTTCAAATTAAATCTATATAAATAACATTAGGTCTAACGAGTACCTAGGTTTACTGCTGCAAGAAATTTAATAAAGTGTATTTTTTTTTTTAATATTAATAGCTTAGTACAGAATAAATATATTTGCCAAGTTTGATCAAAATATATCAATAAACAAGCAAACTACAACATTTTAAAATATTTTCTATAATAATAACATGGGAATTTTAGATTTAAAATTTGTAGATTTTTTCCGTTACCAATAACCGTACAAAACACTTTGATATACTTAATTATTTGTTTTTTAAGCCCTTTTTAAAAGGTTTAAGAGAAAATAAGAAATATTGGAAAATTTGGTTTTTTGAGGGTCAAAAATGAGAAAACCTATTATTTACCCCATAAAACCCTCCGTAAAACCCCGTTTCCATAGTCCGATCATGCTGGTTCGCGAACTCATTCAAGTGTATCTTGTCTTACACCTTTAAACCAAATTTCATCAAAATCGGAAAAAATACTTCCCTACAGGGTAATTTGCTAAAAGTCAGTAGCTTTTTGATGGTTTCTGACTGGAACCTTTTTTAACTTAGGATACTTGGCTTTAGCCCGGGATCGTTTTCACATCGATTCAGATTAGACCTAGGGGTTTCGGAATGATTGATGGATTGGATTGTGGGGTTGGATTGATCCATTCGTGATTTGACTGGATTTGAACCTGAGATCTCAAGGGAATGAAGTACTACGCTCTACCAATAGACCAGTTACCCTTGCTCGTTGGACAGCTGTCATTCATGATAAAATGATCATGGTTACGAAACATATATTTATAGTCAGTAAGTGTACAATAGGAACCTCACTTCTTTATACTCGAACTTTACATTTTACATTCGGCTTGAAATGCACATCTGCGTAAACTACTATCCAAGTAATGTGATAAAGTTATTTTATGTCTGAAATAAATTAACGTACATCTTAAGGTGGCTACAAACTATCAATTGATTTGAAAACTGTATAGTTGAATCGCAGTTTTATGGTAATTAGTAGTCTATTTTTTTGTTTTATGTTTATCAAATATTCTTATAATTTCTACGTTTTTTCACATCTTGCCACGGAGCCAATCCAAATAAATATGTAGCCGCTTGTATTATGAACTGTCTGTTAATAATAAAAGCAATTCACAATTCATGTAAACATTAACCTCTGACATGACTATCTAAAAAACATTTGTAAAAACACTTTTAAGGTCCGTTTTATGACGCCAAAACTTTAAATGGATACTTAATTAGTTAACATATTTCAACGTCTCGAGGCATACATATTCTCCTGACGTTGATGGATGTTACCTAATGCAGTTCACTGTTTGTTGAAAGTTAGTTTGGTTCATGACCTAACTCAAACAACACTAGCACAGACGTGGTTACTAACAGTTAGCTAATATACAATAGTTTGTATTCCTTGATAATGTATTGGATTTTATTTGGTTATAAAGTATAATTATTGAGTGTGTTTTTGTGCTGTATACGTTGATATAATAGTAAACATTTGTTTTTCAATGAACGTCACTTCTCCTGGTACATGAATTTTCAAATAGTCTCCATTAAAGATGAGCTAAATGAAAAAAAAAATCATACTCATTTAGAACTTTATATTTTGACAAACCATAAACTGAAAAATGTATATATATTGTTGCAAATTAAATTGCGTTTGCAGATCACTACTTGTAATAATGCATGTCTAACAGCTGAACAATATTTGCATTTAAATCATAAATTCCAGTTTCATGATTGGTGGTGATGGTTTCGTATACGAAGGAAGAGGGTGGAATTTTGCCCCTGAACAACATCCGTGTGCGCCACAGCTTCATGGAAAAGCACTGGAAATAGCACATTTTGGATGCAAAGGTATTATAAGTAAAATTTCGTCTTTATAACTTCTCATAACTTCATAACTTTATAACTCAAACCTTCATAACTTCTAAACCAAGCTTATAAACTATTCGTTACTAGTTAACAGCCCGTGCTTCGCCACGGGAATAATGTCAGCAATATAAAAGATAATAATTTTAACAACTTCTGTTTATCTTTGTATTTTATTTAGGGGCTGCTTTATTTTTGTACATAAAGTAGAACTTCCAACAGCATCGTCCTGAAGACCCACTTCCTTTGTGCACAAAGTCAGCCATATTCAGATAAAGATCAGCACGTAGGCTTTTTTGGTTGAAACAAATATAGTTTAGACGTGTGCTCTCAATCCTACAATACATGCCCACTGTCCATTGCAGGTAGATTTTTTGTGATCTATGCAATAGGCTGAAATCTGGACGAATCGCAAGCCGATAGGATGCGTACTGCAGTAATGTAGTGTTTTACGTTGATTTACACTACAACGGTCATGTTCTGTTTGGGGTTTCCATCCAAAGACACAACATGGGAACAACAGAGGATAGGCCAATGGGTCTAAAGATGGCTCAATCACAGAGATTTTACGAACACCATTAGATCTTGAATATACTCTTAAGTTTCTCTCGCCAGGGGGTGCACCATCTTCTGACCGGAATATAACAGCCACATCTGTTTGAACGTCATCATTGTAGCGTCTCCTGTCACACAGTTTGTCTTCCACTATATGCATAAGAATTTCTGAGTCATATTTTCAACACATATCTGCAATAGTTCTATATGAAGACATGAAGGGATTGATGAAATAAGGATATTCACTTAAATCATGCATCAGCAGTTGGTCGCATTTCACATTGGACCTTTGACCCATTCTGTGAGTAACAGCGGTGTTTACGTCGTATATATAGAGTTGGGCATACTTTGGTTCAATGTTAGAGGGTATTAACGGTCCAATCCGATTGACACACCTAAGTGTCTTAAATTTAAAATCAAGTATAACGTGCTGTGAAAGGAGGCAAGAAGGGCATGCTGAAATAAGAAGTCGTATTATTCCAGTAAAAATCCAATATAATGAAATAAACTCTTAAAACTAACAATTGTTCAGTATGATAAAACACCTTAGAAAACTTTACAACCATTACTAACCCCCCCCCCCTTTTATTTTGCCCTCCCCTTTCATTGATCGATCAAACCTTATATAAAAACCCCCTAAAACTTCTTGTCCTCTCCAAAGTCCATACTTTCCTACTTTTCAACTCAAATATAGGCCTAATCATAAAATTTGAAAATATTGATGTGTAACATGGTGAAGGGTACTCATCACTTCACGAACGCTGTCTTCAATCCTTGGTGGAGCTTCAGTGAGATGATCTGAGCCGGAGACAGTCTACTGGTGAGAAGACGTCCATGGTTTGCAAACAGATTGTCCCAGACGGTTGTTAGGCCTCCAAGAAGGTGATACTCGTCCAGACTCCTCCAGACAGCAGATAGACGATGGTGTACTCTCCGACGATGTTTGACTCTGGGACTTGAACCCTAGGACATGTTCCAAATTCATACTATGGATCCATTCTATGATATCTTTATTTTAGTCTAGTCACACATCTATCCAGCAAAGTTAATTTCCCCAAATTGTTCCTAAAGCCTAGTTTCTCCACAATAAATTTAAACACAGAATACCAATAATTCTCATTCTGTTCTCATTGATAAACATTTGAAATAACCCCCCTAAATAAAATCATTTGTAAGTACAAAATATAAAATATTTAAACATATTACCTCTTACTGAATTTACATAATAATAAAATTGACCACAAAGTAATTTTAAATCAGCTGTCTCAAACATGTGTTTATACATCTTTATTCTTTAACGAATTACTAAATTTGTATACTGTGACATTTTAATAAAACACAAATAACCTCAATTAAACATATCCTTCTTCCATGTTGAAATAAATAACTGTTTAGACAAATCCTTAATAACTACCCCAAATTAAAACAATATTAAAATCCTGTCGGTTCAACTAGAACATGACTCTGAAACCAACCTAATTTTACCTTAAAAAATCAAATTTAATCGAAATATTCTCTCTGAACAGTTACTGACAGTTATAAATTCTCATTTAGATTGACACAATGCTCATTAAATTTAACCCTTTTAAGATACAAAGCTAAAACAATGTTTTAACACTCGTTGAAACCTGAGCCCAAAAACACGTGGTGTTCAATCTTCATGTCTATCAAAATTTAAGTAAAAATTATTTATTGGTATACAAAAATGCTTAACTACATATTTACAAATTGAAGTTGTACTGATTTTTCCTGGAATAACCTAGAAACATAAATTGCTTAATTATTTGCACTACATACCTCCAAATCGAGGGAACAAGTTGACTGTCGGCCACAACTACGCAAAATGAGATTGAAACAACGTGGTTCTCCTCCAAATTATGAATCATCGCTACCCTAAGCCTAGTCTCGAACACTTGCCACCAGACTGCGCGCTTGCAGTTATCAATGCTGGTATCGACTTGAACTAAGAAAACCGGTTTCTTCTAGTTTTCCAGGATTTGTATTCACATTCAATTCTATTTCCTTATAACCTATGAAAATAAAATATAATTTCTGTCACAATCGTGACACGATGGTAAAAGGAGTCATGGATCTTAAAGTTATATATACCACCGATTCATCTAATTGAGACTCAGAACTCACCATAGCAAAAGCTGAGTTGTATGATCTTATATTATTCAAATAGTTTCTTGATAGTTTTTTTGTTTCTTTTACATTTGATGTAGTCCCGTTGATAAGATTCTCCATAAACTCCGAATGTTGATAAGGGGCTACTTTTACCTTCCCCTTGTGACGACATAAGGAGAATGAATTTGTGTTAGTCTGTTCTGACTCGAAATTCAAAGATTCGCAGTAGTGACAAATCCAATTTAATGATCCCAGCAAATTCAAAAGAGTCGGTGTTTTTTTAGGAACTTCCAGTGCACATTTTACACTATCGCTGCTCTTTACTTTTTCAGTTCGATGTTTTTCTACGCGTATTTTTGTTCTGTTTGTCTCTTTACGCCCAGTTAATGACTTTTTACCTTTTCTTTTTCATTTTGTACTTTTTTCATCCTGGGTATTATGAGAAAGTTTTATAACACTTTAATGACCCGAGTCAACATTACCACTAAACATCAAATCACACACTTCTTCGCCAGAACCAATGTCATAAGTCACAGTTTCTTCAGCAACTTCCCTATGTAGGTACTCGAAATACATTAAGTAAATAATTGTAAATAGTTAGGGTACAGCTCACTGATACATTGTAGTTCCACGTATCCAGCGTACTCGCCATCTCGGGAAAGTAAAGTTTGGTATTGGTGACGGTCAAACACTGACGTTGAGTAAGACTCATCGCCTACGATAAAATTGTTGTATTTTTCCCACTCTTTAACAATTTTCTGCACAACTTTCAAACGGATTTTCCTATGATTGTTCTGGTGGCCGTATAGAATAAATGATATTGATCGAAACAAACAGTTTCCGTCCCCTACTATGGGTATAATTTCATGTTCCATACTCAAACATAAGCTTAATCAACACTTTCCTTTAGAAACACTTTCAGCAACACTTTCGCAGGAAAACTAACACATTATTCGAAAATACAAAATTGACACTAAAAAATACAAATAGTGTTCAATACATTTACAAATAATACATCGTGGTATACAACTTTAACAAATACACTTTTCCTTGAAAACTCAATCAACACATTCCTTCAGAAACACTTTCAGCAACATTTTTGCAGGAAAACTAACACATTATTCGAAAATACAAAATTGACACTAAAAAATACAAATAATGTTCATATACATTTACAAATAATACATTGTGGTATACAACTTTAACAAATACACTTTTCCTTGAAAACTCAATCAACACATTCCTTCAGAAACACTTTCAGCAACATTTTTGCAGGAAAACTAACACATTATTCGAAAATACAAAATTGACACTAAAAAATACAAATAATGTTCATATACATTTACAAATAATACATTGTGGTATACAACTTTAACAAATTTTCCTTTCCTTGTTTGAAATCGTGTGTACAGGAACTCCTAGATTAATAATTACATACTGAAATTAAGGTTATAAAAATAATAACAAATCTAACAAACATTAAACAGCTGACATATGATTTTCAATTATTAAATAAGCTGTAAATTATATTCTTCAATAAGAATTGTATTGACTCAACCTTTGAAGGGCTGTAGGTTTTAGCCCCTAGAAAAAACGTGAATTCTAATGAAGTTCGGCAAATCTATGCATTATCCCCTTTAATTTGACACATAGATCTTGTGGATCGGTCCAGTAATTACTGAGAAAACAGTGTTACAACCGTGTATTAAATATATAGATAACCTTATTGTTGAAAACTTGACATATTCGAATCACAAACTATAGTAAATAAGTTATACAAAGAAGAAGTGAGTGGTTGAGGATATTATTTAACTAATAAACAATTGTTTTAATTTGAAAACAGTATTAGTCTGTATTTACAGTTATCTCGTATTATAAAGATAGTTTTGATGAAAACAGAAACGAGGGTTAAGGAGAGGGAAAAGAAGGTTTGATATTAGAACAGAATAGGTATGGATGATAAAAATAAACAAATTACTTTACCAGCCCGAATCTTATACTTGTAACCTTAAAAGCTGGATGGTAGTTTTTGAAATGTGTTATTACATGATAATACAACTACCCTTACTTTCGGGTCAGTCACGTGATTTGTTTCGGTTTATGATCCATACAGGTTTTGTTCTAGTATCGTAGTTCAATATAACGTCGTCATGTTAGCTGATAAATATAAGACCTGCACAATCTATTTTCATCACTGAGTCTATAATACTGGTAGATATAGTTAACAAATAAAATAATTAGATTGAAATAGTGATTGAATATCGATAAAAAGACACAATAAAGGTGTAAAATTGTACAACGATTGAACACATTAAATATATTACGTTTAATTCGAAACTCACAATTGGTTTCTTCCTGTTTCAGGTGACTATCCCCCTAAAGAAAATGTGTTTTTGTCCTGGGATTTAATTACCTTGGGAGTTAAAAAACGCAAAATTGAACAAGTGCCAGACTATACAGCCTGTTATGATTGGGAATCCTTGGATCCCGTTATATACCACAAGAAAACAAAATCGGAAAGTGAGGCTCCCCAAGTAACAACTGAAAGCAGACAAAGAATAACTCAATCGGAAAATGAGAAAAGTCTTGATAGTCAATCTGAGGCAGAGAGTCAAGTTGAAACAGCCTCTGCAACTGATGATAGTTGTGTTGAACAAACTGACTAAACCTAACGATGTATAGGTATCTGATTTAATATTTAATACTATACCAAAACCAAATTATTGTAGAATAACATTTACGGAAACCATGTAAATACTTATGCAACACTGGTTTGATTTAGTTTAATTGAGTTCTTAAAAGTTTTTTCCAAAATTTTTATTTTTCAGGGAAACGGGCCCCTCAATTTATGATAGAGGTTGCATGGGATCTGATCGAATTTGGACTTAGAAAAGGCTTCGTGGATTTAGATCATGACTTAGAGTCACATTATGTGTGATATATGTTTGAATTGTAATAAAATGGTATTACTCAGGACCGTACTTTTGACTTTGCTTACTACACAGTTAATTAGCTGTTTGGTTCGAGTACTTAAAGTTTTCGCTAATTTAATTTATCATTTGTTGATGGCTATTCCGGTAAAAGACAAAACTAATTTTCAATCACCCTAAGTTTAATGTATGTATACAAGTTCTGTTCTATTTGCTACTATTTTCAAATAAATATAGCGTAAACACAATTGCCTATGGACTGTTTGTTAAATTTGTTTTTATAGTTATTTTTTAGGGTCAAAGAAAGATAAAAGTTGATTTTTATATTAGAAAAATGTTTCGTTTAATCAAATTCCTTTATCCATATCTTGTTTGCATTTGTCATAGTTATTTACTGCATATAAAAATATTTTACTGCATACAAAAGGTTTAATAACTGATAAATATTAATCAAGTGTATTAGGAGTAATTTGACTTAAAGCAACAATATTGAACAACGTTGAAAAGATATTTATTTATTGGGGAGTTCACGATTTATATAGTGTTTTTGGAAGCTTTGAATATTTGTTACGTATAACTCTGTTTAGATTCGTCAAATTATAATTATTGCAATAAAGTACCAAAAAAGTGACAATATTTTTCATAATACTGTTTCAGGAGTTCTTCCTCCTTTGCTAATGGAAGAATGTGCTTGGCGGTTTATTAAGTATTGTGTTGACCAAGGAGACATTGGTTCAGATTACAGATTTTACAGACTTTATAACATTGTACCAATCAAAAAGAGGGCCATTGAATGTGTACCATAGGGAACAAGCTGTGGGAGTAAAAACAAACTTTACATTCTCAGAATTTGAATATTGTTATTTTATAGTTTATAATAGCTCTAGTAATAATCGTATCATTCTTTTACAGTACTAAAAGGGTCTAAATGATAATTTAACATTTAGGAATACTAAGTTTAACTTTGATTTACTGACTTAAATTATAATTAATCGTCACAGTTGGGATGTATTTTTACAATTGTACTTGTTTATGATTGTTAATAAGCCACAATGTAAAAGAAAGTAAAACAGGAATATGATTAAAACATTGGCTACAAAACTGATTTAGTTTGCGTAAGATACATAGATATACTGACATCTATTGTAACTTTTGAATGAATGATATAGATTAAAATGATGTTATCTTTAATGCAGTTCTTATTTACATGTTAGTGACCTATCAACATTGTAATTTTAACAAGTACAAGTTTATTTATAATTAGGTTGAATTTTAAGCTATTGTGGTGCTTAGGAAGAGTTTCAATATAGTGCAGAAAATCTTGGATATTTTCAATAAAAATGTAGGTATTTTGTTAAACATTATTTTCTATCCGTAAATAGGCTACTCAAAAATGTATAGCTTTGAATTTTGAATTATATTTTTTACTATACAGGGTGACCGTTAAGTCTTAGGACGACTTTATAACTTTTAAACGACAAACGATATCACAACCACATTTGGTATACCGTTACTGGAAATTGTAAGCTACTTTTCTGTGTACATGGTGGTCGGATATCACCTTTGGGGGACGGCCCGTCAGGGGTCAGAAGAAAATCTTTAATGACAGCCTATGTTGAGTTGTACATCGTTTTAAAGGTCTACTTCAACTGAAAACAATGCCGCAACCCGCACTTCAAAATGTTGATCCTGCGCAAAATGGCAGATGTTCAAAGATTTTCAAAATTAGCCAATTTCTTTAAATTAAAACACTTTTTTAAATCTTTAAACAACTGTCATTTTTTAACGGATGGTCCTTTTGAAGTACGGTTTGCGGCATTGTATTCTACTAATAAATACCTGTAATTTGATTTACATATCAACCTTTGCTTCCATTCAAGATTTACTTCCGACTCCTTGTGGGCCGTCACCCTGAAGAGTTATTTGGATCACTGAATGTGAAGTTATGGGGATCATTTAAAAGGGAATTTTAAGCAAAGAAGAATGCCGCAAACCGTACTTCAAAAGGACTATCCGTTAAAAAATGACAGTTGTTTAAAGATTTAAAAAAGCGTTTTAATTCAAAGAAATTGGCTAATTTTTAAAATCTTTGAACATCTGCCATTTTGCGCAGGATCAACCTTTTGAAGTGCGGTTTGTGGCATTGTTTTCAGTTGAAGTAGACCTTTAAAATGATGTACAACTCAACATAGGCTGTCATTAAAGATTTTCTTCTGACCCCCGACGGGCCGTCCCCCAAAGGTGATATCCGACCACCATGTACACATAAAAGTAGCTTACAATTTCCAGTAACAGCATACCAAATGTGGTTGTGATATCGTTTGTCGTTTAAAAGTTATAAAGTCGTCCTAAGACTTAACGGTCACCCTGTATAATTTTTGAATTGACAGTAATTTTCAAACCACCCCTAATATATGATACTTCAGCAATTTCTTTAGATGATTATAATAATTATATAACATAATCTAGAAACACTCAAGACTATAATATGCTTTCTAATATCGATTGTTTGATGAATGTATTTATGTAATATTATGTTACCTTTCAACAAAAGAATCCACATGTGAAACTGAGTAGATTTTTATTATATGCTATATTTTGTAGAATTACTGTAAGAATACAAAAGTCTACAGTTCCCATAGGGCATCGTGAGACTAGCTTTCACATGATCATCGAATACAGAATTTATTTTAATGTTTATTATTTTAACTTAGTTGTTAGACTGATTGATTTCTGACTCACTATAGTCTTGCGAAGAAGTCCCTTAACCAACAGATTATCTGTGTTTTGAAATAATTAATAATCAATGGTTATAAACATTACTTAACTCAACAAAAGTAATATTTTTAGCAGTGAGCTGGCTCTGTAAAAATGGCTTCAATCATTGAGGGTCTCGGGTTCAAATCATGTAAATCACAACAGATTTTAGCTATTTATTGATGCCTTGATATTCTAGAGATTGCCTGAAGTAATGTGCAGAAGGGTCCCTTGGGGATAAATAACATAACAACATCTATGAAAATGTGTAACTATGATATTTTATGGGCAAAATCTCAAAGATTTAAATAAATCACCAATAGTAATTTTTATTCCACCGGCTGTTTTAGTATTTTGTTTAGAGCTTGAAGGGCCATAACATACTTATTTTAAATCCAAATCGTTTAAACCATGTTGATGAAAATTCGTAAAAAGAAAAAAAAGAAAAATCTTCTTAGAGATATTATATAATAATACTCAAATTTCATTAAATCGGACAACAGGGGGGCAATAACCTTTTTTTTGTGGTTCAGTGGGGCCCAAACGGATACGTCCACATAAAAGTCAATCTTGAAGAGTGTGACAAAAACAAGACTTTCCTTTTAAAAATTGTATGGGAGAAAAGAATATATTAATGCGTCGTTGTTCTATTGTGTCTAATTTACCAATTACTACCCTACATTCAAATAAGTTTCTCTATACTCCAGGCCGTCCATTCCACACATGTACCCGATGAAGTTCGTCCACCGCGAAGCGTGGGGAGCCTTGGAGGCTAAGGATGAGAATTTCCTCCCTCATCCTATAGAAGGGATCATCCTAACCTACACTGACACTCCAAGGTGTTTAAACAAACGGGATTGCTACGAAACTTTGAGAACTATCCAGCTTAGGGATATGAACAGAGGATATCATGACATCAAGTACAAGTAAGTTGTCAGAGAGCAGTTATTTCAATAGTTCAAAAATATCCAACAGCCATTTTAAGATTTTGTAACGATCTTATATAGGCAATTCACTCACATTTCTTGAATGTTGATGTGTTTTTCACTGCACAAAAACCACGTAGTAAATATTAAATTCATACCCACCTTGACATATTTTAAATTCATTTGGTCTTATGTTATAGTTTTGAGCATCGAAGTATAAAGTCTTACCAATAAGACTACGTACAGATGGTTTTAAGCTCCTCGGTCAATAATTCAAGGACTAATGCGTTGAACCTTAGCAGTCAATTTAAGTTATTAACAATATAATAAAAACTCATTTCATTTGTGTCGAGCGTATGAGAATAAGCCGTAGAAGTTATTTTTTGTATGTACAGCTTGAGAAATGACCTTAGCTACCTAGGAAGATAGTGAGATGTTTCTATAGATTTTAAATTCAAAATTTTCATGATTCCCTGTAAGAAATTAATTCAAGCTAGATCAGAACACGTTAATTTATAGTAATAAGTAATTTAAAGCATAATTTAAAGTAGTACTTAATGTGTGTTATTTTCTGAAAATGAACGAGTAAATCTTTTTTTTATCGTTACGAATAAATAATATAGTCCACAGTAAAGTATGTGTGATTTTAAATAACTATAAACAATGTTGATTAATAAATAGTAATTAATAGTTCGGACTTAAGGGAAGTTTTACGTCTTTTGGTTGGTTTCACCATTAAACTTAATTCAATTTTGTTACAACCAGTATATGTATACAAGTATACCATCTAGATACCATGCTCTAACTCATATATTATCACAAATAAATAAGTAACAAAAATTTGATCGCTGATCATTTGGTGACAGCAAGCTTAAAACCTGTTAATCAAAATTAACTGACTCGTAAAAAGATATCAATCCAATTAAAATTGACAAAAATGTCAATCGTACTTATCAGTTAAAACCTGGATGTTTTTTACTTTACAATTCAAAACCTTCAGATTTTATTGTAAAAAGTCAAACGTCCAAATAAATACCTTTCAACGCCAACATGAATATTTCAAACCTCTCCTCTCTGGTTTGAATATTTGAATGAATACCTGAAATATTTAAATACATTTTCAGTCTAGATGGATTTTATCTGCGAAATCCATGCAATATTCCAAAATAAAATCACATTTTATGGGGCATGTAGTTTTTTGAACACGGAATTTAGGATCTATTTTTTTATTACAATGATAAATTAAAGCGATGTCCACAAAAGTTGTTTGATTAGGTATTAAAAGTGGTTATATGCGCAAAGATCGAATTAAAATTGTAAAACTTTTTTCTGCTATACCATTATCTTTACCACGTAAAATTTTAAGTTAAGTGGAGTTGCTTACCACTTTAAGCCTTTTTAACGCAATGATCCTTTCTACTTAGACAAGCTAATCATGTCTTAACTATTTGCACTTTCTTTTACTTGCCAGAGTTAACAGGTCAATGTAGACGCTCTTCTTTTATTCACACGGGACGCCATACCTATTTTTTTTTTATTATTTAACCTAGGCCTAATTACATTTTATGTCCAGCTCCCTCCAAATAAAAAGAACAAAAAACCGCAGTCATCTTGATCGTCCCATGATGGTTCAAATCCTCTATCATGTGTTACTAGGTCCAATTATAGGATTAATGTTATTCATCTTTTCTTCATTATTTAAGTATCAGTTATTTGATAGGTGGTGATGGTTACTCCTACGAAGGCCGGGGATGGACTCTACTGCCTCCTAGATCCAAGCTTTACCCCTATCTTCACGGAAGGGTTGCCATCTTTGCATTCATTGGATTCAGAGGTAAATTAAATTTACGTTTTGATTAAGTTAAACTAAGTAGCATATATTTTTTAATGTTTTTTAAACACAGTTTTTTTGTTTCCAAAGTAAGTATTTAACCCCATAGAAATGTATAAAGATGCAATATATACTGTTATTAGATTTTAGTATTTAGTGTTAACAACTCAACTAAACCGCCGTTAAGTTCAGTATTACAGGAAGTATTAGATTTCAAAAGAACATTAAACGGGTAACTCCAATTATTTTCTTCTGACATAAGCAATAGAAATTCCACTAGACTAAAATGGGCCCAATTTTCCAATATGGCGGGTAATTTAAAACTACTCATGGGGCACCTTTTATTTCTTGTTGTTTAAGAATGAACAATTAAAAAACTCTTCAATGATAAACTGTACTTAGAAAGAAAGATTTAATTGCAAAACATTTCTATTCTTCACATTTTATCTAAAGCTACTCGTTAGGGAGCTGTAGCGTGTTACACCTTGAAAAACATGGATTACTGTGTACATTCTGAATCATGTAGATCCTAAGGGATACTTTTGGAGAGAATATGCAAAGAATAAATAAGTAAAATTGCATCCACATTCTAATCATATAATAAAAACCAGAGTGTTCCATAATACATGTTTAGCACTCTATTTTGGAAAAAGTGGAATTCTTTTTTTTATGTCATGAGAAAAAAGTTTAATGTAATATATTGGAATCAGCTGATAATTTGGTTTTATGTTTATTATGAACATGTAAACAAATAATGTTATGTTTTGTTCTATGATTAAATGAGTTTAACTTAGTTCTTGATTTTATTTCACTGGCGACGATGAATGAAAAACGAACCCAAAGATGTGAAGATATTGGTTGGAACAATAAAGAAGAGGTGCGAAAGAGAATGGAAAAGTTTTCAATAGAACCCTATGATGAAAAATTGAACTGGGAGGATTATGAAGCTCACTTCCAATTGATGTGCAAGGTAAAGGGATTGGGTGATGACAGTAATGAAACTGAGGAGGCAAGAAGGGATCTTCTTCTAGCATATGTTGGACCTGTACCCCTCAAAAAGGTATCTAACTTCGTTTTACCTAGGCAAATTTATGACATACCAATGACTGAACTGATTGATACATTTCGGTGTGTTTATAAACCTAGTAAAACAATCTTTGCAGCGAGACTAGACTTTGAAAAATGTGTGAGAGGAAATGATGAGAGTTTTTCAAATTTCGTCTTGCGTTTAAAAGAGTTAGCCTCCTACTGTAAATACGACAGGTATTTTGAGGAAAGAGTAAGGGATAGATTTGCTGGTGGCGTTAACTTTCCACAGTTTGAAGTTGAAATCAGGCAAAGGTGGCCAGAAGGCATAAATAAAGATGGTTCACGTCTAACTTTAAATGAGTTGGTAGATTTAGCTGAAGCGATGGATAGAGCTAAGCGGGAAATGAATATTTTAGAAGAAGCTATGCCTGTAATTAACAAGGTGTAACTATGATAAGAAAAATATATCTTTGGCAAAAGAAACATACAGCCATTCTACAGAAGATTGTAATCAGTGTGGACTAGTACACAGTGAAGAATTTTGTCCAGCTCAAAAGTCTAAGTGTTTTTCATGTGGAAAGCAAGGTCATTTCTCACGACAATGTGGAACCAAAAAGACAAAACAATGTCACTTCTGTGGAAAGATGGGTCATTTTCCGCGACATTGTCGTTCAAAAAAGGCACCTAAACCTACAAATGTCAAACAGCTTAGGTCTTTTTTAGGATCCATAAACTATTATGAAAGGTTTATCCCTAGGTTGCATGCGCTGTGCTCAAGGTTACATCGACTTACCAGCAACAGATCGAAATGGATCTGGACAGAGAAAGAAGATGAAGTATTTACAAAGGTCAAAAGGATTCTTTCGGAAGAAGACACAGTTGTTCCATATGATGAATCCAAACCTCTAGTGTTGGTGTGTGATGCGTCAGAAGACGGTCTTGGGAGTGTCCTAATGCACAAGTGTGAAGATGGTCTGGAAAAACCAATCGCGTATGCTAGCAGAACTCTTTCAGATGCTGAGAAAAGATACTCGAATATTGATCGAGAAGCACTTGCAATTTTATTTGCTGTAAGAAAGTTTCACCAATATGTATATGGACGAAGCTTCACACTTGTCACCGATCATAAACCCCTTCAAAGAATATTTGGAGAAAACCGGAATCTTCCAAAGGTAATGCAACAATAATGTAATGTAACAATAAGTAATGTAAGTAATGTAAGTAATGTAACAATAGGTTGGTGAGATGGGCCCTAGAACTTAATCAGTACAATTTTCAAATCAAGTACAGGAAAGGAGATGAAAACGTTTGTGCTGATGCACTATCCCGTCTTCCCATCAGAATCAGAGAAGAAGCTACCGATGTAAGGGACATAAAGTTTTTAAACATGGATAAAGTTGAGACATTGGTGTCCTATAAGGAACTCAAACATAACAGCAGTTTGGACAAGGAGATAAAATTAGTACAAAGTTATGTGCTAAATGCATGGCCAGAGAAGGTACCAGATAACATTAAAACATTTAAACAAAGGAAAGAAGAATTATCAGTTGAAGATGGTGTTTTGATGTGGTTTGGTAGAGTTGTTGTGCCAACAAATATGAGAAAGAAAATCTTGAGAATTTTGCACTGTGGCCATCCTGGAATTTCAGCTATGAGATCAATTACCAGATACTATGTATGGTGGCCTGACATTGACAAAGACGTTGAAATGCATGTTAAGACTTGTGAAGCATGTCAAGAAAACAGAGGAAACATTGAAGAAGTCCCGGTCTATCCATGGAACATTCCTGAAAAAGTGTGGGAAAGAGTTCATTTGGATTTAGCTGGACCAGTTGATGGAGTAATGTGGTTAGTAGGGATTGACGCGCTATCTAAGTGGGCAGAAGTTGAATGTTTAAGAACAACGACTTCAACTGCCATAATTCAAAGATTAAGATCGTGGATGAGCAGGTATGGGATACCATCACAAGTAGTAACTGACAACGGGCCACAGTTTGTCTCTACTGAAATGGAAGCATTTTTCAAGAGACATTCAATTCGACATATAAGAACTACTCCTTATCATCCTAGAAGTAATGGCTTAGTTGAACGTCTAATAGGGACTTTGAAAAGGCGTTACAGAACAACAAAACAAGAAATTAATGATTCTTCATGGGCATTGCAAAATGTGTTGTTCAGTTACAGAAATGCCCCACAAAAAACAACAGGACGAACCCCTGCAGAGTTGTTTCTTGGTCGAAGAATGCCAACTATGTTGGACAACATGAAACCAAACCTTAGACAACAATTAGATCTGAAAATTTGGAAGGAACAACAAAATCCAACTCAAAAGAAAACCTTAAGATCATTCAGTGAAGGGGAAGAAGTATGGATTAAAAAAGAGAATAACCTTGGTTGGATAGCAGGAACCATAGTCAAACGCAATGGCTTATACTCGTATGAAGTCATGTGTGGTGGAGTGATAAAAAGAAAACATTCGGATCAACTGCGAAGAAGAGAAGGTGCGGTAGACGATGAGGAGGGAAAAGTGTAATATATTGGAATCAGCTGATAATTTGGTTTTATGTTTATTATGAACATGTAAACAAATAATGTTATGTTTTGTTCTATGATTAAATGAGTTTAACTTAGTTCTTGATTTTATTTCATTTAAGTTCTCCATTTAACGCTTTTTTAAAATCTCATAGTTTCTGAGATACCAATAGTGAAACTTTTAGGCTGCTCACTCTGTATAGTGGAGTGTTCGTTCTAGATTAGAGTGTTGAATTGCACTTTAAATAACATACTGGAAAATGTATTCAGCTATTGTAGTAAAGGTCACGGTTATATGAGCCTGGGTGTGCAATCGACTAAACATTACTATCTATATCAAGTTAGTTTCTCGAAATTGTAAACGGACACAACGAACGTTTTTAAAATAAGCTATAATTTGACACCCCACGTTCCTGTTCCAAATTCACCTTGTTAACAATTATGTCAATTTTTTTAAGGCAAACGACCGCCAGTATACGAAGAGAAGGCCTCGTGGAAGCTGATCAAAAGGGGAATGCGACAGATGTTTACCAACTTTCGTCCAACGTTTTACAACGATATGAATTAGTTTATTTGCACATGAATACGATTTAAAGTCGTTGATAAGACACGATAAACTAATTCGGTTTGTATATTTTTTTTACATGTACATATTTTCCTTATCTGTTTGATGGTTAATTTCTTAAAGTTATCATTGAGTGTTCAAATTTGAATTATATAAGTACACTTTTAGTATTTGATTGTGTACATTATTTATTTTCCTACGTCCCATCCCAATTTTGTTTCAACATTTATTTTTTTAGCGAATTCTTATTATGGGCAAATCTTTTTAGAAAATACTAAACCATAAGTTCATATGCTATAGGATTTAATTAACAGACCCTTTAAAGGTTAGAACTCGAGTATATACCCACTAAATGCCACTTATCGTTTGTAAAACCCTAATAGATTTAGGTAATAGCTTATAGCCTACATAGAGACTCTGAACTGTAAACCAAATTAACACACTAGGTACGTGAATTCTAAAAAAAATTACTGCAACTTAAAAATTACGCAAATATTTCTATAAAAAAAAACTTTTTGTTTTTAAAGTTTTATCACTTAAGATCTTTATCGAGAATGTACTAAAATCACAAGCACTATAAGCGTAGGGAAGTTCACAAATAACATGAAATCTAGGTGACCATACACTATTATATTTTATTACATCTTGGAACTTGGTTGCATTAAAACGAATTTGGTATAAGACTGTACCAAATTCATACAAAACACAGAAAACGATATCTGTTGTATTCGCAAATAAAACACGTTTTTAAATTTTGCTTTTATCTGAAGTCATCCTTTCTCACACTAAACCAACTAATAAAAATTTAACATTTAAAAAAAAAATACAAATTTTTGTATTTATTCGGTTAATCACACTTAATAAATTGAACATTTTCATTGGATTCATTCGATCACAGGAACCCAACAGTTTACTCAAACCTCAGATAAAGTAATATTAGTTTTTATCATAACTATGGAGTATTAATGGATTAGATAACAAATTTACTCTTTGAAAATGGTAGTTGAAAGCAGCCGTACCCGTAAGTAAATACGTTTTTATTTCTTGCTGATGTTAGATAAATTATTTAATGCAAGTGGCTTCAGTTCTAGCTAACCTTTAAATTTTAATAGTAGCTTTATACCTTCTTAAAAATAATAAATACTATTACCAAAGAAAGTTTAGATTAGAGACAAAGACTACAGTCATATTTACGAAATTGTTTACAACATTTTCAGGCAAGTGAATTTTGTCCAAAGGTTGACAGATAGTTCGTCGGAATTAGCGTTAGTAAATGTTTTACTACTTTCTCTTTTACTACTTCTAGATTTGTTACTTTTCTTTTCTGTAGTGGGTAAATAAAACTATTAGATGGTCGATTTAATATTTGACATAATTCCTCACTCATCTAAATTTACACTTTCACCTATGGTTACCGTCTTAATTGTTCCTGAACCTTGTTATAGTTGTATCATTTTCTTAGAGAAAAGTATACGGATAAAAATTATTATACCTCCTATTGGAAAGCAAATTAACGACATTGACCAGTTGTTGTTAAAAAGAAAACTCGTAAATACATGTGCGGTGTATGATTACTCCGGACATTTTCCATCAAAACTGTTGAAGAAAAGTTTTTTTAACCTTTTTGCATCTAAAGTTTAATTTTGCCCTCAAGTGATGAAATGCAACACAACAAACATATGTTCACTTTTGAGCCAGGTTATCATGTTTTTGTTATAGTGCGGTCCATCGTCCATTATTGTAAATCACAGTTTTTCTATTGGAATATGTTTTCTTGTGCCTATTTGTGTGTGTGTGTGTTTTTTTTTTTCATGTTTTGGTTGAGTATGAGTACAAATCTTACTTTAGATACATTCCTACCTGAATATGGGGTCAGGTTGTACACCCGGAAACAAGAATATTTTTTTGATTATTATTTTAGAAAGTTTTCTCAATGATCCCTTAAAATACGCGATCTACAACATTTCTCTATATTCTAGCTCCCGGAGAGGACACTTGGGAACCTCTTGAGATCCGGCCTGTCCAGGTAGTTTCCAGACATGAGTGGGGGGCTGTGCCCATGGAGGGGTACCCGACCCCCCTGCAACTTCCTGCACCCTTCGTGACACTCCAGTACACAGGCAGCAAACCCTGTCACGACAAGGAGAAGTGTATCAAGGCTGTGAGGAAACTGCAGAGGAACCAGATGTTGAGGGGGTACAACGACATCAAGTACAGGTAAGAGGTATTTCCACGGATATTCCTACCATTCTACTGAGCGCTGCTGTTGACTAGGCTATGTTAGGTTAGTTTAGTGCATGGCAATGGTAAACAAGGTAAAAATACCAATGTCCTACACTTGAAAAAAGTGTAAGAGACAAATTGGTCCCTCCTATTCTACTTTGATGAAAAACGCAAAATTATAAACGATTTTGTCTTTGTAAATTTCACCTTGTTTCTATAACAATGTAGAAAATAACCAAGCTAAACCAAACCATAACCCTAACAGCTACCAAAAGTTAAAACTTTTTAAAGCTAACTTTAGGTTTAATAATAAAAAAAAAAAAAAAAAAAAAAAATCGTATTGCATTAAAAAACGATTCACACACAAAGCCCCCAACTAATTTAAATTATTTAGTCTTGACACTTACCCATACTGTTTACTGTGCATTTAAAGGCAAGCTATGTGAGCAAAAAAACCCAATAAAATTATTTAAAGGATTGAGATATGAAGCAATCGATAGACCTTTTTATGGTTTTATAGTTTTCTTAGTTTATTCGTTAGTTATTGGAGACAGAGTAGTGAAAAAATACCGTCACTTGCTCAACTCACTCCAAAACATTTAAATATTTACGTTCATGGATTTTTCTCTCAAAATATGTTTTAGTTAAGATAATTATTGGATTTTATATTCCTAAGTAGTAGTTTGATATGTGTTGTGTAGTTTCCTGATCGGAGCTGATGGTCGTGTCTATGAGGGGAGAGGCTGGAACGTTGTCCCAGAAGCGAACAAAAGATACAAGAAGCTTTATGGAAGCAGCATAAATATAGCGTTTATATGGCGACATCGTGAGTAATCTTATAAGCAAATATACTCCATATTACCACAATGGTTAAGTATGGGGATTAACATGGTTACAAAGTTTACCACTACGGTCTGTATGATGGTACCTGACTTCTGAATGGAGGTCTACTTAGGGACTGGGCCCCGTAGATGAATGGTCAGAGGACAGGTTCTACCATACAGGCTATAAGGTTATCCTATACTCTAATACGAGCAATGTTTGCTTGTATGTATGTATGCTTGCTTGCACAAAGATCTCGAAAACGGTTCCGACGATTTTCTTCAAATGTTGTAAATAGTTTAATTCTGGCCTAAAAACGAGTTTACTGCAGTTAGAACTGCCAACAAAAATCTAATTACGTAGAAAAATGAAACTGAAAATCACATTTTTTTAACATTAGTCTTATGGGTTGCTAGGTAACCTTGTTGGCTGAATTAAATAACAAGGAAAAGGTAAACAAAAACTTGAAGTTGTAGCATGTGTTCATAATAAGCCAACTACCCACAGTATACTAGCAAATTAAAAATACAGTACAAAAGGAAAAACATCATTTAGCAAAGATTATACTGAAGATTACTCGATACATTGTAGTCAAGGGTAGCAGTGAGAAGTCTGGGATCTGTTTATGACGACGAGATAAGGGTATGGGCAATCCTAAAATGCTATGGGAAGGGAGGGAAACAGGTCCGTGACGTAGGAAGTGGTGAAGGAAGTAGTCAAGGCGAGCTGTCCGGAGTGTGGGAACTGTTTATGACGATTAGATAAGGGTATGGGCAATCCTAAAATGCTATGGGAAGGGAGGGAAACAGGTCCGTGACGTAGGAAGTGGTGAAGGAAGTAGTCAAGGCGAGCTGTCCGGAGTGTGGGAACTGTTCATGACGATTTAGATAAGGGTGTGGGCAATCCTAAAATGCTATGGGAAGGGAGGGAAACAGGTCCGTGACGAAGGAAGTGGTGAAAGAAGTAGTCAAGGCGAGCTGTCCGGAGCGTGGGAACTGTTCATGACGATTTAGATAAGGGTGTGGGCAATCCTAAAATGCTATGGGAAGGGAGGGAAACAGGTCCGTGACGTAGGAAGTGGTGAAGGAAGTAGTCAAGGCGAGCTGTCCGGAGCGTAGGAACTGTTCATGACGATTTAGATAAGGGTGTGGGCAATCCTAAAATGCTATGGGAAGGGAGGGAAACAGGTCCGTGACGAAGGAAGGTGTTAAGGAAGTAGTCAAGGCGAGCTGTCCGGAGTGTGGGAACTGTTTATGGCGATTAGATTAAGGTATCTGCAATTCTAAAATGCTATGGGAAGGAAGGAAAACAGGTCCGCGACGTAGGAAGGTGTTAAGGAAGTAGTCAAGGCAAGCTGTCCGGAGTGTGGGAACTGTTTTTAACGATTAGATAAAGGTATGGGCAATCCTAAAATGCTATGGGAAGGGAGGGAAACAGGTCCGTGACGTAGGAAGTGGTGAAGGAAGTAGTCAAGGCGAGCTGTCCGGAGTGTGGGAACTGTTTATGACGATTAGATTAAGGTTTCTACAATCCTAAAATGCTATGGGAAGGGAGGAAAACAGGTCCGCGACGTAGGAAGTGGTGAAGGAAGTAGTCAAGGCGAGTAGTCCGGAGCGTTGGAACTGTTTATGACGATTAGATAAGGGTATGGGCAATCCTAAAATGCTATGGGAAGGGAGGAAAACAGGTCCGCGACGTAGGAAGTGGTGAAGGAAGTAGTCAAGGCGAGTAGTCCGGAGCGTTGGAACTGTTTATGACGATTAGATAAGGGTATGGGCAATCCTAAAATGCTATGGGAAGGGAGGGAAACAGGTCCGTGACGAAGGAAGTGGTGAAGGAAGTAGTCAAGGTGAGCTGTCTGGAGAGTGGGAACTGTTTATGATGATTGGATTAAGGTATTTGCAATCCAAAAATGCTATGGAAAGGGAGGAAAACAGGTCCGCGACGTAGGAAGTGGTGAAGGAAGTAGTCAAGGCGAGTAGTCCGGAGTGTGGGAACTGTTTATGACGATTAGATTAAGGTTTCTACAATCCTAAAATGCTATGGGAAGGGAGGAAAACAGGTCCGTGACGTAGGAAGTGGTGAAGGATGTAGTCAAAGGCGAGCTGTCCGGAGTGTGGGAACTGTTTATGACGATTAGATTAAGGTATTAAGGTATCTATAATCCTAAAATGCTATGGGAAGGGAGGAAAACAAGTCCGCGACGTAGGAAGTGGCGAAGGAAGTAGTCAAGGCGAGCTGTCCGTAGTGTGGGAACTGTTTATGACGATTATATTAAGGTATCTGCAATTCTGAAATGCTATGAGAAGGGAGGGAAACAGGTCAATGACGTAGGAAATGGTGTAGGACGTAGTAAAGACGAGCTGTCCGGAGTGTGGGAACTGTTAATAACGATTAGATTAAGGTATCTACAATCCTAAAGTGCTATGGAAATGGAGGGAAACAGGTCCATGACGTAGGAAATGGTGTAGGACGTAGTAAAGGCGAGCCGTGTGGAGTTTGGGAATGGATCTATGTGTCTCCAATACAGTACTTAGACTGCTTTCAGAGTGGACTAATGATTTTCCCCGAGCAAAGCTCGGTCCCCAGGTACTTTGAGCTTAATTAGTTAGCTCATACAGTTAAGCCCTCTTGATTTTTTCAGAAATATAAAAGAGCAATTTCATCAAAAGCCATTTTTTGGGAGTTTTGAAAGCAGTTTTCCTTCGTTCAAATTGCGCCTAATAAAATTTTATGGAAGTACTGTAATGAACTCGTTCAGCTAAAATTATTCCAAGACCTCTTTATATATAGGTTGAAAACACTTTACAAGTTTACTACAGCATAAATGAAACCATTCATTCATATCTTGAATGTTTCAATAGAAAAATACTATCATCCATTAATGAAAAAGTTGTATAATTTAAAAATATTTCATACTCATGAAAACATAAAAATTTCTTGTTTTAAAAATCCTCAGGTAAATAAGATAATAGACTTCTTTAATAATTTAAGTCCCTGTGAAAGTTCTTGAAGAGTATCATTTAAAGTCACATTTTGAAGTAAATTCTTTTCAGCTGAACATATAAGCTCCAAAATGCCAGATTTAAGCAAAGAATACATTCTCTTCAGGGAGGAAATCAAGGAACAATATAAAGGTAAGATCACTTACAAACTAAACGAGACTTAAGTTAATCTACTTTTAATATATTACTTTCACAATTCATTCTTTTATTTAAATAAAATAAAATGATTAACAGGATACGTATAAGTAATATAAGAAGTTATGTGACACGTCTAATAGTACGATAACGCCATACATGAAAAAGGCATAGTTGAATACATTGAGTGGTGATTAAAAATCTCTAAATATAAAAGTCGAAGGAAAATAATCGTATCAATTCATAACTGAACAGTTTTGGCAGCTTATATCCTATAAACAAAACCCCTACAGTCTACAAGTACCTCTAGCAATTTTTTTGTACTTTGAAATAATTTCTTTTATTTTTTTACCTCCCCCCCCTTAAAACATACGCAATATATGGCGAAAGCGTCGTTTTGTCACTCTTTTTGAGTTTGAAATTCGGGTGGAAATATCAGTTTTTGGTCCCCCTAAAACAAAACAAAATTTTTCAAAGTGGTGTCCGTATATGTGTGAGAGCGTGTATGTGTGGATGTGTACAAAGCTACTGACTACACCTTTGGTCCGATTTCGATTAAATTTGGTATGTGGCTACCAATCTATAGTTACTTCAGATTTTCGTTTGAGTTTTTGAAGTTTTCAAATTTTAAAGGGGATTTTCATAAAGCCCATAAAATAAATGAAAATAAAATGTTTTGCAAAAACTGCTTGAACGGGTTTGCTTAAAATAAGTGTGTTATGTTCCTTGTAACTCAAAACAAACTGAAATAACCTTCCAATTGTTGTAAAAATGACGGTTCATCTTATTGCATTTTTCTTGATCTTGCATATTAAACATCATAGTTACTCCCACTGCTTACTTTATAAGGTTTGTTGACTAGTTAATATGTCAGTTTTCTTATACTGTTCGTCTTTGTCATGGGCAGATAGTATTTTGAATTGTAAAATAAAATTAAGTGATGTAACAGTAAGGTTATGTGATGTCACAATGCTCGTATTGTAGATGTACAGTGCATAATATGTGTCTAATATTAAGATTATATAAAAACTTAGCTTTTATTTACTTTAAGGTAGAATATCCTTATACTTGAAACTGAGCCCCAATTTAAAATAATTTGTCTGTATTACAGCCCCACTACCTCTTCCAAACATGTTCCATGTACTTTGGGATCTTCTAGATTCTGGAGTGAAAAGCAACTACCTTCTAGAAGACTACTCCTTTTTTAATTCGCAATAAAAGTAACATATTTGTATCAACTTTTATTTACAACCTGAGCTGTGATATCTCAATAATACTAAGTGTAGTAATACACGTTAGTAATTTATTAAATTATAACTACATTCATGACTTTGAAATTTGCATTTTACTACTGGTTACCACTTGATCTGCCGTGAAAATATTTGAAGATGATGAATATATGCACAAAATGCTGAAATTGTCTATTTGTAAGGTAAAATATATAAGAACAGTCCTTACGAGCCTTTATGTGTTATAAATGTCAATATTAGAAAAGAAATGTATTGCATGGGTATTTTACTTCACATAAGCTTAAACCTTACTAGAGTTTTGAAAATCTGCAGGTTAACACACATGAGGAAACGCTTACTTGTTGAATATACGATAGCAACCGTAAGTATGTCAAGGTCTGTGAAATAATTGGAAGGATACACTAAATCGTGTTCTTTACAAACATTGTGAGTACTAATTGATATGGGTGAGTCAGTAACTCAGTTGGTAGGCTCTTTGACTACGGGTCCAAGGGAGAGATGTCGTGGGTTCAAATGCAGGTTACTACCAAAAAATTTTTATCAGTACAGTTCATCCTTGTACCGTACCGGCTCACCCCTTGCTTTGCTGGATGGGCAAATGCAAGGCTAAAATAGCGACCATCCCATTTAAAGTTAACTGAGCTGCAATCAAAGTAACACAGCGCCATAAGTACTTGCAATTAACAGTTTTGCTTAGCCATTATTTACATCATAAGTACACAGATAGTTTTATTTCTTTAAAAGAACAGTTTAAATCTGCGTTTTCGTTGTAAGCTGTGTACTAAATCTCGTTACAATAACATATCGTAAAAAAGCGTAAATTTTCTTATCGTGTATGCTAATGGTTCACCTAAAGACAAAACTTGATAGTTATCCTTCTTTGTGAACGACATGAAAAGTGCACAATTCTACCATGACTTGTATGAATTTTCATGGATGTGGATTGGGTACGTTTTCTACAGTACTTTAGTTGGCTTTCACGTATACATGATTTATACTGTGTTTAAATTAAGTATGGAAACAAATTTGTATTTATTAAACCAAAATACATATAGAAATATGCTGTTTGTGGCATTGTTTGTGATCAAAGGGTCCGGGTTCTAAGATAAATACAATCACGCAACCCAAAGAAAGATATCTCATCTCTAGTCAAAATGGCAGGTATTCAAAAATATGGTATATGTGAAAAATCATCCATTCCACCAATTCAAAATTTGGAATACCTACCTTTTTGGCTAGTGAGATATCTACATCGGTCTTGCATCATTTTGTTTCTTTAAAAAAAACCTTTAAAAATGAGGGGTCACTGAATAAGGGTTGTTATTTGGACAAATAAGTCACCCCCTACCCCCTACACTGATAGTGTGGTTAAAAAATATATTGATGTAAAAATCCCTAAAACCTTTAACAATCTATGCCACAAACTAAATATCTCTATCTAATTCGGTAACAAATACAGACATGTTTCCATATTTCTGAAGTTGGTGCTTTTCACATAAATCACATTTTGGAATACATACCATTTTGGCTAGGGATGAGATATCTTCCTTGGGGTTGCGTCATTGAATTTTTCGTCACAAACCCTTCAAAATTAGGGTTCACTCAATAAGAGTTGCTATCTGAAAAAAATAATTTACACACTACCCCTAACCCTTGTTAGGTGTGGTTAAAAATATTTTTGAAGTAAACGATTGCGGAACCTTTTTTAAAAAGCAATGCCATAAACCTAATATTTCTTTCTATTTCGGTTTAATAAATACAGATTTGTTTCCATACTTAATTTACACACTGTATATCCTATTTTAAACTCATATACGAGTTTTACAAGCTCCTGTTCAATTCTTTATTATTTTTAGTTAAAACCTATTTCGGAAATACTATATAAGCTATTCTTATATCACACCAGTATAAATTTCTAAGAAAGACAGTATTAATACGTTTCATGTCCAAATAATGATTTTAAATATTTCCTTTGATTTGTTTTTTACATATAAAAATAAAAAAAAGATGTAAGTGTTTTACAATTCTTAGCCTTGCTCTTACCAAAGTTATTTATCAAACTAATTGATTTGTGTGCAATTCTTAAATCACAGTAGCATATAGGAGATAACTAACTCATGATCGATTAGTATTAGCGCAGATATTGAGCAATAACATTAAACGCTATTTCAGCCTCCATCAGCATTTTTATCTACGTTTTTGTTTAATATGTTTCTCGAACCTTGAATCTTCATATGAAATCTTCATAATGGACCCGCCACAAGAAATTCCTCTCTCCATCTTTGATCCAAAGTACGTATCGGATCAAACATAATTACATGATCAACATAAAATATAAGTACTCGTAGTTAATTCTCAAAAAAAGAAACAATATTTGTCTACACAATAAAAACAAAATGAAATAAACCCTTGATGAGGCTATGTGCAAATTCAAATAGATTTAATTTGTAAAAAAACTACTTATGAAATAAATGGTCGTTATTATTAAGTCATGCAAAACGAATTTTTCAAGCGTTTAATGTAACCTTAGTTAATTTATTTGAATGCATACTAATGCCTGTAAAAAGTTTAAACTGATTAATTGTGTTTTTATATTTATTGCTTGGATTACATTTTAACTTTTACGGGAGCTATAAACTTTCGAACCTAATCAAAAATACTTCCTTAATAAAATCATAGTTTAATGAATACAGTATGTGTTAGTATAACTTATAGTTATGAATACTATATTTTTTATATTGTGTGTTCTATTTCTACGCCTGTGGTATTTTTTAAGTTTCAAGCGGAACGGTTCAAACCCTGCTTTTGCTACTATCTAACGTCGACCTTTTTCTTAGAAAGCATAATTAATTTAGTGAACGATTATTATTTATTAATTTAGTATTTAAAAATGCACTTTTCAAAGCATTTTGACCACTTCAATGGATGTTATTTCTACTTTTTTACAGTTGTTCATCTAAAACTTTTTGTTTCCTACATTGTACGTATTATATTTGTAAAGTATAAAACATTAAATCAACATTTGCCATTCTCATTTACAGAGGTCCAGAGCCTTTCCCAGAATGCCACATAGAGAGGAAAGTCTGGGGGGCTTCGCCTCCCCGGGTAGAAGTGACGGACAAGATGGAACTCCCCGTGACACACGTGTATCTATCACACACGGACACCGAACTGTGCGACACGAAGGAAACTTGTGTAGAAGCTGTCAAACAAATCCAGCAGAAACACCTGGACGAGGGACTGAACGACATTAGATACAAGTAAATCGTTAAACTTCAATATTATTTATTTTGTTATTGTAAACAGTGGTGGCAATGCGGCGTAGAAAGGTTTGTAGCATTAGTATAGACATCTAATAGGCTGGTATGTCTTCTTAAGGTTCACTTATTTCTGGCCTAGAGAGAGGTTACAATCTAATAAAGTAATACAAAGTTAACAGTTTGTTTTTATTTTGAGATAAAAAACTAACGGGGTATGGGGCATGACTTCCAATCTCGATACAAGACGTGTGTTTAATTATTGCAAATTATAAGTATGCCACATCAACTTATAAGGAGGGTAAATGTAAGGCAGGAGAAATGTATTTATTTAAAATAATTTATTTTATTTAGTAATTGATATTTTTTTACTATGACAGGTTTAAAAAAAATCCCATAGTTTTATCATACATTACCAGCATATCGTGTACTTAAAGAATAGTAATAAGATTGTGTTATATTTAGTGATGAGAATTATTTACCTTTCAATTACTTACAAGTGGTATTTTTCTAAGCTACCTCGTGGGCGGAGACGGGAATGTTTATGAAGGAAGAGGCTGGAAGGTAAAACCGGAAGTACCACAACTTTATCCAGAGATCAGCGACAGTATGGTCGACATAGGATATATTGGATACAAAGGTATGAACATTGAACATATGTAGCTGCAACGCTAATTAAGATCATTAACCATATATTTGGATTATTATTCTCAATTAAATGTAGGAAAGAGTAAATATCTCCTGCTAAATATATTGTTTGAATGATACAAACCAATTATCACAAGAATTTAATTTATTTATTAGGTTTATAAAACAAGAGGGTTAAAAGTTTCACGAAGAAAATCTTAATCCATTTTTCTTTTCTCTGCTGTGTAAATTTCTATTGCAAGGCCATATGTATAAAAAATTATATGGGAAATATCTACGTATCTATAGGTATTGAAATAATCATTTAAGAATTCTAGTTCAATTTTGTGCGAATGAAAGAGCACTACATCATTAAACATACAGTTACATGTAGGTGTGTAAAACTAAGCCATGTAATTATCTACATTAAAAATGGATATTTACGTAGTCAGTGTGTGACCTTTATCTTTGCATTGCAGTTTGTAGCTGAACAATAACAACCCTAATCACCTACTTAACCTTTATACTGAGTATATTTTCTATTACTTAATTAGGAAAACGGTTTGATTATTTATTAGTTAGGTTTTGTTAGAGGTACGAAATGTTAATTCTTAAGTGGTGAAAAAACAATATAATGTTTTTGCAATTTTCAATTCAGTTCCAAATAAACAACAAATAGTCCTTATGACATAAAATATTATTAGTACAAAAGATTAATTTACATTACTTTAATCTTTTACGCTGGAACTGTTACGAGTTGTAATGACTGCATTACAAGCTAAAGGCAACTGTCCTCAAACTTACAATTTTCTTAAACTTAAATTGTTTACATTTTACAGGAACTCGACCGGTTGAAAAACAAAGATTCGCAGGAAAATCACTCGTTAAACACTCGTTCAACTGGAAGCACATATCTGAAGAAGCCACGTTTTATTCAGACCTGTAATATAACAAGAAAATATATCTTGAACTTTAGACAAATGTTCTTTGCTTAACAGCATGTAAATATTAAAACTGTGTATATTTAAATCCATATTTCGTTATTATTAATTTTTACCTAATCGTTTTTCCCGTGACCGATTAACGTTTTTTTCTCTATATCCTCAGATGCACAAAACACCCTTATTTTGTATATTGAAGCGTTTCTGTACGATTACAAGTAACGGAAGAAAATGTAAAAATCTGTACATAAAAACCTTCCAGGTTTTTATCTGGGGAGGAATTGTATGCTGTGGTAGTTTGCTTGATAATGGATGTATTTTTATCAGATTTAGTATTTTATTTTATTTTCCACTATATTAATGAAATAAAATAACACCTTTACCTTTCCTGTATGGCAAACCTAAGTATTCCTTAAATCTACGATTATCTAAATAAGAAATTTAATTGTGAGATGTTAGATTAAATATTGAATTCGAAATCCAACTAGAGAAAATGAAAATTCGTTCAAAATACAGGTTTCATGTGAAAGGGATATTTTAAAAAATACACCGATGAATATTTTGAGTGTTCGATTGTCTTGAAGTATTGGTTTTGTAACCCTCTAATACAGGTTAAACTAACACATAAATTTATAAACACAAGTCTCCTAGGTGAACACATTATTAACAGCCTCTTTTATTCTCATTAAAGCTTTAACAAATTGTCTTGAAGATCTGGATAAGTATGTGCTCATAAACTCTTTATATTTATTTGTACTTCCAAACATCGAATTCAAATAATCTTGACTGTGAATCATCATACACACATAACTATGTTTTCACATTACAGATACAGGTCCTAAAAATTTCTTTATTACCATGACAATTTTGCTGCTTAATAGGGGCTTCAAAATGTGATCGTCCCAAAAAAAGCACAGAAATAGTAGAATGCAGTTGAAATATTTGACCCTAATCAGCTTAAGCTAAATAAAACTAAAAATACTTGAAACTAGTTTACTTGGATCTGATATCATTAATTATGTATTATGTTTTGTTGTATATTGTGTACTGTAATTGTTTTTATTATTCTTTTATTTATTGTATCGACAAATTTTAATATTTTTTCCAAATGTTGTTAAGGACTCAGATTCATTTCAAAAGGCAAAAATTGTGCCAACAAAACAGACGGTTGTTATCAACCGTTTTTTCACAGAGTTATGTTTTTGGCTGTAAATTTTTACCTTATCAGTGAATAAAGTAATTTTTCATTTCATTTAAATTTATTTCAATCAGGTTACGTTGCCTTATGGTTTTGCCTTTGTGATTTCACATAACATCCAAAAAACTTGATAAATCTACTAACCATGAACATCCCAGATGTAAGTTGGATATGAAAAGTTGTATGCACACGTTTCATAAATAATTTAATTTTGTAGTTTTTATTTTAAACACGTTATGTGTCGACTGATTGTATATTCAACTACCTACGGATGTAGATGAGGTCTAATTTAGAACTTTCTTAAATCTTAAATAGTTTGTAAAATATTAAATATCAACTCCGGAGTACAGTTTTTAAACTTATAGAAGAGACAAACCTAAGATGATAATAAACGCGTAACACTTAAAAACATCTTTAAGTACTCGTAAAAACTTATTATTGTTTAATTAATTAATTCAACATCACTATCAACTTAAAACTAAACAAAGTAATGTTACACCGCTTTCCTACAATGAATGCCGTACCTATTACATGGGTGTGGAATAAGTTTCATAAGTTAAATTCAATAAGTATTTGGTATCAAAGTATAAATAAAGAGTTATATGTGGCACAAAGTTGATAACGTTAACTACTGTCTCAATTACCACAATGTGTGAGTTTTTACGTTTTTCTCACTCTTTCGGCTGATTGATTGATATTACAGTTGTAAGTTGTAAGTACTTAGTCTTGTGAATGGTTAGTGTTAAGTATGTTTAAGTACGAGTTTGTGGATAAGGTATGATTTTTAGCTAACTGTATTTAATTTGAGTCTTTTATACAGAACAAACATATAAAATTAGGTTACTTTTCATTATTGAAACGTCTGTCTGTTTTTCGCCGAGTCAGACCTAAAGCAGCCAAGACTAAAGGAAGATTGCCAACAAACCTAGAAAACTAAGGAGCTTTTAACTACGTTTTAACTGCAGTTTCTGTTGTAAATGGCTCTTAAAAAGACGTAAAACACATTGCACACTTTATTTGCAAACTGATTAACACACTTGCAGAACCTATTACTTCACGTGGATATTTTTTGAAAATTATTTTTAGAAGAATGGAATTAAACCTGATGTTAAATTGGACAGATTTTAGCCTTATAAGCTCTAGTTAGGATTTTAATCAGTTAGTGACTGACTACAGTTGAAATATTCAGTCCTTAGTTAACTAAGCCAATCTTTATTTAGAAATAAATTATTTTTAAAGTAAAAGACATAAAGCTCGGGGGGAAGTAAACACTAAGCTGCACTCAATTGAATATAAATTGTATACAAAAGCTTAAGTGAAAAAGTGAAAAGTGGTTTCGGACTTTAAGGGAAATTAACAAAAATATTACATATATAAGGAAAATCTTACCTTAGAGGTTAATTTATATCATATTGGGGAGCGAGCTTGTCTTGTGTGTAGAGTGTGGAACTTCGGTCCCTTAAGTCCCAGGTTCATATCCCGCCAAATCACCAATGTATTTTATAGGGATAATGACTTAACCCCTAGGCCTGAAAAAGTGAAAAACGAACCCCGCCTAGTTCCAAAAAATCTAGCAACGTAATTCACTAAACCGATGTATATGGTCAATAATTAATTCAGCCACGAGCTTAAAACATTTCAATGTTTTTGCTGCAAAATAATTTTAATACTTTTTAAAATGCACTGAAAAATAATATTATTATTTACTCAATAACTATGTTGTAAAGGGACATAAGAGGAGAATGAAGCCACCGAAGGACACCCTCCCTCCCAACACGATTAGGAGGGATAAATGGGATGCTGTTCCACCCAAAGTGTTCAACTTTGGGATCAATCATCCTGTGAGCAATATTCTTGTGGACAACTCGGGGACTGAACCGTGCAGCACGGAGGCAGAGTGTACCAAGATAATCAAGGACCTTCAGACCAACCATATGACAGTTCACGACATGCCGGATATCAAACAGAAGTAAGATAAATGATTATCTATCCGCTTTTGAGGTTGTGACACATTAGATGGCTTTAGATTCTTAAGTGGACATTCCATTTATATGGACTAGGACTAACTTGTTCTTATTCAAAATAAACTAAGTTGAATGAGTCATTCAGTAAGTATATTGCTATCGAAAATCTCTCTTTCTTTCTTAATTTTGATATATTAATATAATATTTAAATACTTTGGTTTTCACGAAATAGAGCTGCTAATTATATAATTTTCATCGTGAGATAAATATCAAACTAAATATTAGTGAAGGATGAGTATACTCTAGTATGTTGTGAGATGATCTGTGTGGCTTTGTAGACTATATCAAGGTCTTGAAGTGAAAAAAGTTGTGTACCCTGAAATCCGTATATTTTCTTGAAAGTACATTTTTCGGAACCTATCTCGTTGTCGGACTTCAATATAAATGCCTAACATGTATTTATATTATTGATTTTGAGAAAGTATAATTTTATCTAAAAAAAAAAAAAAAACACAGAATTTGGAAACTATGTCTTTAAAAGATCTCAAATCCTGCTTTAATGAACTAATATGTGCTTTAATGCTGCAAAATCACAACCAAAATCAAAATTAATAACATTTAATGTACACTTTAGTGGGCCATAATGTCATAATAATCCACATTCTCGTATTAATTTGCTTTCAGTTTTCTCATTGGTGGTGACGGTAATCTGTACGTAGCTCGAGGATGGGTGTCTGATGCAGCATTGACTGGAGAACACAAGGAAAGACTAACAGATACACTCTACTTCTCATATTTTGGCCCAAAAGGTAAGGCACAGGTTTTATTTATTTATTTATTTATTTTTGTTTTTATTATGAGGAGGAACAACATAGCCTCCTTGAAAGGATCTGTGTTGGTGTGTGTCAACGTCGCACAGGCCGGCCTATTGCAATTATCATTACAGTAATGATAACAAACATGTCAACATTAACATTGCTCATACGCTCAATTATTGTTTAGTACAGCTGCTTTGGTAGGCCGGGGCAGCGGCGTTTCCACGTTTGTCCCTCTACGGCATTTTACTAGGACTATGGGTAGAAGCATCATTATTTCGTAATTACTAGTTTATTTTTTTCCTTTCTTTAAATGTTAATTTCAACCCTGTTTATTAAGCCCTTGGTCAATTCTATAAAGTTTTAAGAGTTTTATACTACATTCTTTCATTTACACCTCATAAGGATGGTTTTAGAATTTTGATTAACACAAAAGATATTTTATTGTTTCGAAAGCTGCTATATTGTCGTGAAGTATTATTATTAATTATTCTATAAAATGTTTTTGAATACTTCTTTGTTAAAGCTACTAAATTAATGTAAGAAAATCTCTGGAATTGAGCGATTTTGAAAATTTTTGAGAAGACAAAATAATTAACCTTGATTCCTTTTTGAAGTATGTAGAATTTATAGATATTATAAAGGTTTTATTTCTATTTACAGGTAGGCAGCCGACGGATATAGAACTAAACACATTCAACCAAGTTATGGATATTGGGAAAAACAACGAGTTTATTGTTGAGAACCCCAAAATACATTTAGAATTATAAAAGTAAAATTATAGTTTCATTTACTGGATAAAATACCTTTACCACGTATTCATGGAATGTAATAATCCATAATTTAAGTAAGACAGAGACCGAGTTTTGCATTGTTTAAGCTTAATTTGATTGTAGGATCAATATAGAAAGGAGAAAGATAATTTTTTGTTTAATTTGTGCCCAACTGATGACCCTTTGCTATAATTAGGCTCATAATAAATATGAAAATTATTAATTAGTCTATTATCTGAGTCAAATTTTTAACTATCACAAATAATAAATTAGTGGAACAACTAAACAGTATACATATGTTATATTCTGACCACTAGTGAGCAAAATAACCACTCAGATTCTCAGCAAAATTTTGGTTTGGCCATCAAAGTTTTATCTAAAAGGTCGTTCATCATGTGATATGATAATAAATTAAGATACTGTATTGCCTAAGACCATCATACAAGTCGAAAAATATTTATTTATAAACTAATTACCGGGTTTGGTTCTTTAACATATTTTAGAGCCAATAAGTTATAAGTAAACACAAAATGAACTAAAAAATATGCCATTTAGTTTAATTTATACTTAATAACCGTCTTGATGTGCTTTACAACTAACTGTAGTCAGTTTATTGTTAAAGCTTTTGTTTAGTAATTTTTTTATTTAAATAACACAATTTAAACATTTTACAAAACCCAGTCTTTCTGGAACTAAAAATGGCATCTAATGAATTCATGGCATTTCCACCGAATGCCGTTAACCGAACGTCCTGGAATGCCGAAATGCCAACAAACATCATGGTGCGTCCATTAGTGGAGTATCCTGTGGACCATATCCTAGTGACCAACTCTGGATATTCGACTTGTGACAAGCGGGAAGACTGTATCCAGGCCACTAGGGAACTACAAGCCAGACATTTGCAGCAGGATCTTCAACAGGACATCAAGCAGAAGTAGGTTTAAACTTTTAGAATTGTAAATTCTAATTTGATTCTTTTAGTAGTTTAAATGCAGTTTATATAATTTAGAAAATCTTAACTGGGTTGGAAAGCATTCTATGTAGCGTGAGAACACAAAAATTCACATTAATAACAGGTAAAATGTAGTAAAATTGCTACGATTGTGAATATTTTAAATAATAGCAAAACCCAAGCATATTTGGCCTATATACAATTTTATTTGCTGCCTGTTTCATTTAATAGTTTCATCATACTATGTCAATTTATAAAAAAGATTTATGCTCATTATTAATGGACAAAAACAACAAAGATGTAAAACACTATTCCTACACGGAGTCATAAGTATTTCCAGTTGTTCATAGCAGCCAGATACTTTACTTGGAATTCTACAGATATAACATAAAACCATTCAACGTTGGTCATAAAACATGGACTAGACATTTTACTGTGCTACTTTACGACGTTCACACTCGTTTCTGGATAAATGCATTTACACTAGATAATGGGTATTGGTGTTATATGTTTTATAGTTTATGTGATAGAACATGTAGGCCTGCATACTGTAATAGTACTGGTGCTTATAAATTGACTATAAATGAGATAAGTTTTTTTGAAATTCATTTGAAACAATATGTAACAAGTCGTTGAATAAATTTTAAGACATTATCCCAAACGGATTTCTTTCCTTAGTACTTTCACAATTTATAATTTTTACCTACCAATAGTCCTAATGTAGTCATTGTCTTTGACTGACCCTTTTCTCTAATTTACAAAAGTAATTTTTATATGACCAAAGTCCATCCTACATTCATTTGCTGAATTGCTCCCATTGGTGTTACAGTTATTAACAGCTTCTTAAATAAACAAAGTTGATTTTCAATGGGATACAATTTCTGTTTACTTAAAATACCTAAACTTTAGGGTCTGCACGGTCTAGATATAGATTTTAGCAGGAGAGTCTTGAGTGTTTTTGTCTTTCGCCAACACAGCTTGCTGTATCTTTTTGTCACTCTCACATGAACATTTCTTATTAAAATTAATAACAAATTTAACACTAGATCGAGTCTGATTTGACTATGGGGATTTCCAGATCAAATAATGAGCAAGCCAAACATCGATTATGCAATGGTAAAGGTTGATTAAATTCTGTGTAACTGTAATATATTGATGAAAATTGATCTAATGTGTTCAGGTTTTTATCAAACTCGATTTACCTCTTTCAAAAGACAGACTAAGTATGCATAATTATTTTCTATTAATATTTATAATGGTTAGAGATTGAAATAGGAATGACACATGATCCTTAGCTGTGGTGCTAAGCTTCCAACTATTAATCACTCTATGACACCAGCGTTGCACACAATAGGAAATTGATCAGTCTAGATTGATTGTGTATTGTAACACCATGTATTTACCATTGTAAGAATGTATCATTGTTTTTAAGTCCAATGTCGTAATGACTCATCAAGCCTCACAATGTGTGGATGTATTCGTGTTAAACTTTTAAGCCTGATCGATTGAGTAGAGTCTGTATGATGGAACCTGTCCCCTGACCATCCTTCTAACTGGGAACTTGCCGATGTTTTAAGGCACGGGATAGTCCCAGGTAGACGAAGGTACGGAGACAAGATCCATCATACAGACCATAGCTTTTGAGATGGTCACGACTCATAACTAATTGTGTAGTTTTCTTATAGGGGGTGACGGTCTCTGCTATGTAGGAAGAGGGTGGGTTATGGACCCGTGGCTACCTGACGAACACATAGACAAACTACACCATATGCTCCATATATCGTACTTCGGGCCAAAAGGTTAGTTTTTTAACCTTTCTGTAAAATAACCTTACGTTGTTGTTATAATAGAGCTTGCCTTTATCCATTTTCGCATGGTTTTAAGTAGAAGCTTTAGTTTTTGACATTAAACTCACTAACATAGGATAGAATTTACGCAATTGTTGTATCGAAAGTTCTGTTTGTTTTATTATTGCAAAGATTGTAGAGAAAGAGTAAGAGTAATATTGTAGATGAAAGTATTTCAATTCACATTCCCATTAGGTTAACTATAATAGTTGATAATAAAATATTTCTTTTACAGGTAGACAACCTTCGGGGATCGAGACCAAGGCTTTAAAGGATCTAATTGATTTGGGTATAGAAAAATATTTTGTCAGTCCAAAAGTAATATACCATTACGATTTATAATTTTTGTCTGATTTACTTGTACACCAACCCTCATACTTATTTAACTGATATTAGTCTGAATTATTCACTGCCGTTATCTATATGTAAATCCCAAAGTAACCATGAACTTAAAAAAAACTACAAGTCACACCCCCATAAATTATATATGCTTATATAGATGCTTAAAATGTTCGTCCTTGCACAAAACTATCCATTATCTCATAAATTGCCTTTTAATATCGTAATTCCATTCTAAATGAAACTTTCCATATACCTAATGTTAAAAATACCTCACCTGTACTTATTTGTTTGTTATTCTTTTAATTTATTACATTATTAAAATCTGGTGTGATTATTTGTTTGTATTACTATATTCTGTTTTGTTATAAATCAATCAATAGTTTTATTAATACTTATGAAGACAAACGGGGTGTGTAACAGCTAGTAAACATAATATGTAAATATATTGACTTTATACAAACAGCTTGTTTTTCTTTTGGTAGAGATTTTTACGAAATGCAAATAATACCTAAAATAATACATATCTTACCTAATACGAGTAACTTATGCAGTTTACTGAACTAGAAACAAAAACAGATAACATGAATTTGCATAACAATATGGCAACTGAACTTTCTGCACGAATAGTTGGTACCATTTGTGTGTTTTCACATGAATAAATATGTTTACTTCTATAACCTATCAGCGTATATTTTCCCAACTTAGATGACAAATACATCAACAAAGCGTTTTTTCGTTGTTTGGTTCTCTTAACTGACTTAATTTCGTTCTTGACTTAATTTTTCTGTAATCTGAACTAAAATTCACTTAATCAACATGAAGGTTAATGATATAATTTGTATTAGTTTATCCATTACTTTTATCTTAAATCTAATTATTTTTCCAAGAACTTTACATGAGCCATCAACCGCTATCGTCTAGTCTTATAAGAAGTTCCATTGATCAATGTTCAACAAATACAAGTAAAGATGGACGATGATAGCGAACATAATTTAAATTTAGTCTTCAGAGGGAAATGGGGCGCTGCCCATGCCAAGGCAAGAATTCTTCTGCGTTATCCTGTGACGTACGTGGTGTATACGTTTACTGATACCCCGATATGTATCAGTGAAGAATCGTGTGCCAAGACTATGCGAGGATTACAAACGAAGCACATGGATGGTGGCGAGGACGATATAAATTACAAGTAAGGAGAACTATACTATTAAAGAGAAGGATTATACTATTTATTAACGTGAATAGCCAATTTTCGTTAAAAGAAAGCCGTAAAATTGCTTACAACTAAAACACATTAAAGCAAACTTAAGAAATGTTTTTCAAATGAATATTTGTATAGCTTAAGAATACTACGAGGGTAGAGACTGTATATTTACACAGTGAGTAGGAACGCTCTACTACTAAGATGGTTGCAAACGCACCACTCGAAACCAAATCCGAAAAGTCTACTACTTTTTGGACGTGGTTTTAGCGATTTTCACTTGGTAAATTTCAGTATTTGTACCCCTCTTAAGTTTGTTTGTTGTATAATTATACCTCAGTTTCGTTATAGGTGGAGACGGATCTGTGTTCATCGGCAGAGGATGGGAAGTTAATCCTGCTTTAAACCCCAAATTTGAGGAATACTGGGAAGACTGTATAGAGATTGCACACATTGGCCCTTCGGGTAAGCTGATTATAGGTTTTTTGGGAATTAGTAGGGGGAGGTGGGAGTTCTGAGAGTTGGATTTGGGAATCTTGTGGGAACTGGATATAGAGTAACAATATTCAAACAATTCTAATCTACAGAAAGTTGATACTTCACTTAAATTGAAATATTTATTTTTCAAGAAGGCAAGAAGGCTCAGGGATGCAAAATTGAGTTGGTATTTAGAGAGACTGTATTTACGATAGGATATTACTTCTTTTAGAAATAGTTTTTTATATAAAAATACTAGTTAATAAAGGAGGTTTGTATTAAAAATTTAATTCTGATCAGTATGAAATAATTCTAGTTGTTTTTAAGGTGGATAATACGTTGAGATTTTTATTTATTTAGTTTACCTCTGGGATGTATCAGTTATTTTATTTTACATGTTGTATTATTCCCTCAATACAAATGCAGTAAAAGTAATGCATATTTATTTACAATAGTATTCGTGTATGCAAGCCAATACATGGGTGTTTGCTTGTAACAATTATAAATAAGTTAATGATAAAGAATTTGATTTGTTGGCGTTTAACCATTAAATCAGACGGTCGTCGGTTCAATAGTGGAACATTTCAAAGTTACCACGATTGAAAATCCGCTCTTAGAGGTTTTACCCACCTTTATATCCTAGGACGATAGTTATACCCTCAGAAATGTTTTACACATTACTTCAGGCTAATCCTAGAGGGTCTAAGCATTATCTCATAAGGTCATGTCACACCGATCAGTGTGGCATGGTGTTTAGATAAAATCCATTGGTGATTAGAAGGATTTGAATCCAGCACCTCGGGCACTGACGACCCATGTTCTACCGAGACCAGCTCCCTCCCCAAAGTTAGACTCTAAGCTATTCTGTATGGTTTTCCGTTGTAATACTTCTTCAGCTTATGTGAGTGAAATTCCATGAATAGCATTTTTATTCGCAATGTTCTCAGGGTTGCCCCCAGATACAATTCATGAAGCAGCTAAGAAGTTGTTTCTCCGAGGAGTAAATAGAGGATATTTGAAAAAGGACTTTAGGTGTATCTTCGACTTTGACAAAAGGTAAATTACTGACTAAAAATGGTCAAATGGAACAGTTTTCAGAATATAATGTGCTGTTCTTACGTGTTTACAAGGTAAAATACGCATTTAAATACAAAATAATTTTATAATGGCAGTGTTTATGATAATATCTAAGAGTAATGGAGAAAGATTTTTTTTAGTTTTTAGTAAATGAAAGTATTTTTTTATGTTGTACGTAGTATTAAGCATAAAAGTATATGTTTGAATGGAAATATTACTGTTATTTTATGTTACATCTTGGATTTGTTGTCACAACATACGCCAATCAGCAAAAAGTAAACTTTTCTGAAAATACAGAAAATCAGGAGCTTTCTGTCAGATTTAGTTTGCTTTGTTGTTCTCGTATAATAGGTGCAATGTAAGTTTATTTTTGAAGAAAATCATAATAACATAGTTTTATGACATTCCTTTAAAATATGTGATTTGTTTTGCCGTGTGTGCTTGCACATCATTTCATGATACATTAGTTTAAAATCTATTAAATATTACAGTTGTCACTCACAAAAGGTGTTTTAATTATTATAATCTCAAACGTAACTCTTTTTTGCAGTGATGAACCAGATCCTAAGCCTAAAGGCGTGGAGCTAAAGGAACGTGAAATCATCTATGAGTAATGTACTAAATACGTGGGCTGATGCTTCGTTTACTACTCGTTAGATAATGTAAGATATGTACTTATATGAATAAATACACACATTGCTTTGTATTGCATTTTGTTTTATTATACCATCATTACTAATATGCATTATAAATGCATCACTATTTTCATTTATTGATCTGAGGAAAAAGGTGTGTAATATAATGAAATCCTGAGGACTGAATAGACAATTTAACATATAAAGCCATTTTTATTAAGTTGTACCATAGTTTTTGTAGCAGGTTTTGTAAAAGACAAATTTACCTCGTTTTATAGCCATTTTAATGTTTAACTTACACACTGGAATTTAATCCAAGACGATTCAAAGAGGTTGCTGTACGTAATAAAAATATGTAAAATAATAATATGACTATGATTTTAACGTACGCTTTATCAACTTGTAATCCACGAGTTATTAATATACTCAAATGGCCTTCTAAATCCCGACTAAGTATTCCAATAATATAAACTAAATCTGTAAAACACTTGATTTAAAGCTGATAAATATGTTTTAAATCGTTTAAATGATTACTTATGTTTTTATATTTAAGAATCCATTTTTTGTGAATGTAAAATATTTTTCACAATGACAATAATGCTACAAAAACGAAATTTACCTATATGCAACATGTATGGCCAACTATTCTTATATAATATAGAATAAAGCAAATATGCTCTTAACAGCAACGACTTTAATATTTAACTTTAAGCCACAACTAGAGTATATTAGATATTTATATCAGACTGAAATCAAATAGTAGAAAGTCTCAATTTATGACTTGTACCATATTCAGTCAGAACCTATATAGCTTATCTAAATCCCCCGATAAGTATCGTTATAATCAGTTTCTCAGTTGTTTGACTAAACGCAAGCTTACTCAATTGACAATGAAAACAGTGTGAGTCTGTTTAACCTAAACGTACAAATGTGCATCACAGGTGTAGGAAATATTTAGGTATTCAACCATGGCAGCTAAGCCGTTTCAGTTCCTCCCTTTCGATTTGATAGACAGGAAACATTGGGGCGCCAACGAGCCATTGGAAGACCCCATTGATTTAGTGACTCCAGCACCATACGTGCTGCACACATACACTGACACTGAACGCTGCTTTGACAGAGGACAATGTATAAAGAGAATGAAGGAGATACAGGCGAGAGACTTGTCTTTGGGATTCGCAGACATCAGATACAAGTAAGTCATCAGTATTGTTTTAGTTTGAAGGTGAAATAGATGTGCCCTATCTAGTTTTGGCTGTTAAAGAAACTTCCTCCTATAAGACGAACTAATGGCCCTAAATTTAGCCAACTAATTGTAAGGTTTAAATTTTAGGGTAGAATCTATATTCTACCCTTCTACATAGGTCTAGTCTTAAGTATAGTCTACCCTTCTAGTAAGAAGCTCCCTTTGGTCACTTGAAACAGGAGGAGCTTCTTTACCAAAATTAAGTGATGTTTAACAAAAAAACCAGCACAATACGCAATCCACCTTACTTCTATGTTGAAATAACTATCCTTCATAGCAATGAAATTAAAAATACAAAATATCCTTGTTATGATTTATGAAACATAAGTGAAAGAAAAATTATTCCATGTTAAATGAAACGGTTTTTAATCAATATTGGAGATTAAAGTGTGAATATGTGTAGGTAATTGTTACTTTGGTTCACACGAAGATGTGAAGATAATTTTTTATAATTATTTACACGTTAAGAGGAAATTTGTTTCTAGCAGTAAATACAAACTAATTTAACTTGGCTATACTTTGCACTTTAAGAAAAATAATATTTAACTTGAAATTAATTTTTACGGGTGTACAAGTCATGGGTTCTTTTACTCACTTGGTTAATAGATGTTAACAACTTCTATGAATTTACATTATTATCTAAACAAGTGTTCTATGTATTCCTATTTTGGTAGATTAACCAATGAAATACTTAAGTGATTAATATATTTAAATACAATTTCTCAGTTTTGTGATAGGGGAAGACAGCAGCATTTATTTGGGCAGAGGTTGGACCAGTCTCCCCGACATGAATGAAGATTATCCAGATATCTTTGAAAGAAGCATTGAAATCGCCCATATTGGGTTTGCAGGTATGATTTCCTTTTTAGCTAAAACCACAAGACAAATTTCATTTTACCCTAATTTAAACGATTTTGACTGTTTAACACCTGATCTGAGATAAAATATTGGTGTATGAACATGGTTTTTAATTTATGTTGTAGGGGAACCAGCAGATGAAATCAAACACATCGTGAGAAATTTACTGAGATACGGAATAAAAAAGAATTATCTAAAAAGTGACTTGAAATACATCACACATTTCAAAGAAATGTAAGTATGTGAGAACTAAAAAATGTCATTAGTTATTTAAATTGTCAGTTGCGAACCCAAATTAAAAAGGCACAACACATCAATACTAATAATTATAGTTTGTAGCAATGTATCGTGACCATTTATTTATATCTTAGCGTTCTAGAACATTTGGGCCAGTTATAAAACAGCTAAGCTCTAATTATTGTTCATTGGTAGCAGGAAGGACTATAAATATGATGTTAAACTCTGTTATTTTAGCGGGTTAAATACGTTGTAAGTAGACTTTAAAAACTCTTATAACATTTGCGTTTAAAGTGTGTAAATCTCTGACGGTTTCCAGTTTTAACGTTAGAAAAACAGTTAGTCCTACAATGATGAAATAATAATTGCTCGCACTAAACCAGCCCCAAGGACAACAGATACATATTTCCACTTAGAGTCACAATTTAAAACCAATCAAACTTCGTAATTATTTTCCCCATTCCATTGATATTTCATTTCATCAGGAAAATATCCATTGAAACAACTGTATTTACAGTGTGAAAGATGAAGAACACTACAAGATAGACGGGAGTGGAAATATTGAGCTGCAGTGCTATAAAAAACTTGGTGAAGAAACTGAGAAGGACGAGTCTGATGACTACAAGGTCCTCGGTGACGTCACACCTGGAAGCTACAAGAACGCACAAGAGCCTATCGGACACGAACACATAGACATGGGACAAGAGGAGGATTATGAGGTCGTAGATGGGGTGAAGTGTGAAGGGTCGTTGCTAGATCCGGTATTGAGAGCTGAGCTGGAGCAAAAGAAAGCGGGACCTTCTAGGTTAGGTCAGCAAGACGACAAAGTTGTTGATAATAAATGAAATGTATAAATATTTTAAATGGCCGTGTTTTCAATTTAGCCGGATTTGCCATAGAGGGTATAAGCTATTAGCTAGGTCTCATGGTAAGACCTAGAATCATTCGGGACCACTTTTTGGATTTGATGATGCTCCCAGCTGCCAAAACCACATCCATTAAAATTAATATATTTTTCATGAATCCGTTAATACGATACTTCAATTAAAATTAATAAGATTTTAAAAGAATTCAGGAGAAACATGAACAATTATTACGTATATTCAAAGGGATTCTCGAACCAGAATGATTAGACAAATGGGTCGGTTTTATGGGGTACCACCATATATGTAGTGTTCCCTTTTTGACCCTCAACATAGAATTTCGCAATGTCTTTCTAAATTTGTTATAAGGAGAAGAAGTAAACTATTGTAGTTTGCTTATTTATGGGCATATTTCGATAAAATTTGGTATGTTTTTATTTGATGCCGAGCTATTGGAATTTGAACAAAAACCTCGCCGCAGGATAAGCTAATTTCCGCTACAGTATCCCCTTTTAGCGAATTTCCCTATAGGGAAGTAGCTATTACCGTAGGTCTCATGGTAAGACCTAAGCCCGGGACCGATTTACTTTTTCATTTTGATGTCCCCAGAGGCCAAAAACACCATTCGTTCAAATTTTTATATATCTATATATAGATATATATATATATATATATATATATATATATATATATGTGTCCATCCGCACGATAACTTGAGTAATTTTTGTCCGATTTTGATAAAATTTGGTTTTAAGGTGTAAGGCGGGATAAACTTGAATGAGTTCGCGAACCAGCATGATCGGACTATGGGAACGGGGGTTTATGGGGGGTTTTATGGGGTAAAAATAGGTTTTTCCCATTTTTGACCCTAAAAACACAAAATTTCACAATTTCTTTTTAAACCATTGTGTAGAGCTTAAAAAAACAAATAATTTAGTATATTGAAGCGTTATTATGCGCCTAATTGTTACGGAAAAAATTCAAAAAAATTGTAATTTTAAAATTCCCATTTTAGTCTTATGGAGAATAAGTCAACTGTTGTAGTTTGCTTGTTTATGAACATATTTTGATCAAATTTGGAAAATACATGAATTTCTTACTAAACCACAGTACCTACCTTATAATATTTTACATAAAAAAAACTTTTTTACCCTCCCTGTTGCAGCAAACCTAAGTAGGTACTCATTAAACTAACTCTGTTTAAATAGGGAATAAATGTGATATTTTTAAGGAGACATTTTAGTTTAAATCCAATCAGGCAAATGGAAATTCGCTAAGTCTGCAGGTTTGCTGCGGCGGGGGTATTTATAAACTTTAAGATTTATTTCCTATTTGAATAATTAGTTTTAGTAAGTATTTGGGCTTTCATGGAAAGGTCAGGCCTTAAATTAACATTTTTATATACTACGTAAAAACTGATAAAATTACTTTTAAACCCTTAGAATGTAATATTTAAGTGTTACCTTAACATCTCACTATTATTGCACTATTATTGCACCCTTATTATAAATCATGTTACAAAGTAAAATCGAAAACCATATTTTCTGTACAATTATTTATTACGATCCTTGAAATTATTGTAATCTCCTTTTTTCTATGGATAGGATATATTTTACCACAGAAAACAAATTACAACTATAACCTGGGCAATTTTTATGAACATTTACATATTCAAAGATAAACATATTGATATTTTTTTTATGCACTTTTTAATTGCAGCTCAATCCATATATCCTTCAGCAGCGGCATCATACAAGTCTAGTTCCATCTCCCACTTCTCATCAACGTATCCGTTTTCCACTCCTCTTTTTACTGTGTCGTAGGCCAATTTTGCCATGTACTGTGGAAGATGCTTTCCTGAAATGAAAAGAAATTATTTGATGGAAATAGAAGGATAGTTAACAAAAGTATACCCTTAGGTGTCAATTAAATAGTTTTTATATCATATAAATCTTGTATATTAGCTTTTAGAATAATATTCTTCTATAATTAGCCGAGCTATGAGTTTGACAAATTTAGATATGTTGTACCCATTTTGCAAAATTGCAAAACTCCTTCAGGAATATTTTGTAGTGAATAAAACATGATTCATTATAGAATTGAAAAACTACCTCATAGATGACAAAATATTACACAAGGGACGTAAAAATTACATGAAAGACTTCTGATTTTACCAGTTTAAAAACACGCTGAAACTACTTTGGAGTTCCAATAATTTGTATTAAGGTCATATAAAACTGGGAAACCACCTAATCTAGTTCCGAAAACAAAGAATTGTCTTATAAATAACGTGCGTAATATATTTTTGTCTAATGTAACAACCATAAAATATTCTCAACCCTTATACGAAATACGATATTTGATAGACAAACTTGTACGTATAAAAACGTGGATTATTTAACTTTTTCTAAAATCATCAACTAACAAGTAGCTTTGGTAACATACATTACTTAGCTTTGGTATGCTTACCATGCATTCCGACATGGGCGATTTCCAAAGCCTTGGTGAAAAATTCTGGAAGACATTCACTTTTAGCGGGATTGTAGTGATAGCCTCTTCCTTCATACACTCTTCCGTCTCCACCTACAACGAAACTATCGAGCAAATAATGACATCGCCCAACAATATTGTATACCCAGCTTTACTTAAAACTAGTATAGTCGGTATTATAGTAGAGTGACCTATTTAAAATTCTAAATATGAATTTTGAATAGTAAGCCACTTAAAGTAAAAGGAAAACCAAAATCTTCAACATTTTTTAAAAGAAAAAGAGAATCACTTCCTGGCTTCATTAACCATCAGGGATATAATAAAATGAAACTTAATGAAATAAAAACTCCTTATTTTAACAAGCAAAGTTATATGGCCACGTGGGCCTTTCTTACACGTAAAGGTTACAGTGTATGTTCTGTTGTAACATTTAGGACAGAAGGTAGTTGACCACACTCTATCTCCTTGAGTTCTAACTACAATCTAAAAAAATTAGTAAGATTCTGAGATATAAGGAATACTGCGATTGGTTAACTTATTAAAGGGGATCACAACGTTTTTGATCTTTATGCAGATTAATTTGATTTCCTCACCTGTATCGTATGTCTGGAAGGCCCGACGCCATGTCGTCCAGTTGCATCTGTCTGACGGTCCTCAGACACTCATGTTGCTCATCGCACATCTCATGACGGGTGTAGCTGATGATTATCGTCTTAACTGGATGCCGGATGGAGGTCACATCTTCCCCCGTACCTACCTTGGGATCCTTCGCACCCCACTCGTCCCTACGAACGATCACCAAGGGTACGAGTGGGATGTTCTTTATCCATCCTCTTTCTTTCCTCTTGCTGATCGCTGAAAATACACAGTGAGTAAGTAAAAGAATTGTATTAACTGTAAATAGGGACAGGAACACTTTTTAGCGAATTTCCCATATAGGGAATAAGCTATTACCGTAGTACTCATGGTAAGACCTGGACGCGGGACCGATTTTTTTTTTCGTTTTGAGGGCCCTAGAGGCCAAAAACACCATCCGTTCAAATTCATATGTATATATATATATATTTATATATATATTTATATATATATATATTTATATATATATATATATATATATATATATATATATATGTGTGTGTGTCCGTTAGCACGATAACTCGAGCAAAAATGGTCCGATTTTGATGAAATTTGGTACAAACGTGTAAACCTACGGTTATTCGAACGAGTTCGCGATCCAGCATGATCGGACCATGGGAACGGGGGTTTACGGGGGGTTTTATGGGGTAAAAATAGGTTTTTCCCATTTTTGACCCAAAAACCTTAAAATTTAGCAATTGCTTTCCAAACCATTTTGTAGATCTTAAAAAAACAAATAATTTAGTATATTGAAGCGTTATTATGCGCCTAATGGTTACGGAGAAAATTCCAAAAAATTGTAAATTTAAAATTCCCATGTTATTCTTATGGAGAATAAGTAAACTGATGTAGTTTGCTTGTTTATGAACATATTTTGATCAAATTTGGAAAATGTTTTTATTTCTTACTAACTATTAACATTTTACAAAAAAAACAAAAAAAACAGTTTTACCCTCCCTGATGCAGCAAACCTAAGTACTTGCTAAACTAATTCTATTTAAATCGGGAATAAATGTTATATTTTTAAGTAGACATTTCAGTGTAAATCAAATCAGTCAAATGGAAATTTGCTTAGTCTGCAGGTTTGCTGCGGCGGGGGTATTTCATTTTAGTGCAACATGGAGTAGCAAATAGAGTGCCTTGTAGTCAGAAAAAGGCTAGTTAGATCATGAAAGAGTAAGAATAAGAATTTGTTTATTGCTGTATTAATACAGGTTTACATGCATGGCGCTGTCAGAGAATGTCTTAAAACTTAGGTGTTAACTAGGTTTAATTTGACATAATCATCGAAATCTATATCTTCAACACTATATCTACATCTTCAGTTCATACACCTTACTCTATAGAGCAACATATTAAAATACCGTTCGGGATTTTCAAAAACTAGTAGCTGTGACGCCATATCGACACTGTCTAGATAAAATTGCAGCGATTTCGTGTGCTGTCTTTGAGTGTTGTGGTATTTGAGCCAGATTGAGTACTTGTTCATGTGTGTTTGTTTTACTAAAACTAGTCCTTTAAAAAGGCAATGTAGTATATACAGTAAATATTCAGAGGACATTTTATGGGCTTAATAAACCTGGCTAATTGTTTACATCTGGCTTTTCGTAGTAGTCGTTGTTGAAGTCTTTGTAGAGATGTTGAAGAGTAGGTGATCTAGATTTTTAGAGAAATATAACCCTTTTGATTTAACACCCATCCTAACGCGCACCCTAGTTAACAGTTTTATGTACAAGTAGGCCCTAGTCATCTATGAATAAAAACATTTTAAATTAAATGTTATTTAATTAGCTTTTCTGAACTAACGTACTTTTGATGTTTTTAGTTTTTGGCAAAGGGAATAAATGAGAGGAATATTATAGAGGTTATTGGTTTACTTTAGAATTATGAAATGTATTCGCTTAAAATATTAATACTATATTATCGAGTCTTTATACTCACCAACTTTATCTATAACCTTCCTAGGTCTTGGCTTGTCCCTCCAGAACTTCTTATCCATATTGTGTGTTAAAACATATCAAACAAATTCAAAAGTTATACAAATTTCACGCTAATATTATGGATGAATTGTAATCATCGGAGTTACTTATGTAAACAATACATAAAAAAAGATAACAACTGTTTAGATACTTTCGATTGTGATTATTAGAATAATCTTTGGCAGTCTTTTAACAAAGACTTTGTTAAACGCATTTCAAACAATGGTTTAGGAGAATAAGTTTATATACTTATTGCCTGAATAGATTATGTATCTTTTGGTGTTAAACGATTTTTAATGTGATTTAAAAAAAGATCATATCTCCACCATATTTAACAAAGTACTTGCATTTTAATTATCCATTTGGACCTAAAGATCAATAGGATACTGATGATTTAAAAAATATTTAAAAAAAGCAAGCATTCTCCAATTTTTTTGAGAACTAACCCACTATTCTTACTAACCCACTATTCTTTTTTCAAACATAACAATTATTCCCTATCAAAACTTACATTTTACTCTAGTTGTCTAGCATAATAAATAACAAGTAAAATCTTTTCGTTGTGTTTAAGCTTAGAATGCTTATACATGCTTTACTAAACCCTGTTTACAGACTTTTAAATATATTTACTTATTATAAACAAACATGCATTTTGCTCTTGTCTACGCCATTTGCATTTTTAAATGAAGTAGGAGGTTATTGTTTTTTACACAGTTTTTAATCTTTCCCGTTTAAATACAATGTTACCATTTAACTGTGTTGGTAGCATACGTTGTGATCAATTGTTATCTTTATTTAAACACTATTTCATATCTGACATTACAATTCATATGAATAATGCAAGTTATCCAAAGCGATATGCATTCAATGTAGACATTAAAATTAGAATTATACTTCCGATTTTTTTAGAGTAGTTAAGCTAAAATGTGAAAAAAGCGTTAATATCAATAACAATTTATACTAATGAAATGAATTTCAAAATTAGCTGAGACTCAAACGGAGTGCCACTAAGTGTATATTTGTGAGATATATGAATAGGTAACATACCTATTGCCATAGGATAACCTAATTTCAGGTAAAACTGTAACAAGTATATGGAATTTAGTTTTACTCTTACTTTTAATAACAAATTTCGCAAATTATATATTTTAAAAGATGGTTAGCTATTGGTAAAATAGAACACCCCTGAAATAAATTTTAAGGGTCTGTGAATGTGATAAAAAACGGTCAGTTAGGAAATGGGGTTGATTTTGATACCAAAGTCTAGTTAATGTGAAATTGTAAGGTAATTTTGGTTTAGAATATCGTTATAAAATGCTCATATCAAGCTTATTGGGTTTTGTTTGGATTTGGCTGAAAACGAATCCAATTTAGGTTTACCAATTATGATGATTTTTATATGGGGAAAATGTTTAACATTGACTAAAACACAGATTTATAAAAAGTATTACAATGATGCAATTAGCCCCTTGAATTTAATCGCAAAATTATGTATTAAGGCCCATGAATAGTGACATTTGAAAACCACTCTCTGTTGTATCCCATTGAAGTAAGTCATACGTGTTAAACGGTAATTGAGATGTTCAAAGTGTTGTCAAATCAACCACCACTGACTGTCATATAATTTTAAGATATTTTAAAAATGCAATAAACAATGAAAGTAAATAAATATATTTTTACATGGTCAATCGTTTTTAGGTGTTTCACTTTAATAAACTTAATACGTCTAATACGTCATGAAACGTGAACCATAAATACATATAAAAGGTGGTAGTTGTGCTCGATTTCGATTGAAATGAATGAATCGTAAATTAATTCAAAAGAATAACTCATTAATTATAGTTATTCACATATTCAGTCCGATGATGTTTTGAGTGTCCAATCAAAATTGATCATCCCTACCATCTTTCAAATACAGGGTGTCCTTATGTAATCGTGCAATCTCAGCAGAAAGTTTCATTTTATGATTTCGAAAATATTAAGTGTCCCCAAAAATGGGGGATTTGAAGAGCAACTCAAGTCTTTGGAGCTCTCCATTTTGGATCGAGAAGAGAAAGCGAACTGTGGTTTTCACAATTCTTCAGGTTTTTGTAAACACTTTAAAATAAGGTGTCACTTGAAGGAGCATTACATAAAAAAATGAGTTGCCCTCCATTTGTGGGGGTACACTCAAAACTTTCCAAATAATAAAATAAAACTTCCTGCTAAATTTTCACGACCACCAAAAGGATATCTCTGTACATTTACTAAGAAATATAATAGATGGGAGGGTCTTGACTTTTTATTCGCTTTGTATATTTCTTATCAAAACAGTATAAGTAAATATATGATTCGTGTTATTAGTCATATTTTTACCTACCAATACACGTCATATGATAAATAACAAGTTGTTTATTGTAGAAACGAAGCTTAGGTCAGCCTACAATGTACGTCCCTGACTACTCCAAATACGACGACGAGTATCTCTCCGACTACAAGGAGACGGAAAACATCGACACAGGACCTCCCTTCCAGGACATCCCGGTGACGGAGACGGAGTCCGAGAACGAACCCCCGGGACCCCCTCCTGTCATTGTATACCGTAAAGAATGGGGAGCCCTGGAGGAGCTTCGGGAACAAAGAACATTCACCTTCCCAGTAGAGAACGTCATATACTCCTATACTGAGACTGACGTTTGCAACACAAGGGCTGAATGTATCCAAGCCATGAAGGATATGCAGAAGAAACACATGGAACAAGGGTATCCTGATATAAAGTTCAAGTAAGTGTGTGTGTTTTTTAAAGGACTCTATTGGGGATTGTTTTTGAAAATATTTAAGCTAGAAATAAAGTTGCAGCGTTATCACTTAAATATATATCTAATATTTTTATGATTCAGTAGGATTTGAGCTCGGGAACACAGGAACCATAGTCTCACGCTCTACCACTAGACCAGCCCAGGCATTTTTTTAAGTATTCTTATCTTTACTTATTTAAGCCTAATTTGTCTGTAAAATGTAATTATGTAAGATATAAACTAAATACCGTATACGAAAATATTTGTGAGGTAAAGAAGGATGAAACAATTAATTTCACATGATAGGTGATAATTTAATATGTTCCAATTGGACATTTTAATTTATCAATATCAACGAATACAAATAAAAATTACATACACTAAAACAACAAATGGATGAATGAAAAAGAAATGAAAACAGTGTTTTGTGCTACGAAAACACCCATTAAAACCTAGGTTCCTCGCAAAAAGCCACTTTTCCTACATGCAGGCTAAGATATGGTTCACTAAAGCATATGGTTACACGGCATCGTTTTGTATTCTTACAGAAAATGCAATCAAAGTAATTGTTTATATGGTTCTAACAACATCCTTCAATACAAGGCCGTAGCAAGAAAAGTGGCAACACCGCAATCCCGGCCTACCGAAACAGCTGTTGCAATTTATGATGGAGTGTCTACGCATTCTTTTTTCAAAGTTGACGTGTACTGTACAGGACGGCAGTGCGACGTTGCCACACTCATGCGCCACGACCTTGTATTAGAGGAGACAGTTTAGTCCTGATATCGAATATTGTTTAGAGCAACATAAGAGTGGGTTTGCATGAGGAGTGGAACAACATCATTAATTCTAGTAAATGTTACATTTTAAATTCCATTATAACTAATACAGCCTGCATTTTCGCAGTTTCGTCCTTGGCGGCGATGGAAAGGTGTACGAAGGCACCGGATGGTACGTCAGAGCTCCACTGAACGAACAATACCCTAGCTTGGAGGGTCAACATATAGAGTTTGCTCATACTGGAAGACGACGTAAGTTAATATATCTATCTGAAAAAATATATGAGTCTAATAAAACTTGTAATAATATATTTACACTTATACTGTTGACTCGCAAGACGGAAAATACATATAAAAGATGATAAGTGGTGGTCGATTTCGATTGGACAAACCAAGCATCATCACAACCAATAGGGGAATGACAAAAATCTCTCACTGGCGTTACTTATATACTATTGGCTACCGAATGTACCAAATAGTATGTAAGGGACGCTTTTGTGAGTTTCTTGTCTTTCGCCTATTGGTTGTGATGATGCTTGGTTTGTCCAATCGAAATCGATCACCACTTACCATCTTTTACACGTGTTAACCGTCTTGTGAGTCAACAGTATAAGTGTAAATATATTATTACAAGTGTTATTATCTTTGGGGGTTTCAGGTGATTTAATAACACGTACGATGCTGATCAAGAAGTAAAAATGGACACATTAATTTGCATAAACTCGCTGGCCATTAATTCTACTTGAGGAAGAATGGAAAAATAAGTCCTGCCTCTAACTCAGACCTTAAACAAAGAACTTGTTTTTTAAGGAGATGCCTATATATGTTTTACTACTAGCTCAATATTTTCGGACTAGATGTTACGCTCCTTTTCAACTGATTGCAAAATATTCCGTGATCAACGGATAGGGAGTTTGTTTGTATAAGCTTTTGTAATCATTATATGTGTTAAATCTAACCTCTCAGGAGTAAAAAGGTTTTAAAATCTTAAGATATACTAATATAGCAAAATTCAATATCAATCCAATTTTCATCACAAATGTAAAAAATTGTGAACTCGTTACAAAATATCTGAAGAACAATAAAGTAATGGTATAGAAATTGTTGCCACTGATACATTGAAAACACGAGCGTCAATTTTTCTCCCAATTTTTGGCAATAAAATATTTTCTAACAATCGTTATTAAATACAGGCAAGGAAAATGTTCCTGCAAAACATAGACTAAGAAGCCCAAAAAAGTGGATGGATGGACTATGTTATTGGGATCGAAATAGAGAAATTGTTTTAGGTGCGTACATACTGTAGAAGAAATTGGGTAAAATATGACTAATTTATACTAAAATTATAATTATTTTGAAGAGCATGGAACATATTAGGAGTGGTTGATGTGTAACATTTGAAATCATACATAGAATTTAAAATTCACTATCGAAGAAGCAAAGAGATTTAATTCTTAAAATGTCATTTACTCATTTTATTTTAATTTTTTTTATTTTTACAAGCAAATATAGGCCTATTTTTGTAAAACCAGCATATGCATTGGTATTGCATATTTAACAAAAAATTTTAATGAAACGTTCTCTGATAGGGTACTGCAATGCTAGAAACGCCTACTAAATTTTAATTTTCTGCCAATTTATATATTAATGTTGGTGAGATTACTTGCAGTAAAATCGTACTTCCGCCCCTTTGCAGTAAAATAGTGTATGATAGTGGTAAAATATTTATTTTACATAATATAAAAATAAATGGCATTATTAAAAACTGAAATGATCACAAAAAATCGGTAACGATGAACCATAATTGTGCTGCAATGTTAAATGTGGCATTTGTAAGTATTATAACAGAACATGTGTTTAAAACTGTCATGTTTTCAGATGATTTTCCCGACCGTGAAAAGGTGAAGCTGATCAACCGTTTGTACGACTACGGAATAGAAACAAAACATATTGCAAGTGATTCCCGAGTCTGCATCGACTACATGTGGCCAACCTCCTAAATGGGACCTTAGAATGATTTTAAATAAATAAACCTCTTGTCTAACGCATACCATTGTATTGTTTTTACTCCCCCCCCCTTACATAGTAATTGAACTTTTGTGTGGGAAAAATCTGCATTATCTCCAGGAGTACTATTCTCTTATTCGAAATTGTAATTGGGATATTTTAGAAACCGCTGGGAAATTTGAACCAAATTTAGTATGTTATTGTCCTTTTCACTCTGAACAAAATGGTACAACCCACAATTTTGTAAAAATTACGGTTTAACATCTATTGAAGTTTTTGTGATTTTGCTGATACAGTTTATTTTCAAGTAAAATAATATTTCTCAGATAATCTTCCAGGACACTTAAACGTATGCCGTTTATTGTAGGTTATTAATAAGTGCTCCTGCAACTGAGCTATTGTGAGCGAGAATTTAATTGAGCATTGTTAACTAATTAATTACTAAACAATGGTCGTATTGGTTGACTGTGAGATGATTGCTTTTAAATTACGTCTTGAACCTTAATTGTTCTCACTAATTGGTAATTGGTGTCTTGCGCAAACTGAAGATCTTGTAATATTATTTACTGGTTAAGTCATTTATTCTTGGTACACAGGTTAAGGTCCACATAGGTAACATCTCTTTTAGACGAAGGTTGAAAATATCCCTAGTAATAAAATAATAAACCCGTTAGAAAAATCAGTGGCTTAGTATTGAATAGTATTTTTTGAACATATTGAACACAAAGTCATATTTTGTATTATAAAGTTCACGATAAATGGCAAAAGCTGTAATATATTAAATCCACAAAAAAAATTGATTTGTCTATTTTCTTATATTTGAATGTTTATCGATTCTGTTACATAAAATAAAGAGTAAGATGGGACATCTTAGCTGTATGATCGTGAAGTGAAATTAACGAGTAATTTTGTTTTAGGAAAAATATATAATGACACATATTTTTTTTACAAAAAATAACACCAAAACATATGTTACTCTTGAATTTACGATGGTTAAAAATAAATTGTTTAAATGAATTTTGTTGTTCCAATCAGTATCTTGTTAAGTTGGGAGCAGTACTCATTTTAGCTGAAAGAATGATTTAACATACAGCATAAGATTGTTTTAAATACCAAACCACAGACAGTGTTATCTTTTGAATTATTATACATTATATTACAAACAATACAATATTTTTGGTCAGTCATGGTGAACAGCGATTGTTTTGTTATCTGTTTTTTACTTATAAACTGAGTTTTGTAAACAGTTTCTAAAATTTCATCAATGGTATCTACTAGACTATTTTCAAAAATGTGAGTGAAATTATGTGAAAAGTAAACACAAGGTTTCAGTGGACGAATGAACAGGCTTAGGATGTGAAGTATATAGTATTGCATAGAATTCGACTTTCCTCTTTTATATTCGTGAAAAAGGTGAGCTATTTATGCGATCTAAATATTATGTAGTAGCCCTATATTCAGACAGGTGTTTAATTGTATAAAATTATTCTGCAAAACGTGTATTACAAGCAGTACATTCACACAATGTTGGGAAATTTCGTTGGGAAATTTCGGTGATAACTAACTAATATTGGTAAGAAGGTATAACATTCTATTTTATGTTTGTTTGACTTCATTGTTAATTAAATATTAATAAATTAATATTAACTCTTAATTTTTGTTCCTGGAAACAGTATAAAACTTTGTTTATTTTTATTAAGGATATACAATATGTGTATATGTCCTAATACATTGTATTATTTGGTGTTATATAGAACTAGGTTACTCTCTTTTTCAGATTTATATTTGAAGTTTTATATTTGAACCTTATCACTGTTTTTAAATTAATTAATTGCACATGTATGTTCACATCAGTGGGAAGGGAATACGTTTAACCAACTTTTTAAGGCTTAGAGCTAATGAAACATAATTTATTTGGCAAACATTCTTTAATCTCTGAGACAACAGAAGCTTTAAGTAGCATTTGGGGATGTGTGTAGTGTATCACACCTCAGCCTGTGTGAGTGAATTTCAAAACAATCGTCATTCTATAGTATTATTCAATGGGAGGATTATGATGCCTGGACATGTCTTGAGAAGATTGCAATAACCACAAACAAGTAGGTATTTATGAAATACAATGATGAAAGAGATCAGAGATGAAGGCTATAGAGTAAATGGTAGGGCCAAGAGAAAAGAAAAGGAACAGAGATTGTCCAAGGAGATTGTGAGAGTTGGACAGGCTTTTTTGGTGTGCAGAATATCTTCTCCAACATTTTGGCTTTGAGAATAAATTATGGCTGTACACAACTCTATTACAATACAGGTAATATTATGTGCTGTAAACCTTTAAACTCTTAACCGATAACACGTTACATCACTCCATAATACCTTTACACTAAATATTCGCATATACCCCAAAAAACCGTTTAATTTACTTGTTTCAGACAACCTACAGATTCATACAACCACAATGGGTATAGCAGATAAACTTCCAGATGCTCATGAAGAGTACAAGAATCTGCCTTGGATACAACTGGAGATCGTGTCACGTCAGGAGTGGGGTGCTTTGCCTCCAAAGTCTGTTGAGGAGTTTGACAGCTTCCCTATCAGGGACGTTCTGATGAGCTACACGGAAACCGACAAATGTGAAGATAAGGAGAGCTGCATCAAAATGATGCAGGAACTGCAGCAGAAACACATGTCTGAAGGAGAGCCTGACATACGATTTAGGTAGTTGTCACATGATTTTATATGTAAAAGGGTGGATTGTACTTCATAAGGTATAATTTAGCTTCACTTCAGTGGAAAATTAAATGAGCTCATTTGTTAACTGTCTGTAACTAGGATAAATAAATGTTGGTAATGTTTTAATTCAGTAATATTTTGAGCTACTGAGTCTAAAAACTGCACTCAACTAAATAAAGTTGGAAATATTTTAATCTTCCTTGATTGCAAGAAAAGTGAAGTTCTTTGTTTAAATTATAATCTCTCAAGGTTAAGGAGTAAAGTAAACAAATTAATTGTATTTTTAGCTAATTACGTGCACCCTATTTCATATGATTTCAATAATACACTATCATGTTGAGTGGTAATATTACTGAAATAAATTTAAAAAATTACTTATAATTACCCTACGAAATGTATCGAACTATTCTACCATCGTCAAATCGGTTTAGACTTAATTCTGTATCACCAATACTGTATATTATTATTTTTTTCAATTAGATGTTCACAATATAAACATTTTTTTATTCCTTCAAGCATAAGAAATCAATACTAATAAGTGCATAGTTTTTTTTAATGGAAGGAACATAGTAATATCAGGTCTAAGTCTAGAATGTAATGTTTGCCAATATTTTCAGTTACGTTGTTGGGTGGGATGAGCGAGTTTATGAAGGAAGAGGGTTCAGAACCAAAACAGGAGCCAACCCGAGGTATCCATGGTTACAAGGAAAAAGTGTCGAGGTAGCCTTAAGTGGACAGAGAGGTAACTATAGTCTGTATGATGGGACCTGTCTCCTGACCCTTCGTCTGTCTGGGCCTAGTCTGGGCCTTAAGCTATTGGCCAGCCTCCAGACACGTGGAGGGTTAGGATGCAGGTTACATAGCACAGAGTATAAGGTTTCTAAATTAATAATTTCATAACTCAGACTAGTGTAGAACTTTTTGATCGACTTTGAATTGTGCTTGTTGAATTTTTTACTATGTTGTATGATCTAAAGTTTGATTGGTGTATGCTTTAACATTTTTAAATTTTGTTAGACTTATATCGACTGTTCTTTCTTACTATAAAATTATGTTCAAATGTTAAGTCTTTGTTTATGATAACAGGACCAGCTATAGGTATGCAATTGTTTTCCAAGCACACCAGAGAAACAAATAATAGCTATATAAAACACTTTTATATACATAAAAGATCCAACCGAATTTGTATTTAGGAGAAGTTCCACGTCCAGGTGAAAAAACCGCAATTATGTACCGTCTGCTCGACATTCACTCATTTGACAACGGACCAATCTCTTTCAAAGACCAGAAGATCGTACTGGACTACGAAGAACCTTCATACGTGGACGACAACAAGCTGCTAGCGATTGTTCAAGATTGCAACAATTGGACAAGACCGCTACGTGAGGAAGTGGCAGGAATGTACCATGCAGTGTGGGGAGAGTGAAGTGACCAAACTATCCGACAGTGCTAGTGTATTTATTTGTAATGTATTAAATATAATTCGTAAAAAGTGTGGATTTTATTTATGTGATCAAATATTTATAATTAATTTGGTTTTAGTTGTTTTAATTTTAGGGGTAATCTAACTACATTGGATTCAAAATGTTCGTCGAATGCAGTTACTGCGAAGTCAGCTGTTCAAATGTGTATTTAGCCATTCTCGTGAGGTCTACTTAAGTTGGATACGCATTTCGAGCACACGTCACCTCATGCCTCAATGACTAGTTCCATACCCTCCTCTAAAAGGCCACCACGTTGGTGTCTGGCAACATCGCACCTGCCAGTCTATCGCTATGGTAAATAACAGTCAAAAACAAACAAATAAACATAAACATCGGACAGACGATCCATAATGAATGTGCAACAGATTTTTCAAAAGTCTGGGTTTTGATTTCTCATGGCCCTGTAGTTTAAGACGTCATGCCAGCTCGCGTCTCAAATATTTAAATTTGATAATTAATTAAGAAAATGTTTTATTAAAAACTACAGGAAAGTATACGGAGGAGCTCGCTCAATAAGAAGAGTTTGCCCTGGTTGTACATAAAGTGAAGTACGAGATAAAAAATTGATAGAGGCATTTTTGGGTGTTGTCCAACTGCGGTTTGATAATTTGAAATCTCGATGGTGAATAAGTTATCAAAATGCATTGAATGAGCCTATTTATTAGATTAAGTACATTGAGATAGCCCATTTAAGATTCAGTATATAACTTCTAGTGGCGGATCGTTTACAAAAGACACAAGAACTAACAATAACTACATAACATGGCTGAGCAAGCAGTTAAGTAGTTAATTAGCAGATAGTAAACTACATTTAACGATTTAAAATGCTATAGCACAGAGAAAAATGCCAGGTAATCGAATAGTTCTACGACTGTTTTTTTACGCTTCTTCACTCTAATGTTATTCTTTTTTTCATTTTATATGTAGCTTTGTGAATAATATACCTTTTAAACTGATTAAGAGTAATTATGCATCGTGCAAAACATACTTAACGAAACATAATACTACACGTTCAAGCTAATAATTAACTTATGTCAATACTGTATCTGAATAGGTCAAGAGTTTGAAGATTTCGTCGCCGGCAAGAAGCCCAACTATTCCAGGAAGACTGCAAGGAAGCTGAAGATCAAGTTAGAAAAGCCAATACGATATGACTGGTTCAAGGGATACAAGTGTGACTTTGAGTATATCATGAGGGAAGATTGGGGTGCAGAAGAACCTCTGTATGTGGACGAGTATCATGAGATACAAGCCGATGTTCTGGTGAACTTCACGAACACTGAGGAGTGCGACAATGTGCACGAGTGTATCAGACGCTTGCGGAAGATGCAGAAAGATCATATGGACGCTGGGGAACCGGACATCAGGCACAAGTAAGCTTTAGCAAATACTCTCTATAGTCTGTATGATGGAACCTGTCTCCAACCTCTACGTCTATCTGGGGACAGGACAATGGTTTAAGATCCAGGTAGACAGAGGGTCAGGAGACAGGTCCCATGATACAGGCTATAAATATCACTAATACTAGCAAATAGGTAACCTGATCTTTAAATAAAATTATTAAGCCATAGATTGCAGATGAATCGTGATAAACTTTTGGGGGATAAAACTTAAAAATGCCTGAATTTCTACTAGTTGCCCTACAGTTAAATTTCGGATCCGAAATAAATATATTCATTCGGATAAATATTACTGCTTATAAATGGAGGTGGTTGTGACAAAATCATTGTCATTACGTTATTTTACTTATTTTATTTTAGTGAGATGTATAAGTTAATAAAAAAAACTTTCTAAGAAGAAATTGAAATGTCGTAGGAGAGTATGGTCAATAAAAAATTTTGACTTAAGGTTGGAGCACTTGTAAAGCTTTGTAAAATACTGTCTCGGAAAGTGACTCCTCTTAGAAACAGAATATTTTGTACTATGGTTTTAGTTTATGGTACTAACACTACTCGACTGGTATCCTTTCAAGCTTAAGATTTTCCTTTTGAAATTCTTCTTCGTCTATAGAATTTATAAAAATTTCAGTACACAGTACATTATTAGATTGTAAGAGGTCAACACAGCTCTCTAAATTATCACTGAAATTTACTAAAGATTATTATTTTTGACCACTAGAATAGCGTCAATTAGTCAACTTGCCCCATTGGTTATCGAGACATCATTTTAAGATGTATTATTTCTAGGAAACGAATTAAAAGTTGAATCTGTTATATTAGAAAAGAAACATTGATAGCTAAAACAACCCTAAGTAGCAATATATTAGTGAAAATAATGTTGACAGTAATAAAAAAACAAATAAACACCTGATTACCTGCTTTTCCTTTTGCTTGTATTAGTAGAATACAATTTATTCAATTTTTCTTAATTATTTTTTAGCTTCATGGTCGGGGGAGACGGACACATATACGAGGGGCGCGGATGGCACACCAAACCCCCTTATGATCCGAAATGGCCGGATATCTCCGACTGTATGATTAATATTGCTTATATTGGACAACGAGGTAAGTATTTATAACTTATTTTTCTATCGGCTTTATAAGGTTGATTTAATGTTGAATTTATAAGGGTAATTAAATAAGTAACAAAGTCAATGGAATAGGTTTTTTAAATGATAGCATATTTACAAAACTATATGTTGTTGTCTTTAGTTTATACAGGGTGAATAAAAAGTCAAGACCCCCCCCCTTTAATATTTTTCCCATTAAATATACAGAGATATCCTTTTGGTGGTCGTGCAATCTTTAATTTTACCAATTTTTTGCAATTTTACCATTGATTTTCTACAAAATTTGACGGGCTACCATTTTGGATAGAAAAGAGATAGCGACCTCTAGTTTTCACCATTCTTTAAGTTTTTGTAAACACTTCAAAATGAGGTGTCACTTGAAGGGGGTTTACATTTAAAAGATTTGAGTTACCCCCCAAATCCCCCCTTTTGGGGGGACACTCCCGAATTTCAAAATCATAAAATGAAACTTCCTGCTAAGCTTGCACGACCACCAAAAGGATATCTCTGTATATTTACTTGGAAAAATATTAGAGGGGGGGGGGGTCTTGACTTTTTATTCACCCTTTATGTTAACGTTATTCATCATATCCTGATATAATATAAGCGATGTAAAGGTATGAAGGATTTGTTTTTGTACTTCGTCGTGAAATACCTTACGTTATAGAGTCTATAAACGTTGCGGCATAAAGTGTAACGACAATGTGTGACTGTAGAATATAGAACGATGGTAAAACACACAAGTACTTGTGATTTACATAAATAAACAGAAATCCTGTCCTACTGATCGTTTTATCTTGCAACACAATATATTGTTTACGAATTTTTAAACTCACTCAGCTTCAGCGCATATTATATTGCTGATAGTTGTTAAAACCAACTATACACTCAATTCTATGACTACTTTAATTTGCTAAGAAGCTTATTCCTTATGGTTCTCTGAATGTTTTACGCATGACGGAGAAATCTCTAGTATTTAAATTAGTATTTATACCGTAACAAACAATAGTAAATATTTACGGTTCGTATTTGTGACTTTTTAAAAGTAGATAATTGTTAAATTATACCTACTAATAGCCTAAAAAATTAATACAAAACCCATACTGGCATTTTTATTCAACGCAGGTTTGCTCTTTTTTTGGAAAAAAGTAGTTTTTCTCAAGGAACTACCAGAAGAAATTTTCACCTAAAATATTTTGCTGGTTTGGAATATTTTGTTGAATATTAATTCCCAACACTAATTACCTCCCTGATTACTTAGTGGGACCTATAAAATACCCATAATTGATTAATATAAATACATTACATTAACTGTAGTGAGTTTAAACAAAATACCTTGCAAACTAACCATTATTCACACACTATTTCACATTTTTTGTTGTGTTTTAGGAATGTTTCCCAAGAAGGCCTTGGTTATGAAGTTAATAAATTTTTTAGAAGCGAGCAAACATGACCCCGGTTGTCTCCAAGAACATATAGGCGTATATTTAGACTATTTCGATGAAGATACCCCAATGACTGATGAATTGTACAATTATCTGCATACTAAGGAAGGGAACGAGTTGGACGAGAGCGAGTTACCAAAAGAGTATAGAAAGATGGACAAACCACCGTGGGAGACTAAGGGTACACATTGGAAATAAAATATTGGTGAGGTAGCGCCACGGGTCTCGCGCCCAAGTCAATGCCATGAGATCGGATCCTGGTACCTGCCTCTATCAGTTCTGTTCAGGGGATAGCCCAACTCCACGCGGTGGTCAGACTTTGGATGAGGAATATTTTTGGCCCCCGAAGGATCCGGTCCAACTCCGCCTGTTGGCCACATCTAATCTCTACGCTACCCATCAACATTTACCTTAGGTTAGGTTGGGTTAGGTTAGGTGAGGTAAGTTGAGGTTAGGTGAGGCTAAGTTGGGTTAGGTTAGGTTACAGTTCTAGCTTATGTAGAATTTATAACAATTTCAAACTTCAAAAACAAACTCTCAGCCATCAGGGCTGTGGGAGCCAAAATTGACCACCGCGCGGAGTTGGGATAAGCCCTCTGTTCACCCTTGTACTGTACCAGCTCACCTCTTGCTTTGCTGGATACGTTCTTATACATGGATCTGTGGCCCATGTGGACAGGCAAACTCAATGGAATAGATGCTGCCAGCCTCTTTAAAAAACTACAAAATATAGTTTGGTTCCAGATTAACAACACAATTTTAAATTACCTACTTGGAGTAAGGTATGCCTAAAATACTAATTAGATTGTAACTATATTTCAATACAATTTTAATTAAAATATAATACGCTAAATATATACAATATTTTAAAGAGCATACATACATATAGTTTTTATTTATATCAATATGTTTTCCTTTACGGTAAAATGTAAGTAGTTTATTACGTAGGGAGCATTGGAGGCAATTGGGTTATATCGAACAAAGGTATTTCAGTTATATATTCCATCAATAGACCGTTGTTTTTACCATAAGAAATTAATTTGTCCACTACAGCATGCTTCTCTTCAGCAAGGACCATTCCTGAAAACACAACTTTACTTTAGTGTGGGTTTTATGTAAAAATGAATAGTCAAAATAGTACCAATATTAAGGTTCATTAAATATGCAGCTGATGCTGAATGCATTTCAATATTAACATTTCTCTCATTAATATTAATAACTAATTATGCTATCATCAATCTACATCCAAAATATTAATATTTGGATTTGTTTATCATCCTATTTATTTTTATTTCCCTGTGACCCTATTTACATCGTTTACAATAAATATGATTGAAATATATACACATAGAACATACAACGAGTTATATCTTACTTATTTCATTAATCCAAACCTTGATGATCATTAATTTGGTCTTTAACATAATCATCGAAAAATACTGATCATTTAACACCAGATGTTAGTAAACTTTTGACATGAAAATTATAAGTGGGCAAAACAGGTAAGCAATTGTTATCAAAACTAATTCCAATTATAATAAACTACTAAACAAATACCAAACAAATATTTTATTGTATGACTAATGATTTTAAAAAAAACCATAAGTTTTCTGCACATGTTATTTATTTAACTGACAAATTATATTTAAAAATGTGATTATCTAACAATTGCGTTTTACCCCTGTTAAGTGAAATTTAACGTTTAAGGAAGTGAAGCAACGATTAGAAATCATATGAAAACTGAGTAAAAAAAATTAGTAAATTAATAAAATAGTTAAATAAGCCGAACAAATTATTTTAGAAATACATACGTACCTTCTTGGCCAACAACGCCTATTAATATACTTGTAGACTGTATACTCTCACGACGTTCTATTTTTATGGGAGCTATTTTCCATCCCCGTCCTTCATACACTATGAGATCACCTCCTACAACGAAACTGGCAAAAGAAATAAACATGAGTTGCAAATTTTCTTAGTCCTACACTAAAACTATGAAATACGACTTTTAAATTTCATGAAAAAATTAAACTCAGGATATCATAAAAGAATCTACATTGACTCTTGTTTGGAAGGTGTAGATTTAGGCGTTGTTATATTTCACACTATTTTTCACACACCATTTGTTAAGCCTTAAATAGGTTTTTTAGAAAAGTGATTATATAATAAATACCCCCGCCGCAGCAAACCTGCCGACTAAGTGAATTTCCATTTGTCTGAATTGATTTTCAGTTAAATATATTTTAATAACATTAGGTTTAACGAGTACCTAGGTTTGCTGTTACAAGGAAACTAATAAAGTGTGTTTTTGAGTAAAATATTGATAGCTTAGTACAAAATAAATAAATTTGCCAAGTTTGATCAAAATATATCCATAAACAAGCGAACTACAACATTTGACAATATTCTCCTTAAGAATAACATGGGAATTTTAAATTTAAAATTTTTTTAATTTTCTCCGTTACTAATAATCGAACAAAAATACTTTTATATACTAAATTATTTGTTTTTTTAAGCTCTTTAAAAAGGTCTAAAGAGAAATCGGGAAATTTTGTGTTTTGAGGGTCAACAGTGAGAAAAACCAATTTTTACCCCATAAAACCCCCCGTAAAGCCCCGTTCCCATGGTCCGATCGTGCTGGTTCGCAAACTCATTCAAGTTTATCCCGCCTTACACCTTTAAACCAAATTTTATCAAAATCGGACAAAAATTACTCAAGTTATCGCGTTCACGGACGTATTTGAACGAATGGTGTTTTTGGCCTCTGGGGACATCAAAATGAAAAAGTAAATCGGTCCCGGGTCTAGGTCTTATCGTGCCACCTACGGTAATAGCTACTTCCCTATAAGGAAATTCGCTAAAATGCCAAATATACTATTTATTTATTTTGTTTAAAAATAAAAGAGGTTGGCGGCCTCTTTTAACCTTGCATTTGCCCATCCACATAGACTAAGCGCCCGTGCGTGGATCGTTACCAGCAAAGCAAGGAGTGAGCCGGTACAGTACAAAGATGAACTGTACTGATTATGTGTTTTCGTCAGTGACCAGGATCCAAAACCACGACATCGCTGCCTTGGACCCGAAGTCCGCGATGCTACCGACTGAGCCACCGACTCACTAAGTTATTTGATTGGGTTTATCACAATGTTCATCAGTGGTGTTTTCAAAGTTGTTTTTTTAGGAGATCCGACCCCTGTAATAATTATTTGACGTTATTATTATGGTCAATAAATAATAACCACGTCAAAAGGCATATTTCAAATTGATATATTACTAATAAATTGCAGTTGGATTACCTTGGTTAATTGATTCCAAGAAAATTCAAAATCTGTTTCATATTTTAAATCTAGACTGAGCCCTCCTTGATCAATTGAATTTTAATCAATATTATTGGTATTATTGTATTATTATAATATTATTAGCCTATATTATATAATATATATTATTATAATATTATTATATTATTGGCTAATGAAACAGCAAGTTTTAACAAAGTCGGTAACAAAGGTACACAAGGCATCTCACTTGGTTCAAAGCAATTACTTCGCACATATTTGGTAAAATATAAGCACCTAGTTCCCCAAGTTTCCCCAAATGATAAAGTTGAAATAATATTTATAATCATATAATACACATTTTTATCACAGAGACCCACAAATCATTGATATCGTTTTTTCTGGCCCCAAGATTATTAAATCGTAAATTGGAAAAATTTTTACAAAAATTCCTGTTCTTGTAAACATGTATATCTCATTTAACCATATAAACCAGCTTCTTCTTACAAATTACATGAATAATTCAAGACACAATACAATAGTTCAAAAGTCCATTACAAGTAAAATTGTTGTAAAGTCAAGACTTACTTGAACGCAATGTCGTCCATCCCACTTTCCATATGTTTGTTTTGGAGATCCTGCATAGTCTTTAGACATGTTGTTCTGTCATGGCAATGGTCGGAGTTGGTCCATGTTACCATCACATGTTTAGCTAGCTTGGCCAATCCAAACACAGATTTAGGAGGCTTCGGATTCCACTCTTTCCTAGGAATAATATAGAAGGCTTGTTCAGGCCACATTGGTGGTACCTGACACTTCTACCCGTTCTAATATCTTTGTTTTTCGTTAACCCATACTGTTAGCTGCTTGAAATAAATCCATCTGTGATTGTTGAAATTAGCATGAAAACAATTATGTTTCGGAAACTGTATATATTCACATGTTTTTCAATATTACCCAACAGAAGGAAGGTGGAGCAATTTAAGAATATTTGATCACTTCTCGTATATACAGAACAATACCAGATTCGTTGCAGTTTCAAGATAACGTATTGCCTTTCGATATCATTATTAATAACGATTAAATGGCACATATCACTATCTTAAATATATATTACGTGGTTTTAAAATTACGATTGTTTACTAGTTAAAAGTAAAATGTTTATAAATACTTGACCTCGGTTAACTATTGTATATTTTTGTAAAAATTTAAACTAATTGTATGTTGTTAACTTGAACCCTAATGAAAAAAATGGGTTCATCAAAAACATTTTGTTTCTGCCTATACGATTATACACTTAGGACTAAAAAGGCGAAAACATTTCTATGAAGTGACATCTTCCACTAATTTAATGTATAATAACCAATATCTTAATTAATTACGCATTGTTTGATAAAGTTTACCAAGCAACTCCCAATGAAACGAGACAAATTAAAATAGTTTTTCACATTATAATTGAGTGATTTGTTTTAAATGTTATTTATACTTTATTTATCAAATTGTTACACGAACTTCGCGTCAACTGTGTCGTCTAAAAATTCGTCTTTGGCTTCTTTCATGTACTCCCTTATTTCTTCTTCTTCGTCCTCTCGTGACCTCTCGTACTCTTCGGGGCCCAGCTTTCCCCAAGGGGTCCCAAAGAGGGGGTCGTAGTCTGGTTTGAAGTCCAGGTCCTTATCCAGGTGTCCTTTAGCTATACCAGACTCCAATAGCAACCAGGCTTGATGACACATTCCAGTGTATGGGTCTCGTTCTGCCAATAAGCATATAAGAGTAATATAAAAGAGTTTTAGTTATTACTGTACACTATCGAAAGAAACTAATCATCAATGAACACTTAGTCAAACTTATTGATCAGCATATCTCCACATTCACCCACAAGCTTTATGTCTACAACAAGATAGGCTTATGTGAATCCTGTTTACCACGTCTTACTTTTCAACCTAAGCTAACCTTTTCTTTTCTCTGACAAGATGCTGATAAATTTAATTTCTCTTGTTCTTTGACTCCAGGCTCTGGCACGGAATCGTTTTTCAAATAACTTCAGAAAAGACCTAGGAGATGCAGCATTATTACTTCGATAGAATCCATTGGTGACTTGGCTGGATTTGAACCCGAGACCTCCGGGACTGAAACCCATATTCTCCACCACTTAAACACCTCTCCCCACCGTTAGTAGGAATTTGTATTTATGGTCCACCTTTCTCTTTTTATTACTTTATTATTACTTTTTATTACTTATTATTTTTTTATTAGTAATTTTTTTTATTTAAGGTCCACCGTTATAGGAACAATTACTAACCATCCTCACATTTCCAGCCAATATGGGCAATCTCCAAGCTTGCTCCCTCCAAATCTGGATATCTCTCACACTTCTCTGGTTGGGCGTTCCACCCTCGGCACTCGTATATGTTGCTGTCTCCGCCCACTATAAAACTTTACAGTAAATTATAGCTAAATAGTCAAATGTTACGGATATCTTTAACAACTCAATCTTAAAACTAGTTGTGACAGACTCCATAGAATCCATCCGTGTGGCTTTAAAGGAAAAAGTTTATTGTAGAGGTCTTCCTCTAGAGAAATATAGGAAAATATAAGCACTTCATGGCTATATGAGGCTTTTGAGCAAAAAATCTATCCTTAAGGCATCTTATTCGAGTCTAAAACAATTTTTCGTTCACATTTCGCTTAGTAAACACCTGGTCCTTTATATGTTTCATCAGTAATCTAAGTATCAACAAGTAATAAAGTTATAAAGAAAGAAGTAAAATGTTGCCGGGAGAAACTCCGGTGGGGCACACGGGAGGGACTAAGGCTAACATATCTTGTAGTGTCAGCGTTCGCCGCTAGAACTGCTAAGTTGAAATAATTTAAAATTATAATTTTTTTTAATTTTTAGTTATAAAATTAACTTTTTAATTATAAAATATTGTTTCAAATCATAAAATAAAAATTTTTAATTTTTATAATTAAACTGTCATAACATAACCTAACCAACCAGACTCGCTGATAATATAAAAATCTAATTAATAATTACTTATAATTTTTAATTAATTATAAAATTAATTTTAGAATTTAGTATTATAAAATTTAACTGTCATAACCTAACCTAACCAACCAAACTTGCTGATATGAAAAATTTGTTGACAAAAAGTTAATGCTACTAGCGGGATTCGAACCCGGGACCTCCTGAACAATAATCCGAAACGCTACCAACTATGCCACGAACGCCGCTGAAATCACTTCGTTTCGTTACGGTAATCGTGTCGCCTCAAGAGAAGACATTAGCCACTAGAGATATGACGTCACTACACCTTTAGCCTTAGTCCCTTCCGTGTGCCTATTCCGGAGAAACTCTGCTAGCATTTTAAAACAATTGGATTCATATAATTTTGTTTTACTCAGATACGGCTGGTTAATACTACTAAGTTGAACGCTTATTCCTGTGGCCAAAAATCGTTGGCATTGATACTTTAAAATACTTAAAGTTTCATCAAACAATTATCACGATAAAACTCCATTAAAGAGATAGTGATCTGCATCTATTCCGAAGCGTAATTTATCTTTTAGTTTAGGACTAATAATAAACTTTCATTAGGTAATAATCTGCATAATTAAACTCAAAATTGTTGTACACTACTATCGTGCCACACAAAAACAACCATATAAATTCAACAGTTACCTTACTTGTACGGGATCTCCATGCCTCTTTCCCTGTAGGACTTCTGGATCTTCCACATCTCCGTTACACACTCCCACTCCGACCAACACTCCTGAGTGTTTGTCCAGGAGGCGATCACGTGTTTGACCGGATGTTGCAGCGGAGCGGAAGTCTGCAGGGGAGGAAGTTTACTCCACATCCGGTACGGGAATACGAATAGTGCCCGGATGTTGTGATCTGGGATACTGGAAAGAGTAAGGTAAATCAGAAAGGTACTTTATGAAAATGCCTCCGCTTTGCAAAAAGTGAGGACGCAAAAAATCTGACCTTAATGTGTGGTAAATAAAACAATTACTTCTAAAACACCGGTTACGAAAAAAAGTTACTTTTACTTCCTTAAACATTATCTTAGTGTAAAATCTGTTTTCGTGGGATGCGATAGCCTACATAAATATACATTTTTCTGTTAGGAGTTCAAATAGAATTTAAAAAGTTTGTTGCTTTTGTGACTTATTTTTCACTATTAAAGCCAATCAATAAAACTTTAAACTTTCAACTTGAAGCTTTAATTTATGGCTTTAGCCCAAGGATACTAAACAGATATATACAAATTTTATGTAAAGTAATAAAAACTTATTGTTGAGGTCAATCTAAGGAATACGAACTAGTTTATATCAGTATCACCCTTTGTTTACTATTATCATTTTCAATATTATATCTGTATGCTATTGTTCCTACGATTAATGATTAATATGGGATTAAGGCAAGATCTTAGTTTGAAATACAAATGGTTATTGACATATTATATAAGTTAGTTTTTTGATAAACATAAAATAAGACTATGGCTAGCCAAATTGTGCTAACCATCTAGTTTTCTTCTGATTCCCTTCCATCACAGAAGGTCATGAAGTGTAAATATCCTAATTTAAATCTACAACAAGAAATTGCTATTTCAAAATTCCGCTATTCTACGATTATACATATAAATAGTGTTTTATTTATTGAAAACTTACGTTCTTGCACCACCTCTACCTCCAGGTTCAGGTAATTTAGCCTCTCTTCTTAAAAATATAACCATTTTGAGGATTTATAATGTAAAATCGTGTACGTAGTTCATTTATTTACATAAACCCAATATTTCCAAACACATCACAATTCAACAAATATCCCAAAATCCGTTTAAAATGCCAACATTTATATGTCACGTTTGCACAAGTGATAATAATGGGGTACACAAAGATTATGATACAACGACATTATAGGGGGTAACGTAAAACATGAACTGAAGTTTACTCTGTTCTCAGTGTAGCTATACTGCTTTGATAACATATCTTCATACTTATCAATAGGGCATCACAAGTTCAATAATAACATATAATTATTTGTGATACGCACACTGTTATATTGTTATAATTTTTAGGCTTTTGAGTTGTTCTAATCGAATATATTACAATGAAATGTACGTATTGCTATTATTACGTGTCATATTAGAACGTTTATATTTAGAAATGTAAAGCATGGACCTTTTAAAATATATTATCGTTAGAAAAATATCAGTAGATACATTTATTTAAATTATTCATGAATTCAATTTGGCCATATCTTATTCATTCAATAAATGTACAATGATTACCCCTTATAACTAAAAACCATAATTATAATACTATAATGGTTGTGAAGGTAAAATTTATTAAAAATCCCTATGGACAAAATCAGTAACAATATAAATTCTTACTTACATAACTAATGGATAATAAATTCCAGAATAAAAAAATATTGGTTTGTGTTGTTATAAAAATAATGTAGTTCATACCTTAGGACATTCAATTTACGTAAGCCTGTAATCTATTAAAACCCTATCAAATTAAACAGTATAAAACTTGGAATGTTAAACAAGAAGAGGGTTAAACTAAAATTTTACAAATGATAAATGAAAAAAAAACTTGAATAACTTTGATGTGATTATATTATGGATGTATATTTTAGTAGTAAACACTATTAAATGCGTTATGAATCCTGTAATTTTGCTGTAACGTGCACTTCAATTAATAAGTGGAGGGTCCACTCCTTGCCATATAAAGGGTGTCATATTAGGGGTTTCTCTTCAAACAGATTTTGTCAAATGTGTAAGAAATATATTTTCAAGCTTAGACTCGTAATCTTGGTGGATTGGCAGACAAGTCGGAACTTTAGACATATGTCTGAGTTATTGGTTTAAGGGTTATACATCAGCGTAAAGCTAACACCCAGATAAATAACCAATGTTTACAAATGTGATTCTTCTTACAATATCTTCAAGATCTTACAAAATTGCTTGATTTACAGTGTACTTACAATGTCCAGTTCAACTTATCCTTCCTAATACTGCAGTGTAAAGATTTATTATTGTCATAGATGTGAAGGATAATCTAATATCGTCTGTAAAATAACCGGACAAAAATATTTTACTCTTTAAAATTGTATATAGAGAATATGTATAGACCCACTTAGACTCGTGTTTTGAACGTTACTTTTCTCTGCACTAGACAAATTAATTTCTTGAACATTACAAAACACATAGTATTTTTCAGGTTATAACAAAATTATAAAACAAACAATATTAATATTTTCTTTGGTTGTAGAGTTTTGGTTGCCAAAAATTAAAACAGTTGACAATACAATAACAAAAAATCTTTGTTTTCGTCGGCAAAACCACCAAAATTATAATTAACATTACTTTCGCACAGTAAACATTCTTTTGCCGTAGCAAACAATGTAATGATGAATTTTAGCAGGTGATAAACATGTAACGAAAACAGGTCATTATTATGTAACGAAAAATATAAATTATTATTTTAACTTAAGTACGCGCAAAGTGTGTTACACTTAAAATACACTATATGAAATAACAAAAAATCACACCAACATGTAGCTCTTAAAAATCAAAATGGAAGGAACATTTGTAAAATAAAATAGACAAAATCAATATAAACCAACATTTTTAACAAACCCTTTTAACTAAAATTGTGTTCATTTAACACAATAAAGTATATTTAGTTTGTAATACAGATATTCTATTACACCATGTTTACCAGAGTATAAGGTTAAAGTAACCAAATTATTTTGTTTAACGAAGCGATTGGTTGCTATTGACGTCTCAATGACAAATCGAGTTTATCGGGTTTTCGAAGGTTAACTAAACCGATTAAGAATGTCAGGTCGTGATTCGGACTATTAACTTTCTACAAATATGTCAAATTAAAATTAAACTCTACTCTGTTTGAATTTCGTTTTATTGGAAGGTATATTATTATTAACATACAAGATTATAACAGTGTTTATAAAAATCTAGTAAATCTATCGATACATAATTTATTGTTAGGCATAATTGATGTGTGTTTTGTTGTTGTTTGTGTTGTTTTTTGTTTTTGGTTGTTTTGTTGTTGTTGTTTATTGTTATGTTCATCTGCATTAGTTTAAGTGTAATGTTCTACACTATGTTCTATGGTTATTGGCAAATTTAATGTTTCTTAGCATTGTATATACTAAATACACCTAAGCATAAAAGCTTAAGGTATTAAGCGTTTTGTTTGAGAAATCATAAAAAAAAATTATATATTTACTCTATATTTTAATTGCATTATCATCAATATAGTTTTTATGAATATTTGAGCCTCTAAGTCTGCAACATAATATTTTGTAAACATCGAATACAAACATCTAATTTATTTGACCGGTCTAGTTGTAAAATTTCGACATTATAAACTAAGGCATTGATGACATTACAAATCATTATATTATAAGAAAGTTATGATATTGCAACTTTATAAAAGTCTCTACTTATAAGTAGACATTAATTAGGTAAATTGGATTTGAAAAGTTGTAGTTTACGATAAGATAATTAGGCGTCATCTGAAATGGAGCCAACTAAAGTCGGCGCTGATGTTGTTTTTAGTATAACTGAGTAATGTTTTTACAGTTATTGCATAATAAAATGTTTGCAAAGCAACAAAACAAGTTTGCTGTAAATTAAAACGATTGCGAAGACGTATTTGTAAGTGCACAATCAAAGGTTGAGATTAGTTTTAGTTAGATTTTGGACAGGGTTAGTTAATAAGTTAAAAACCTAAAACAAAAACCTTTGGGGCTGGTTATATATAGGAGATAAAATTATATAGCTTAAGATTATTTTTTAATTTTTTATCCATGCTTCTGTATCAAGGAAGGAGAAAACATTCTGTTGTATGGAGTACAAAAATAAAATAGCAATGCCATATTTTTATTACGTGGTATTATTGTAAATATTTGTTATTGTTGGTTTTAAATAGTTATTTGTGTAACTAGTGTGCGAAGTGGCACTTTGATTCACATGAGAGAAATGTAGAGACTTTCTCAAGTGCAGCAAAGGCACTTTGCACTCGCGTTACACATTATATTTTTCATACAGTTTTAATAAAGCATATGAATAGTTAGTATTTTAAACACTATACAACACGTTTTCAGGTTAGGTTAAATCCAAGCGTTGAACGAAATAGGAAACGCTGCACCAGCTGATCGAAGTCTTAAAAGTGTTGCCAACTTATTCTCAAGCGTACACCTAATACGTGTCTAATAAAAGCACACTGTTTTGTGTTGTTTGGTTGGAATACTGGAGTGTTGCAATAAAAGAATGTGGAAAAGTATATGAGTGGGTCAAAAAAGTAAATGAAGCAATTAGCTACTTGGCGTACTATAATCAGTGCAAGGAAGGTAACCACTTTGTCAGGTAACTGTAGGAAAAATATAATTAATATTTGTTGCTAGTTTGTGCGGTGTCGGGTTGCTTTCAAATCAGTACGAAGAACTATTTTACTGCATTAACAATGAAATTCATTCAGAGTGACCAACTTTCAAAATGGTAATAGAACCCTATATAAGGTGTAAAAATGGTATGAGCTGTTGGTATTTTTTTACTTTAAAAATAATGTTTTATAGAACTTTAGCTACTATGTCAGATAATACTTATTGTTTAATGTATGCTTTAATTTAAAGTATACAACCTTTAACTGAAGTAACATGATCATGTTCCTACTTTATGGAGAAAGGAAATATGTTTGAAAAAAAATTATTTCCGAGCTTATTAAGGATAAGGGAGGATTATTTGCTAGGCTCTTCCTGAAAAGGATCTCGATGATGGTTCTAGAAAATAAAATATATGTTTGTTTATCTTCTGGCAGATTCATCTAAAACATTGAGAAACCTACAATGTATATATTTTTAGTTTAAAAATGTATTTATCTTTTTGTAAGAATTGCGTTTTGTGATAAAATTTAAAACCTGCCTTATCTATGGATTTACCGAGCTACAAAATATACATACCTGATGTTTAATAATAGTTTGCGTTCAGATTTGACCTACAAGGTATAAAAGTATATAATTGGAAATACACATTAAACTACACAGCTACCTAAACATAGTGTGCGTATATTGCGTTGATCAATACCATTTTAATTAAACTGCATACCTAATATCATTGGAAATAAAACTAAATAAATTTAATTCGTAAATACTATTTAAAAATTTCGCATGCAAATTGAACTAAGTCATTGCATATTATTTTAATGAAGCGCTGCTATACACTCCAGTTCAAAAGTTAAAAAGGCATAAAAGGCTATTTAAATAATTGTAATTAACGTTAGAATATTTTTAACCAATATATTTAACCAAGTTTTTCAGCGTATAACAGACAAATCTAATAATCTATTGGACTGTGCCAAAATTTGTATCTCAGAATCTATTGTAATTAATTATGTCGTTCTTATACAGACTGAATTTGGTGTTAAATGATGTCTAAATAACATTAATATTATTTTATCAATTGAAAGTGACGGACATAAATTCTTAAAGTCAAGTTTAATGACATATTCCAAGTTTACACATAAATTGAGATTCAGAAAGCTAAAAGAAAATTAGTGCCATAAAATATGACCACCAAATTGCAATGCCATAAATAAAAGATGTTATCTATGAAGACATACTGTATATTTAAAGAAATAAACATTTTTCCTCATCCCCTTTTCAATCTCCTACCGGATAAGGAATATATGAACCTTCCTTAGTTTTGACATTCCTTATTGGATTGAGATAAGTTATGCTGCACAGTGCACGCCTCCATTGGTCTGAACTACTCAGTTCACCCAATTCGTGTTTTCACTCAAAAAAACACTTAACCTAAATATTTCAATTTTTGCTTGTATCAACGTGTTCCTTGTTCGAGATTTCACTTACCTAATTTGACTTTTACAGATTGTAT